ATACTGAATTGATATCATCTGTCATCTAGCTGTTGGTAATTCTGTTTGTGTCCGGACGACTTCCACTTGGATCATCAACCTGAGAAGGAATGTAGGCGTACTGCTGTAAGTCCTACAGTGGGAAGCCGTGACCAGTAGGGTACAGCAGGTCGAAGATGAGGCAGTAACTCATCGAAGAAGACATTGCGAAGTGGTCGCGCTATGTCGTGAACTGGCAGAAGTTAGAATTCAAGGACCATTGGATCGGGTCCCAGTGGCTCAATGGTCTACGAGCTCGCCTTGTAACCAGAAGGTCCTGGGTTCGAATCCCGGTGGGTGCGTACTGCTGAGGAGTCCCAAACTAGGACGAAACGGCTGTCCAGTACTCCCAGGTTTTCCAGTGGTTCTCTAACTGATGTCAGCTCATGATTAAATCCTCCATGTAATCTTGTTTGTGTCCGGACATTCCACAAATTACAATCGTCAACCTGAGAAGGGTTGTAGGCGTACTGGTGTAAGTCCTGCAATTCTTCAAAGGAATTCCACCAAGACATGATCGGCGAGGTTGTTTGTACTATTTGTATATACGTGTGGTGTGTCATAGCAATTGGTGTTTTTTGGATTCATTGTGTTTACTTGTTGTTTTCGTGTCTTGTTGTTATTGCGTAATTTTGTTAAAATTTTCGTCGTGATTACTTCTGAAGTTGATTCTAGTCTTCTACATCCATGAATGAATTGATTGATGTTAAGGACAGCAGATGGGTCGTATACGCCGGGGAGGCTAGGCTATTGCTGAGAATGAAATACACACGGAGATAATTGTTAGCTGCGGTCCGACGCGCCGGGGAGAAAGAGTGTAAACGGCTGAGGCTCGCATACATCACCGTTACTAGAACTGAGGCAGAATGAGTGACAAGCGATTTCCGTGGTAATTGGTAATGAGTAGATAAGAGGATGTGGGTAGAGTATCATGGGTTGGTGCTATGGTCACGTTGCATTCTGCAAGAGTCATTCTAGCAAGTGGCGATTGTGTTGCAAGATGTCAGGAGGAGGTCTCTGTCTGGAGGCGCAGGTCGTCAGCGATGTGTGAGATTGTGCTGTGGGTATGCTTGTGGTGTGTTGGCTTTTCTGTTTGCTTTCCATTTCAGCTGTGTCCGTGTGACCCAGGTTCTCGCAATGGCATCCAAGTCAACGTGCATTGGTCGTGAAGGAAAAAAGGGTTGGATCCCTATTTTGCCGGGGAGTGTCAATGGAGTTGAAGATTGAACGATCAATTCTTGGTTGTTTGCTCAAAATCAACTTCCCCAATTTTCGCGGAGGCATCAATACGACAGTCATCGTCTCATCGGTCGCTGTTCAGAAAGAAGAGTGAAACATCGTCAGAAGTAATACAATGATTTATTATTGTAATATTTGTTTTCAGACCTTAGTTGCTTAGTTCGTTTATTCCTTTTATATGTTGGTGTAACAATAAACAAATATCAAGCGGCAGATCGGTGTTTTGGTTTTTGCGTCCGTTATAACTAAGCGTTTCTGAAATCTTCGAAGAACAGCGTGGGCCCGAGCGTAGCGAGAGCTGGGCATTGACGGTTTATGAGACGCGATTGACAACGTGTGTGCCCATTCGCTTACTTCCTTATTACTGCTAGGCCGACAAAACTGACCAGTTACGAGCTTGACAGTAGTTCGAATACCTGGGTGAGATAAGCCATACAACATATTGAAGACGTTACGGCGATAACTTTTTGGCAGGATGGGGCGAGTAGCACCCGTGGAAATGTCACATAGAATAGCGTTCCTTCTAATGACTAAGGGTTTCTCGGCTAATCACAGAGATGCTTTCGACAACTCATGTTGAAGCTCGGTATCTTCTTTTTGCAAACGAGCCATTTCATAAAGTCTATTCCATCTATTTGGGTGAGGGAACAAATGCGTGACAAGGCATCTGCCACAGTGTTGTTTACTCCGGATACATGGCGAATATCTGATGTAAACTGTGAAACGGAATCCGGTTGTCGTTATTCCCTAGGTGGATACTTGTCTGAAGGTGAGTTCAGAGAGTACGTCAGAGGTTTGTGATCAGTAAACATTATGAAGTCACGACCCTCTACTAAATGTCGAAAATGTCGTATAGCAGAGTGCATAGCCAGAAGTTCTCTGCAGAATGTACTGTACTTCATTTCAGCTAATTGAAGGCGCCTGGAGAAAAAGGAGAGTGGTTGCCACTCATTGTCAACTAGCTGTTGCAGAACTGCGCCGATCGCAGTGTTTGATGCTTCGACCGAGATACTTAACGGTGACTTTGGATCCTGATACATAAGAAGTGTGGCATTCGCAATAGCTTTTTTAACCTGGGTAAAAGCATTTCGAGCAGACGCGTCAAGTTCTATGGACTTGTTATTCCCTCGAAGAAGGTCTGTCAGTGGCTGAATCAGAGAGACACAGTTGGGAATGAAGCGTTGATAGTAACTTACCAAGCCGTTAAAAGTACGGAGATTTTTCACCGTCTGTGGCTCTGGAAAGTTCAGTATAATCTCGACCTTAGTAGCCAGTGGGCGAGTGCCGTTGCAGTCAGTAGTGTGACGCAGGAAGTCGAGTGAGTCAACGCCTATTTGACACTTTTGAATATGAATGGTAACACCATGTTGGCGTGAGCTTTCAAATGCCAAGTCCCAATGTCTAAGGTGAGTTTCCCTGTCTGGATTGGCAATGAGGCAGTCGTCTAAGTATGCGTATACAAAGTCGAGACCACGAAATACTTCATTGATGAAGCCTTGGGATGTTTGGGCTGCATCCCGGAGACCGAATGGCATACGTAGAAATTCAAAAAGTCCGAAAGGCGTAATGATAGTCGTTTTCGGGATATCTTCTGTTGCCATCGGGATTTGGTTATACGCTTTAACCAAGTCGATTTTAGAGAATATAGCCACGCCAGATAATGTCGCCGTTAAGTCGTGTATATGAGGCAACGGGTAGCAATCAGGGGTTGTTTCGGCATTCACTCGCCGGTAATCACCGGTGGACCGCCAATAATTGCTATCCTTTTTCGGTACCATATGAAGTGGGGATGCCCATGGGCTATTCGAAGGTCGAATGATGCCAAGGGTAAGCATACGGTCTAACTCGCTCCTAGAGATTCTCAGTTTGTCAGGAGCCAGTCGTCGTGCTCTAGATGTCACGGGCTGTCCTGAGGTAATGATGTGGTGCATAACACTGCTGGTTATGCACGATAGGTCGTTAGACGGCCAATTAAGTTCCGGATATTTATCAACAATGGGTTGAAAAGTTGGATCAAGGATTGCCTTTATCCTAACAAGTGACAACCTGGGACCTATGTAGGTGGTGCCTATGATAGACAGACTAGTAGTATTATCAATCAGCCGTTTTCGGCGGACGTCTACGAGTAAATCATGGTGATTAAGTAGGTCCATACGAATGATGGGCATTGTGATGTCAGAGAGAAAAAAAAACACTGAATATGTTTGCGTAAACCTACGTTCAGACAGACGAATTTCCTACCAAAGGTTGCGATTGGTTTTCCATTTGCAGCCTGTAAGTTGAAGGTAGGTTCCTTCTGTCGATCTGCTGCTGTAGTAGACTATTGTTATCAGACAACGCAGTCTTCTGTTTGGTTGTTTCTCAATGAAAGTTAATTTTTCATTTCTTTGTGGCTGTTTCTTGAAGGTCGGGTCCTTTATCTGCTAAGTGATTCCGCCTACTCAGTTTGCTGTTGAGTCAGTCTTTGTTCTTGTTTTCACATGAACAATATTTTGGACGTAAACACTGGCGCAAATCACTGACTGCTAATGTTTTGTTCCCCCTAGTCTCATCCTTTTTCTTCTTTCATTTATGTTATGTTGGCAAGTAGTTCCGATATCTGGTTTATCGTAATCACAGTCCGCTCACACCACCTTCCATCAGTTATGTGTCTTCACTCCATAGATCTCGTCTCAACCCGCTCATTAACGTTTTCTCTGACTTTTGTCGACATGACAGGCTGATCGTACGGCTACATAAAGCTCGCCAGTTCCCGTAGTGCCACGGCTCTGTTACATATTATGTGTTCCCTGAAAAATAAACCATTTATTCACCTGTTAAATTTCTAAAAGCTGCAGCAGTTGCGTCAATAAGAATACATGAGAGATAAATTACAAGTTTCATGTAACTTGTCAAAAAGAATTGAATGTTGAATATGTTGTTTGTTGCGACTCACGCAGTCCGCATCGTAAGGCTATAGTGCGAGTTACGTAACCTCCAGTAAAACTACTGTCGGCGTGACATCGTGAGGTCTCTTTGCCAGCTCAGTTCCTATTAGTAAGTCATTTTTAACTAAAGCACGTCCTAGTATGAAGCCTGTATGTGTTTCTAGCATCTAATTATTGATGTTTAAACCCAGAAAAATAAGTAGTATTGTCAGTTCAGTGACACATTGTGGTCTACATAATTGACTGAATGGTCTAACCTCTGGAGTATGGTTATGTATGTATTGGTGGGCATTTGTCCGATAATCTGATGAGGTTTCAGTGACAGCAAGTATAAGCAACAGTTTCATTGCTGATTGAACTGTTACCCAAAACAGACTTCTCATTCACTATACAGTGCAGAAGATACTACCCAATTGTTCAGAGTCAAGTAGGTGAAGCGGGACTTGGACGTATGACCCGTATTTGAAACCGGGTGCCTAAGCTCATGAGCCACACTTCCGCTATTCACAGTTTTACAGATGTTACTAGACCACCAGCTGTAAATGGGTGGATTATAGAAGTCTAGCTTGGTTTCATCGGCCAAATAAGTCAGTGCATAGCAATAGTGTAGTAATTAAAACATCCATAACAGATGTGCTCAATGAGTCGTTTCTTGAAATAAATGGGCAATGATCACATAACCATTCATATTGAGATTAATGAACATTATTAGCCTCTATTTTCACACTATTTGTCTGAAACTGTTAATTTTATTTTTTCCAGGTGGGTTTACTCCAAATTCAATAGTGGGAGTTAAATTTTCATTGTTCATCAATAATGAGTGCTTCACTACGAAAGAAATTGAATTCACATTGGGCGAGGTCTGTTCCAAACAAACAAATCGCTCACCAATTACTTCGAGTTACTCCGTTCATTTATGGGGCGTGTAGATCAGTTTCAGACAAAACTGCATATTGTGATCTGAATGAGCCCTTTGCTGTACTATATGGACCAGCAAATGAGGTATGTTGTTTTCTAAATAATATTTGTAGCATATACGCATATATGACGGAAGCCTATGGATTACTGCAGAGTTTATTTCCTATAAGCGTGATCCGTTACCCAAGTGCACGTATGTCAATAATTTCCTAACTTTAATGCAAGCTTAGTCGTCGTATACGTGCAGCAGATAGCTGCTTCTTTTTGATTAGACTTCTAAGCTTTTCGTTTCAGTTTTCTGAAGAAAAGGTTAGTCCAGGAAGTGAAATTATTTACCCTTTGTAGCAAGAGTACGTGGCTGCTATTCAATCTTTTACAGTGATCCAAGAGTTTCACACTGATTCGAACGTTTTTTCTTCTATGATAGAAGTGTGAGTTACAAATTTTGTCATAATTGTATAAGTAGTGCTTTTGAGTTGTTGGCTATTACAGATTCCTCTAGTGTTAAGCATGAGTGATTGAGTGTTCTTTTCCCTAAAAAATTGAGGTAATTGACCGTTGGTCCAAAACGGTTTTTGCATGTTTCACACATATGTCTCTTAGTTGAAGACTGGGTGCTGCAACTTAGAACCTATGGCTACAAAAAGTTTCCGTGTTCTAGGTGGCATATATATATATATATATATAGCGTATACATTGTCTTCATCTATTTTATTCCACTCTACAACGATTATGTTTTTCATTTTGGAGCAAAGAAAATTTCCTTTGTTGAATAAGTTATTTTCAAAAGCTTTGCAGTCGCTTTTATAATATACTTGAAAATTACAATAGTCTTCCCTGAATTTACTTTCCGTTTTCATGACTGAATATGATGGTATACAACGATTTGATAGATAGCAAATGACTTTAGTGCATTTGATATGTGAACTGTTAGGACGGACAAAATATTGCTTTTGGCCGTTAAGTCATGATTGATGCGTCCAATCATATGTTGTTTATTTATCTATGATTGAATTTCCGTGGTTGTAAGAACGATATTTTTTCACTCTGTGTTGTGAATAAATGAAGTCTCAGTTAGACCTGATTTTTCTGTGTGCCTCAGTGGGGGAGGATAATCACAAGTGGTCAGTTGACTACACTGTCGTGACTGAAGGCTCATTCTAGTCAGCATAGACATCAGCAACAACAACAATATTAAACACTGCTTCATAACATGAACAAATCACAGACTTCTGTCCTTGGTTATAATCTTCATACGTACTGTATATTTTAAAGGTATGCAAGCCAACCGTATTTCGAACTCCTGAAGTCAAAATTCACTTCGGTTAAATTAGTATCCAGTTTGGGTTGTTGTTGAACACCGGATCTAAATTAGTGAATTGTAGTTCAGACTCCTCCACTTTTCGAAGGTTCACTAAGTAATTTTACGGCAGCCCTCAAACGGGAATTTCGGTTTAATAGCACATCCATAGAACTGCATGTGGCTGTTAAACAATATCTGATTGTACGGTTTTAGGTACTCTTTTGACGACAGTTGAGATCTCATCAAGATTACTTGACTTATCAACGTAGAACTTGAGACAAACGTACATCAGTTGGATTCACCGCCCTACAGAAAGCATATAAGAGTAAGGAAAGTAAACTTACTGAGGCTACACTGAACGGATAGAACGTAATTAAATGGGGATTTTAGATTTTCAGAATCGTGATTATAATGAGGAGTGACTACATTTGCACGATTTTGAATGCTTTTGAACCGTGTCACCCATAGTCCCTTACAATTGATCCTGGCTTGAGCCTACAACCCTCTCCCACAAGGTTGAAGCCAATCTAATGGACTTAGAATATGCAGATGACATAGTCCTGTTAGGGGAGGATACTGAAAAAATGCAGAGTCTTCTGAACACCTTGAGCAGCAATCTTCGTATGTTTGGCATGCGATTCGCCCCTGCAAAATGTAAGATGCTGCTACAGGACTGGACCACGTCAACCCCTAACTTAGTGATAGGGAGTGAAGTGATAGAACATGTTGACCACTTCACCTACTTGGGAAGTTGTATTAGCACCAACGGACTGATTGGCGATGAAATCTCAGCACGGATCCGAAAAGCTCGAGCTGCTTTCGCTGACTTACACCATCTCTGGCGTAGGCGTGACATCCGGTTATCAACCAAGGGACGTGTGTACTGCTCATCAGTTCGCTCCGTCCTTCTCTATGGCTCTGAAACATGGCCAATACGCGTTGAAGACATGAAAAGGTTAACTGCTTTCGATCATAGATGTCTGCAATCCCTGTCTCACGTTAGGTGGTTTCACAAGATAAGTAATGTTGACGTTAGGCGTAGAGTGTTGGGCAAAGAGGGAAAATCAATCGACGAGGCTATAAAGTTACATAGACTAAGATGGCTAGGTCACGTGCTGCGCATGCCTAACCACCGCCTCCCCCGACGGGCATTTCTAGCTGACATAGGTTCAGGTTGGAAAAGAGCCAGTGGTGGCCAAACAAAAACATGGCATCAATCCATGAAATCCTTGACAGTTAAACTGAGTCAGGTAGGGAGATGCAGACTCCCGGGTTGGGGCCCTCGGGACTCTAGGAATCAATGGCTGGAGACAATAGGTGACATGGCTCAAAATCGTTGTCAATGGCCAGCGCAGATGTATTCAGTCTCTGTAATCTTTCATATTCCTTCCTACCATTACCCATTCTGTTTCACTCTTATACTTGTCAAACTTTATTGATTCTCTCCACTCATCTTCTTGTCTACCTCTGTGTGCTATTTGGAACGTGGCAACTCGAACTGCTGCACTTCGGTGCCAAGTTCTATGTTGAATCCAGACAGACAGACAGTCAAAGATCTAATGAATTCGTACTGTTTTAGTGTAACTACCTTTCATTCTTTTTCACAGTGTAGTTCTATTTCATTCTAACGATCCAGGAAAGTGGCATCTTGTTCTGAGTAATATACGTCCACCTCAGCGCCCTGCCTCGTTGTCTAACTTTCATTATTGGTGAACATATTGCTCCACTAAGCACTGAGGACTGAACAGTTGCATCTTTTGTAAAAAGAATCGCCACTGTTTTCATATTTTCTGCGTTCGACAGCTGTCTCACTGCGGTAAAGTTAGACAGCATAGTAAACCTATCGTTTTAGGTATGGCTGTATATCATGCAAGCACAACAGCTTGCATAAGTTGGATAATGCCAAACGGACCAACCTTATTTGTATCTGTTTTCAAACATAGCATATGGAATCTGCCTACTAAGTTTCATTAATTTTTTACCCCAACATTAAGAATAACATGTATGTACGGGCAACGCTTGGAAATCCCAACATTTTTGTGTGTAGCATTACTATCGTATGTAGAACTGTATGTATACTTTTAGTTTGTAGAATAATGATGTGGATGTTTAGTGGTATAGTGTGATACGTGATGCACCGTCTTTCCCAGTATAAAAAGCTGGATGCACACTGCTTTACACAGGGCATATGTGAGCTAAAGACATCAGACGCATTTGTTCCTGTTTAATCGTGTTATCTGTAGGATTATTTGCGCTGGATTAGGCTATGCTTTTCACAGTTCTGAGGTCTGGCGATGTTTGTGCATGACGTGGACTGGCATTCACCAGCCCCAATACTTTTTGATTACTCCTTGTAGATGTAATTTTGTATTGGCTATTCCGATATGCTATCCCCTTTCTTTCCATACCCTTGTAACATTTATCAGTGTCAGTAAATAAGCGAGACCGTCTTAAGTGGAAAATGATTCTTCTTTCGACAGTGCTTTTCTTGTGAAGTATTCAGTCTGGTTTAGTCACTATCTAACATAACCAGTTTTACGTAGCGTCTAGCAATTCGATATTGTCAGCATACTACTATTATCTGTTTTAAATGCCATTTAGGGGTAATATCACGGTTCAGCTTTTCCGTTGTGTGATCGAACTGATTTTCATAAATTCATTTACTCACTTTCAGAACAAGGGCTATCAACGACAGGAAAGAAAGTCAAACTCATTCGAAGTAACTTTTTGTTTTCTGTAACAGTCAATCTTCCACCTAGATCGTTGACTATAAAAACTCCATCTCGGAAGAAATGTGATGCTAGTATAAACAAATGGTATGATGGAGGTTTTTGTTGTTTAATTTTATTCTTTATAATGATTGGTGTGGTTTTCACCAACCATTTGTTTACGTGATGAAAACAAATTAATCAGCAAAAATAAATAAACCTTCAGATACGAATATTGATTTGCTAATAACAATAACCAGCTTGAACGCGGCACGCGGATATCTGTGTTAGATGCCACATTGGGGACAACTACTTTGAGGGCTACTCACTAACATCTCGAGACAACACAGATAAGCTGGGAATCCAGACAATGGCGAAAGTCTGTCGAAGGTGAAGAAGTTGAGGTTAGCAAAGGTAAAATACAGAAATCTATGTAGAAAAATAAAAGTAAGGTTGAAAAGACATAAGTTACTTGAGGCATCATTATTACTTGAAATCATTGTTAGTAGCGCCCGGTGATTTTCAATGATAGATTGTTACTTTATTTCACTTATTGTCCTTTGGTCCTTTGGTACGTAGGTGGATAGCACGTCTACGTCAGATATTCTGTAAGCTGAAACATGCCGCAAGAGATTTTGTATCCGTGGTGAGACTTTCACAATAACCAGTATCTAGTGGTTGATGCGACTTAGTAAATAAGTGTAGTGAACAACATGCCCTGCCACTCCACTCCCTATTTTTAAGATAGGAGTTGAGAGACCATGAATACATCGATTCATCTAAATGCATTCAACCTGAAAAAAACTAATTTAAATCACACACACCATGTCTAGTCAGTGGAGACGCAGCTTACTTAACACAAAAGCACGAAGAGGAGAAGACGTCGCCTCAGATCACTGTCTCGTACAAGGAACACTCCAAATCACATTACAAACTTTGAAAGAAACAGGAGCTGCAGACAGACCACAAGCCAAGTTCAATACTCACAAGCTGAAGGATCAGACCACAAAGGACATCTTCACTGCAATCATAAGGAAAAAGGCAGAGACACAAATCAGCACTAGCAAAGAGACCAGCGTTGAAAAACACTGGAACAACCTGAAAGCGGTGTGGTGTGGAGTCAAACCTGCATAAGAGGAGGTCTAGGCACAAAGACGAGATAGGACAAACAGTGGCTCACCACAGCCACGTGACGACCAATAGAAGAGAGAAGGATGGTGAAACAAAAGATTGTGCAGTGCATCGACGAGCAAAGAAAACCGGAGTAGAGTGCCATGAAAGACAAAATGAAATATTGTGCAGCTACGGAAAGTCAAGCGGAGCAAGCTGCAGGCAAGGGAGACCTCGAAACACTCTACCAAACAACTCGGTTCCTATCAGGGGAGAGATGAACACAAATTAAGTCAGTGAAGGATGACAATAGAAAGTTAATCATTAAAGAGGTGGAGCAAAGGGAACACTGGACTGAACACTTCAAGAGACTTCTTAATCGACCGCCACCTCTACAACGTGCCCACTATTACGAAGAGCGGAGGTAGAACTGCCAGTGGATACCAACTGTCCGACGAAGGCGGAAATCCTGAAGGTCATAGAAGTGCTAAAAACTGGGAAAGCTATGGGACCAGACAGAATCCTCAGAGAAGTATTGAAAATGGATCCAGAGACATCAGCGAACTTGGTGACACGACTACTGAAGAAGGTGTGGAGAGAGAGAGAGAGAGAGAGAGTAAGGTAGCTGGGGATTAGAAGAGAGACTTCCTATTCGAACTGCCAAAGAAGGGGGACTTAGGTCAATGCAGGAACTGGCGCGGCATTATGCAAAATACTAAACCGCGCATCATTTGGGGAGACAATCAAACAAGCCCTGGATGAAAACACTTGACCGGAACAGACTGGATTCAGAAGAAACAAGTCATGCATCGATCAAATCGCAACACTACATATGATGATTGAACAGAGATTGGAATGGCAGTCTGTCAGCTCTCTACCTCAACTTCATTGACTTTGTGTAGGCTACCTTCGACAGCGTCAACGGAGAGGTGATTTGGAAAGTACTTCGCTACTCTGGAGTGCCGCCGGGTGACATGGAGGAGGTCGCGCGAAGAGGAGATGAAAGCATGTAGGTAGACGTGGATCCAGGTGGAAACGGCGGATGACTGAACAGCTGAAGGCCGGATGAAGCCATATGTTCCTCTTGGAACCATAGGAAAAAATGTCTGTTTATTCGGTCTGTGGTATTTGACCGTACAACCCGTATTGTTCAGACCATGAATGAGTGAAGAGACTCATGTTTTTATTCTTCAATCTGGCGATGAACTGCTTTCTAATAGCTGATATCCGATGACTAATATTCAATATGTAGAAATCCTGACTGATAATTGCTATGTTAACAGGGTGATCGGACTTGCATATCGGAATAATCAAATTAGTTACACTGTCTGGAACCAATCTTTCTGCTGGTCATACTGTACTAGATAGGTCGCCGGAGTACCAGTTAGACAAAAAGCAGTTATCATCATAATGTTTGTCGGAGGATTCGTACTTCTGGCAGATATGGATGTAATAGAAACTGAGTTTTTATTAAGTAGGTAGACCGTTGATGTTTCGATTTGTTGTAAGGAATTTGTCCTAATTTCCCATTTCATTGTTTTTAGTGATCCTTCTGGACCGTGTTCCAGTGCAAACTCCTCATCTGCTGCGCAACCCCTTACTGTTGTACAGGTACAACAAAATCCTCCCATTGCTGTAGACAAATTACCCGGGGTATTCGCCGTTGAAAAACCGGAGAATTATGTTGAACCACATATACCAGAAGCCGATAACAAAGAGGTCAGTTTTGACTCATTGTTTTGCCTGTCACACTCACGCGTAACTCTTGGTAATATGTGGAGGCTATATACTCGTGTGTGAGAATTCTTTATTCGTTGTATTGTCCCTTCGTTGTCCACTTTTGCTCTGGTTTGGGTTCTGTTTCAGCATTCCTCTCTTAACGTTAACTTGTGTGGGCCCACATAGAGAACCATTCCTTTTCTTGTCACTTCATTCATAAAGCAGCTATACAGGTTTCCTTCTATATCACTTTCCGAATTTCTTCCACACAGGGTTCCTCGTTGACGACACAAGATATATATATATATATATATATATATATATATATATATATATATAAATTCCCTGTGTTGAAAGCAGTAAAGGCGACCTTAATGTTTTTTACCCTCAGTTTCATGTTGTTGAACTGGAATTATGATGTATCTCCAGCTTCTTAGAAGGGTCCCATCTTCCTGCTGACAGTTGCTTGCGTTAGATAATGGTCTGAGCCTATATCTGCTCATCTTTTCCACTCTCTTGTTCCCACCAAACAGCATCCATTTTCTCGAGATTGAAACAAAGTTTGTCTGAATTTCTTCCATCTTCTCCACTGGATCTGCGTTGTTTGTAGGCGTACAGCATTAGCTAATTATAACCTTTCTTCCTATTGAGTTGAATCTTGTCATTATCCTGCAGGAGGAGACTGGTTCCCACCGCATAAGAGATCTGGTTGCTATTGGTGACACCACGATAGCAGCTCGTTCAGCGTGCTCGTGCAGATATTCCGTATCCCATTCCATATTCTGGCTTTCATCTTAACAAGACATATCGGTTTATATTTATTGGCTTTCTGAGATCTTTCATCAGTCCGCATCATTCAGTCTCTCCGATTCCAGTGGCGAATTTTATTGTATTTTCATTTGAATTTTCTGTAGCGGTTGAATTAATTTTCCGGGCTAGGGTCACTATCCTTACACCTAGCCTTTCATCTCTTTTCCAAGCTAAGAACCTGTTAATAAACTTCTGCGTGTATATATATGTATATATAGTGAAGGTTCATTGGCTTTAATAAAGGAATTTCAGTCACTAAGTTCTTATCATCATGATGTACCGGTAAAAGACCACTGTGGTATGTATTGTTGGCACGCACGCACTCACTTATCAAGAATTAGCAATTGTCATATGAAGTGGTGACAGCTAGTGACGTCCCTCAGGCATGCCCACTGTCACCATTTCTGTCTAGTTTCATCATATATGTACTAATGCAATTAATACTAAGTGACTTCAGAGACTCAGGGAACAATCTCGTTGACTAAGAATGTGCAGATATTGTCCTACCACCTGGGTGAAAACGCTGACGAAATACAGTCTTCTAAACACCTTGTGAAACAGCTATTTTCGAATGAATGGCATGCGATTCGCTCGTGTTGTCAAATGTAAGATGATGATGCTACAGGACTAGTTCGGATTACATTGACTCCTAGCTGAGAAATAGGGAGTTACATCAACCAATGCCAGTGGGTTGATCACTGACGAAATCTCAGCATGGCGGATACAGAAGGCTCGTCCCGCATATGCCAGTTTACGCCATCTCTGGCTTAGTAGACGTGATATACAGCTGGCTGTCGACCAAAGGGCGTGTGTACTGCTCAACAGTCCGCTCCGTCCTCCTTCATGGCTGTGAGATCTGGCCATTGAGAGTGGAGGACATGAAAAGGCTAGCTAGCTAGCTAGCTGTCTTTGATCATAGGTGCCTGAGTTCTATCTCCCCTGTTTGAAGTGGCATAATAAGATGAGCAATACGGAGGTTAGGCCTCTGTCGAGTGCTAGGTAAGCAGGGGAAATCAATAGACGAGACTGTGAAGTTACATCGATTGAGGTGGTTAGGACATGTGTGACGCATACCTAGGAATCGCCTCCCTCGACAATCGACAATCTTAGCTGACATAGGAGAGATCAGGTTGGAAAAGAGCCGGTGACGATCAAACCAAAATATGGCTTCATCAGTCAATGAAATCCACAACAGTTAGTTCAAGCCAGCCAGTCACGTTGGGATATGTAGACTTCCTGATTGGGGTCCTAGGGCTGTTGGAAACCAATGGGTGGAGACAATTGGTGATATGCCTCGAAATCGTTCTCAATGGCCGGCGGAGATGCATCCACTCCTTGTGACTTATAATATCCAATAAAACTATTGTTCTTCGTTATTATTATTATTATTATTGTATCCTTTAGTTCCTAGAGGAACATAGGGCTTCAGCTGCGCACCTCCATTGACTTCGGTTTTCTGACAACTTTTTCACCCTGCTCCAGGTCTGTCCACATGCTTTCATCTCCTCCTCGCATGACCTCCTCCAAGTCACCCTTGGACGACCAACTCGCCGCCTCCCTTTCGGGTTCCACTCGAGGGCTTGTCTAGTGATGTCACTTGATGGTTTCCTCAGCGTATGGCCAATCCATCTCCATTTCTTTCTGCCTATTTGTTTCACAATCGGTTCCTGATTGGTTCGCTCCCAGAGATCCCTGTTGCTGATCTTTTCTGGCCATCTGATCTTGAGTATTGAGCGGAGACAGTTGTTAATGAAGGTTTGAAGTTTGTTTGAGATGCTCTTTATGACTCGCCAAGTCTCTGATCCGTATAGTAGCACTGACTTCACATTGGAGTTGAAAAATCCGGATGTTATTTTTGATGCTGAGTGCTGTTGGCCTCCACACAGATTTGAGAGTAATGAAAGCTTGTCTTGCTTTTCCGATTCTGGCTTTGATGTCCTCGTCAGTTCCGCCTGTAGTTGAGACGATGCTTCCCAGGTAGGTGAAGGAGGTTGTTTCTTTCAGGTTCTTCCCATTTATGCTTATTGTGGTCTGTTGGTGTTGTTGATGTTGGCTAGGAATCTTCATCATCTCTGTTTTATCTATGTTCACGTGAAGTCCTATCTTTGATGCTTCTTCTGCCAACTTGTTACTTTTCACTTGCATATCTTCCAGTTTATGGGAAATCAGACATATATCATCGGCGAAATCCAGATCCTCCAAGTCTTTTGTGTCAGTCCATTTTATGCCTGTTCCCTCGTTGGTTGCCGTTGTCTGTCTCATTATCCAATCAATTGCAATCAGGAAGATCATTGGTGATAGTAGACAGCCTTGCCTCACTCCCGTCCTCACTTCGAAGGCTTCCGTAAGTTTCCCGTTGTGGATTACTTGGCATGCAGCATTGTCGTATAACTGTTGGATGAGGTGTATAATTGTCGATGGGACCCCGTAGTAGCGAAGTAGTTTCCAAATGACCTCTCGATCGACGCTGTCGAAGGCCTTTTCAAAGTCGATGAAGTTGAGATAGAGAGGTGACTGCTATTCCAAGCTTTGTTCAATGATGATCCGTAGAGTAGCGATTTGATCAATACATGATTTGTTTCTCCTGAATCCAGCCTGTTCCGGACGAAGTTTTTCATCTAGGGCTTGTTTGATTCTCTCCAGGATGATGCGACTTAGTATCTTACTTGGAATGGACAGAAGCATAATTCCACGCCAGTTTTTACATTGACTTAAGTTTCCTTTCTTTGGAAGTTTGAATAAGTAACCGTTTTTCCAATCCTCGGGTACTTCTTCGTTATAACTATACCTTTTTTTCTCGTATCACTGTCTACTGTCTTTTTTTGCATTTCTTGTACCTTCTTCTCTGGCTTTGTGTGTTGGGTGAAATGTGGCAACTCGAGTTCGTGTACATCTGTTTGAGGTTCTATTTTGTAACTAGTCATTCAGGAATTACTTAGCATTCGAGAACTCATAGGACAGTCCCACTGTAACAAGTTGAACAGTACTCAGTTGTTTGGTTATGTGCAGTCTCCTGCGTTGACGAGAATTATTAGGTGATGTTGGAGTGAGTAGGAAAATATGAAACCAATCCTTGAATCTGTCGACTTTTGGTTTGAAATACTTATGGAGACGTAAACTACTTGGCTACGGTTCCGGCATGTTTAGAATTAGTGGGCCTTTCTGAATTTCGGTAAATTGAACTGAAACACTTTGTGCTAAGTTACATATTGATAGACCAATCAACCCATAATGTGGAGGTGTACGTGTATGTCTGAAGGTGTTGCGTTGATGGCTCAGTGATTTCGGAATAGTAAAGCGTAGTTTCTTTGAAGTTCGTATTCAATCAAATAATTGTTTATCGCGCTGTTAAATGTAGTAGATGATAAGACGTACAGTCGATTGTCTGTTGAAGCTGGTACTCAGTAAGTTAAATTAGTTGGTCATAGCTTAGAAAAACGTATTTTTGAACAGAATCTTTTGTACATATTTTTTACGCTGAAACTCCTGTAGTAGATGTACTCATTTATATTTTTCTCAAGAGACTAACTAATACTTTCCGAATTTGGCGATATAATTTCTGATGGTTTTAATACGTAAATAACGATCGAATTTCATATCGAGCATAATCTTTCTTGAGGTGCTATTGTAACAACAGTAGGCAAGACACGGAAGCCAAGGTATATTTTCAAGTAATCAAGCTTGATATTCTTTAATCAATCCTTGAGCGTGTGATTTTGGCTTACATTAAACGACATGAAAGAGAATGCTCCAATAGATACATTGCATCTTGTCGCCAACGCAGGATGGAACGATGAGAATAGTGTTCTTATTCTAGCAATAAACAGAATCTTCAAATAGATATATCTCATTCTGTTGCTAATGCTGTGTTGAGTTTTTAGAATATGTGAGAATAATATTGCGTTGGAACATATTTTCTGTATCACATCACCACAATATTACTTATTGTCGATACTCACTAGTCGGTGCGTACAAAATATGCACTGGGTTTCAACTATGTTTTGCCACTTTTGCTAGCCTAACGTAGAATCTTTACAAATTGGGTAACTTTTGATTTGACGTGCATTTCATCTTTCTTTCGTTCAGTCAACTAGTACAAAAAATTCTATAGCTTTTGAAAAAAGGTTGCTTTTGATCATAGGTATATGCGTTCTTTATTACATGTTAAGTGGCACAATATGGTGAGTAATATTGTGTTTAGGTGTAGCTTGTAGCTACGTATACATTTTAACGTATAAATACATTTTGTTTTTAGGTTTTTAGTTTTTCACATTTTCGTTACGCATTGTTGTCAATTGGTTACAAATAAGCCATAGGGGGGGTTCCTATTTGTAGCGTTCCACGTTTTCGAGCCTTGGTGCCCCCGTGGTTAGTACTCTCGCCGACCATGCACATGGTCCGGGGTTCGATCCCTGCCGACGCACACTTGATATCAATGGTCGACCTGCAAAATTTGTGCTACCAATATCACATGGTGAAAATCCCATAATTCTACCGAGAGTACCGTGTGCAATCAAGCTATAATCGAAAAATTAAAATTAAATTTACATCAGTCAGTTATGTTAAACTTAGATCGTAACAGTTGAGACAGAATCCTGTGGCAATGTGAAATATATCATTTTTCGTGAAAATAAAGCTAACTTCAGTTACTACTCTCGACAACTACCCCCCTCAAATTCATCAAGACTTTTGTTTAAATAAGGATTAATTTAGTAGTTGAATAACGATACACTGACTATTAAATATTACTTGTGCGTATACAGGGTGAATAAAGACCTTAGTCTCGTAGATCGAATAATAACCATTATTTAGAACTGCTGGCTACATCATCTTTTTCAGGTAGTTTCATTAATAATAGCGATCAGAGTAATTTTCCAGAAATTTGCAAAATGTCTAAGAATGTGACGGGAGAGTACTTGGCTACCGCTTCATCCTGGTTTGGAGTTCTTCATTACGCAGTCGCAACCTAGGTTACAAGTCGAGCTCGTTCATCATTCAGCCCCTAGAACGGAACCCAGTAGGCCATGAATTCCTGCTTCTACCGATTCACGATACATAGCATTTTTTGCCGAAACTTTTTGTAGTGTTCTTTGTTATAGAGTTAAACATTTATAGTATATAAAAACTTATTCGCACTACAATTCAATCTTAAGTTCTGTTCGCATATTCACATGTTCCAAAAAGAAATCTATTATCTAATCAACTAAAGAAGAATTGGACAGCTATTTCGCCTTATTTCGAGATTCATCCTCATCTTCAGCGAATCTAGCGCAAAGCACTAGAGTTTATTAAGCTGAAAATTTACAAATAATACATTGTCACAGTTGGTTTATTGAAATATCTTTAGAAAACTTTGCATTGTAGTTTATGTGGAATTATTACATAGATTTAAAAATTGCCTATTCCAGAATACTTTCCAATTGATTTACCAAATTTATTCGTATTTCCATTTTTATTTTCCTATGCAGAATATTCCATGTGAAGATAAGTCTTCACTAAAGACTCCGGAGGATTTATCATTTTTTGATGATTTTTTCAATGATAGTTTTGGTGAGTAATCTTTTAATGTCATATATTTGATTTGTAGTAAGCTTCATAAGTTAGTTGACTCTTATCATTTTATATCTTCATTAGCTTAATATTCTAATCCTTGACTGTTTCATCACATTCAGTGGACCAGTAAACTGTAAAATCACCGCTTACTACTTTGGAGTGCATGTAAACTGATGGTGACTTGAACTGTAAATTGTAACGTTTTTACCTTTTGAATGCCCTAGTTTATTACATTTTCTCATCTGATCACTCCAATATTCTTTTCACCTGTTTAAAACCACTGTAATTTCAGGTAGCCTGTGACTGATGAAAATCCTTGAAATAAGATGTCATTGTAGGACTCAAATTTTATCTCTATTTTGTTGTATTGAAATCATCATTTAGGCTTTTATTTTTACCTTAAAGTCGTAGATTGAAATTTTCAAGTCTCCTTTATCAACTAAAGCGTTGACAGTGTGCTAATGTGATTGCGTACTGTTCACGCAGATTTACACTTACTTGGTCACTGATTTTTATGCTTGTTTATATTCCGTTATCTTCTCCTACAACATCAAAACACTTTTCATGTAAGTTTACATTTCTCGTTTTACCACCTTTGTCCCATGGTTTACTATTTATCTTCCTACCTTTTCTGATGACTAGTTGTAAATTGTTTTTTTTAATTATTTGAATTTATCAGTGAACTAGTCAATAAATAAACTCATCATCAGTAGGTGTTTGATGGTATAAAACGGATAATGTGTCCCATGGAATATTATACAAACAGTTCAGTTCGGCATTAGCAACCGAATACTATGTATATTTGAACATTCTATTTCATGTCGTTTAATGTAAATTGGAATCACACGCTCAGTGATTGGTTGAAGGATATGTATAAACTGTATATATACAAACAGCGGTTTGACCTTTGAAAGATATATCTTTGGCTTCCGTAACTTTTGTTGTTACAGGGGTATACAAAATTAGTTTTGTTTACGATGACTTCTGTTGATATATGAAAGGCTGCTTACCATGGGCTTGTTTCCTCTTCAAAACATCGGTATCATTTTAGTCGTTGTTTAAAATGAGATGGTGAATTGGTTGTCACCATTTGTACTCATCGAGTTCTATTTCAATCCCGAGCTGGTGTCCACATCCCTGTTTAAGTATGTATCATTTCTTTAGCTTATGAGGCGAACGTCTGCATTTGGCTTTTTAAACGCCAAATTTGGTGGGGGAGCTTTAATTTGTTCTAATTCAAAAAAAATTAAAGCATTTAGAGAGTTTGTGTCTATTTCTATCAAAATTGTTCTCAACAATGTAGATATTTTCGTTTTCTATCATCGAGATGTACAGTGTCTGCAGTAGTTTTCACTTTGCCTTGTATAATTTCATTGTATTCTGACAACATTTACTCTCTTACAGAATTTGGAAAAGTGAAGTGTTTTCTATTTTTATGAAGTTTTCCTTCTGAATAGTTGTTAAAGTGAAAAACTCATCACACGAACTTTTTGTTGTGTACACATGTGAATCGATATCATTATTCATTGGAATGCTTTCAAGAATTTGATCGCAGTTTTCGTTATATCTAACTAGAATGAAGCTAACATCTTCAAAACAGCGTACTTTGAAGCCGTTTCCCTCATACTTAATGCAATGCTGTGATGTGTGCAATAAATATTTGTAGCAAGTTAGATGTACGATCCTGTTTATTCTCACATCAAATCATTGTAATATATCAACATAAAATCTCAGTTATGTGACACCTATCCTGATGATTCCCAGTTGATCATCTGAATCACGTTGGTTAAGCTCATTCTAGTACATGTCTCATTAGTACTATGTCTTTGAATGTAATTATTTCTTTATATGGTACCTAGTAGTGAACTTCAAGATTCATAGGATTAGTAGACTACTCAATATTGCGCTTACACCTTGAGCCGCAATCTACAAATGTTTGGCATACGATTCGCTCCCTCCAAATGCAAGATGATGTTACAGGACTGGACTACATCGACGCCTAGTTTAAAAATAGGAAGTGAAGTGGTAGAGCACGTTAACCGCTTCACTTATTTGGGAAGTACCATCAGCCAGTGCCAACGGGTTGATCTCTGACGAAATCTCAGCACGAATACAGGGGGCTCGTTTCGCATTTGCCAGTTTACGCCGACTCTGGCGTAGACGAGATGTTCGACTATCGACCAAAGGGCGGGTGTACTGCTCATCAGTCCGCTCCGTCCTCCTTTATGGTTGTGAGACCTGGCCACTGAGAGTGGAAGACATGGAAATGCTGGCTAGTTGTCTTTGATCATAGGTGCCTGCGCTCTGTTTCCCGTTTAAAGTGGCATAATAAGATGAGCAATACGGAGGTTAGGCCTCTGTCGAGTGCTAGGTAAGGAGGGGAAATCAATCGACGAAGTCGTGAAGTTACAAAGACTGAGATGATTAGGACATGTGTTACGTATGCCAAGCCATCGCCTCCCTCGACGAGCAATGTTAGCGGATATAGGGTCAGGCTGGAAAAAAGCTAGCGGTGGTCAAACAAAAACTTGGCACCAGTCAATGAAATCCACAACAGTTGGTCTAAGCCACGTAGAAAGGTGTAGACTTCCAGGCTGGGGTCCTCGGGATGGTAGAAACCAATGGTTGGAAACAATTGGTGACATGGCTCAAAATCGTTCTCAGTGGCGCAGATGCATCCACTCCTTGTGACTTATGATCTCCAATGAAACTGTTTTGTTCTTCGTTATTACTCTTCCTTTGTCTCACACCTCTGCTCACTGTCTCTATTATGCTTTTCTTGTACTTTCTTCTCTTGCTTCGCGTGCTACACGGAGTGTGGCGACTTGAACTGGTGCACATTTGTGCAAAGCTCTATGTCGAAAACAGACAGACAGTGGTGGGTACTAAGTTATAGTCTCAATGAAGGATATTATGATTCTCTCGGATGCCTGTATATGCAACTAACCGAACTTGCTTATCGGACCCAACTACTAGCTATCACCAAACACGCAACCCCATATATTTCAATGCAATAATCTAACCATATTTGAGTGATTTCACCATCTAAACAATTCATATAATCAGTACATATCCTTTTTCATAGCACACATTCTTATTTTTCACTTGCAGATATATCTGAATTCTGTAACTGGAATGAAATATTATCAGATGTACATGATAACGACCATAACAAACAATCTCAGGTGAGGTTTTTTGCCACTATCGAAAATACTTTTAAGACTTGAGCAAAAATAACGACTTCTGCACCGGAATTATTATTCTCATACAATTTCACAGGATTTCTCCTGATTGTTTACGATAAAAGACTTCATAAATATGGAAAAATAGAATTGAGAATGTTCATTTACACTAATCAATTTAAACGGAAATAAGTAAATAATCAGAGCTAGAAGGAGGATAAGTTAGGCTGTTTTTTTCATTAAGGATTTAATGAATATTCCAGAGAGCTGAAAGAAACCTCATGATCAGTTGGTAGACGAAAGGAATTCTTGAATAAATAAATACAATTAGCGTTATATACCGTATGTATTGTTATAGTACGACGAAAATAAATAAATCACACTTCATAACAATGCGGTCTGACATCTAATTTATACTCTCTTTTTTCTCTCTGAAAACTTTGCTAGTTTCATACATTCACTTCATTTAGATGCAAAAGAAAGTGTTAATTAAGACTTCCAAAATGTGAGACCACGCATTGAAAGAATTTGTAGGCATTTCTAATAGGCAGTAGAAAAGCGAATCTAAGAATTCTTGCTCGTTGACTACTTGTGATTTTTCATTTGATGTTGACGTGTAACAAGCCCTGTGGACAGGTAAATTATAAGTTTGTAAGTATCCACTTAAAAAAAGATATGATATTTGTAACTGGAGACTTCGCATAAAATTCATTGTTGTCGTCGTTTCAATTTATTGTTTCAAGGGAAACAAACCGGATAATGGGGCTCCGAATGATGAAGCTTATTCATCTGGTACTCAATATTACTCTCTTCCCGAAGGTAAGATTTCCGTTGTTTCTCAGGATCGTTTTGCTAATCTAGAAGTTTACCTCTTATGATTTGTGAATTTATTAACATAGGTTTGACTTCAGAAATGGTTTCTTTTAAAAATCTTACTGGAGCTGGTCTCACTCCTTAATTTGACATTTTTGTATTTAAAGCAATTAGTTCCCTTTATGAATTTCGACAAAATAAGAAGACGTAGTTTATCCGAAACGCGTAATGTATTTGCTCAGTACATTTCGGTCATTCTGATCATACATGTACTTGTAATACACATTTATATAGAAGTCAAGAGAGCATGAATTATTATAGGCCAAATTTTGTACAGGTCAAGGTCACAAATAGGGGGTAGGAAGATGACGTAAGGATGTGGGGTAAGAAAAATAAGGAGGAGGGTGGAAATACCAATAAGTAAATTGAGCCGTTATAAATTATTTTAAAGTAATCCCAACGTGTTTAAGAAAAAGAATCAAAACTTGCTGGGATTATTTTAGATAATTCACCATGATTCAATCTGACTCGGCGCTCAAATTATTCCATGGTATTCGTAACATCTACAGTCTGGAAACTCATAAATTGAACCGTGGTTCGAAAAAAGATTAACTAGGCAGGTTCAAAGTAATAACGAATAATTTTCGGACACGCAAGACCGGTTTAGGCCTTTTTTATGGCTAAGGCTTCAACGAATTCAAGTATGTGACCCAACTTTGTTTTATTTATGGATTTAAAGGCACTGGTGTAATCAACCGTGTGACAAGTCTCTATTATATGCTTCGCTTTAGATGATGCTGGACATCCATCTCCGGGATTAGTTGAATCTGATGATTTTGCTTATTGTTGTAGCTACTTTGGAATATGTTCCGTAGTCCTAACCTGCAAAGACCGATGGTTCATCTATGTGTACGTGTGTTCACACAACGTGTAAATTGGTATGCAGAATGGGATGTGGCACTATCGTGCGGGGGTTTACAGGACAGCATAGATCTCGTTTTCTCTATGAAGATAAGTTTAGCTGATAGAAAGTCCTAATAATTGTCGCCATGAGTCTAATGATCAGACCTTTTTGATCATCCCTGCACGGCAAGATTATATAAACATCCTATTTGGGAGCAGACTGACTGGATCGGTAGAGGTCTTCGTTTGACACTTCTGTAACACAATGAATTTTAACGGATGGTTGTTATCTGACAATATTTCGGTGAGGTGTTGTGTTTCTTCAATGGTGTTGGCTGTACATATATGGTGAATGCGTCTGAACGAGCATTTAACCAACACTTTTATACTGTAGTGGACAGATACTATGATAATTAGGATAATGTACAGTCCGTGTGGACTTTCTGAGATAGATCGTTTTATTGACTCATCTTGTCGTTGGGTTATCAGTACATTTAAAAATGGCAAGCAATCTTTTACACATGTTAACGATATGCTGTCTTGTGCTGTATTGATCTACTTAAGGATTTCTATTGAATCTGTCGGTTAATCACAAATGACTATTATGTCATCCACGTATTTCTTAGAGAAATAAACTTTTCCAATTACGTCCTCCACTAGGTTGTCAACGTGCGACATGTAAAACAATGAACCTAGGGAGTTTCCCTAAGCAACACCATCTATCTGGCGAAAATGTTCGCGTCAAATGTAAACTTAACATTGCTAGTACATAAAAGCAGTAACTGTTTTTTCTTTTCTTTTTTTTTAAATGATCTATATATAGATATAGATAATAAAAAATCATTGTTAGTGATACAGTCACACAAATGTAAACCGTCTGTAACAGAGGTAGGTATACTTGTCGGTTAGGAATCAACGCCTAAGAAAACATGGTTTTGCCATGTATATCAACGTTATGAAGACACTCTCAACTCAAAAGTATCTCAAAATGCAAACTTACAGAAGCTTCTAAGAGGCTCTAATATTTTCACTGGCCACTTTCCAACTTTGTGGGTCCGAGATCTGCACGTTGACATCATGGAACGAATAGCGATGTTAGGTTTATGTGTTTCTCCCAGACTATACATGTGTGGTAATTTTCTCTACAGCCAAAGCACTATGTCTAACTGAATCTCCTAGCATTCAGTCCTCATTCTTGTTTTCAAGTGAATCCGTAGGAATTAAAGATAATTATATGTATTTATTGACGCCTTTCAGTACAATCCAACATCAGACACGGTAACACGTTTCCATTCAATTTATTGCAGCATTCTGTGATAATTGAGCATATTGTTACGCTGTATACTGCTCACCAGTGTGCTCTTAATTACTTTGTTATCCATCTCTTATTTCTGATTTTCTATACATCTGTGCTATTGGGAAACATGACAAAACTGAACCGAGAGTCAGAATACCCTGGTTAACCTACCTCACTATGGAGTATCGCTTGTTATTGTTATTAGGAACCCTATTCATGTAGTGTGTTTCACATTCTTTTACACTGAAAATCTCGGTCATTTATGGTGTTGCTGCTTGGTCGAGTGAAATTCAGTATTCCGTAGACATGTTTCGTACTTTGATCTGAGCAAGCTAATATGATCTAATTATGAACAATGAATTGTTCTCGAAATGTTGTCTGATGAATCACATTGTTTCAGTGTGTTGTATGCATTAGTAATTGCTAGCCTTGACGCGCTTTTCGGTTAGTACGCTGCGTTTGCTTAGTTATATAAAACTCTTATTTCTCTGTCGCTTCTTACCGAAAAGTTGTGGAATTTATTGTGAATATTTACTTACGAACACTGAACCTGTGGATATAATCTTGTTGAGTATGCATACCCAAGTCAGTGAGTCTGTGAATCTGTTGCAATGTTTGTTAACTGTTTTTGACAGTGATACTATCGTTACGGTTTTCTTTTGTTGTTGTCACTGCCCCCTTCCTGTTGTGGTTTTTTCTTTTCGTTGGTGTTGTTCTGATTGCTTTTTTCTTTCTTTTTCCTATGGGGTGCAACCCATAAAGTCTCTCCTCCGTAAACTACATATACATGTGACAACCACCTTCCCAGGCGTGAGGCTAGCAACCTCACCCTTTAAACAAATCAAGAAGAGGAGAAGACGTCGCCTCAGATCACTGTCTCGTACAAGGAACACTCCAAATCACATTACAAACTTTGAAAGAAACAGGAGCTGCAGACAGACCACAAGCCAAGTTCAATACTCACAAGCTGAAGGATCAGCCCACAAAGGACATCTTCACTGCAATCATAAGGAAAAAGGCAGAGACACAAATCAGCACTAGCAAAGAGACCAGCGTTGAAAAACACTGGAACAACCTGAAAGCGGTGTGGTGTGGAGTCAAACCTGCATAAGAGGAGGTCTAGGCACAAAGACGAGATAGGACAAACAGTGGCTCACCACAGCCACGTGACGACCAATAGAAGAGAGAAGGATGGTGAAACAAAAGATTGTGCAGTGCATCGACGAGCAAAGAAAACCGGAGTAGAGTGCCATGAAAGACAAAATGAAATATTGTGCAGCTACGGAAAGTCAAGCGGAGCAAGCTGCAGGCAAGGGAGACCTCGAAACACTCTACCAAACAACTCGGTTCCTATCAGGGGAGAGATGAACACAAATTAAGTCAGTGAAGGATGACAATAGAAAGTTAATCATTAAAGAGGTGGAGCAAAGGGAACACTGGACTGAACACTTCAAGAGACTTCTTAATCGACCGCCACCTCTACAACGTGCCCACTATTACGAAGAGCGGAGGTAGAACTGCCAGTGGATACCAACTGTCCGACGAAGGCGGAAATCCTGAAGGTCATAGAAGTGCTAAAAACTGGGAAAGCTATGGGACCAGACAGAATCCTCAGAGAAGTATTGAAAATGGATCCAGAGACATCAGCGAACTTGGTGACACGACTACTGAAGAAGGTGTGGAGAGAGAGAGAGAGAGAGTAAGGTAGCTGGGGATTAGAAGAGAGACTTCCTATTCGAACTGCCAAAGAAGGGGGACTTAGGTCAATGCAGGAACTGGCGCGGCATTATGCAAAATACTAAACCGCGCATCATTTGGGGAGACAATCAAACAAGCCCTGGATGAAAACACTTGACCGGAACAGACTGGATTCAGAAGAAACAAGTCATGCATCGATCAAATCGCAACACTACATATGATGATTGAACAGAGATTGGAATGGCAGTCTGTCACCTCTCTATCTCAACTTCATTGACTTTGTGTAGGCTACCTTCGACAGCGTCAACGGAGAGGTGATTTGGAAAGTACTTCGCTACTGCGGAGTTCCGCCAGCAATTATACACCTCCTTGAACAGTTGTACGATAATGTTGGTGGATGCCGAGTAGTCCACAACGGGAAACTCACGGAATCCTTGGAAGTGAAGACGGGAGTGAAACAAGGTTGGCTGGCTGGCTGGCTGCCTACTATCTGCAATGATTTTGCTGATATCGGGCGGTAGACTGGATAATGCGACAGGCAGACAACGGGGAACGAGGAGACAGGCATAAAATGGACCCACACACAGAAAACTTGGAGGATCTTAATGTCGGCGGTGGTATATGTCTGATTTCCCACAAACTGGAAGATATGCATGTGAAAAGCAACAAGTTGGCAGAAAAAGCATCCAGAGAAGATAGACCTTCAGGTGAACACTGAGAAGACAGATGTGATGAAGATTCCTGGCCAACAGGAACAGGAACAGCAATAACAACAGATAACAATCAGCATAAATGGGAGGAATCTGCAAGAAGCAACCTCCTTTACCTACCCACCTGTTTGGGAAGCATCGTTTCAACTACAGGTGGACGGAACTGACGAGGATATCAGAGCGAGGATCGGGAAAGCAAGGCAAGCTCTCGTTACTCTGATGTCTGTGTGGAGATCAACAGCACTTAGCATGAAAGATAAGATGCGGACTCTCAACTCCAATGTGAAGTCAGTGCTCCTATAGGGATGAGAGATTTGGCGTCGCGTCACGATGGTCACTTCGAACAAACTACAGACCTTCATCAACAGCTGTCTTCGCTGAAGATCAATCAGATGGCCATCCCGTCCATAGAAGATCAGCAACAGGGATCTCTGGGGACGAATCAACCAGGAACTGAATGTTCAACAAATATGCAGGAAGAGATGGAGATGGATTGGCGACACTCTGATAAAACCGTCAAGTGAGTGACATCACACTCCAGGCCATCGCTCGAGAAGAACCTGAATGGGAAGCGGTGAATTGGTCGTCAATGCGAGGGTGACATGTAGGAGGTCGTGCAAAGAGGATATGAAATCATGTGGGTAGACGTCGATCCAGGTGGAAACGTTAGCGGACGACTGTAAACAATTGAAGGCCGGCTGAAGCCCTATGTTCCTCCAGAAACTGAAGGAATCAATATCAATAATCTTCTAAAGTGGAAAATTCCCTGTGGCACAATCTGCTAATTTTGTTTGCATATCTACTTTCGCAGTTCCAACAGTTGCATGAACACTGTCTTACACAGCACACTGTTATTGTATTCAAAGTAAGTTTTTCTCCTATTGTTAACTAGGTTAACATAAGCCTTCACAAGTGTGTTGCCCATGATCATGAATGTGAAGAATCTACGCCCTTCAAATAAGTCATAATTTAAATAAATTTAGATGCATCTCCTAGATTTCTGTAAAGTATGTATTTCAAATCTCGTTTTTATTTTGATCAAAAACTCCTGGAATCTTACAGTCGAATGTACATGTTTTATTTTTAGAGTGCAGTAATTGGGCGACGACGGAGCCAGTTGTATTAGAGTCTAGTATTCAGGTTAGTGTGAATTATTCGCTGCTTTGCCAATATTTTCCCTTCCAATGATGACCCAAATTTTAAATAATTTTATTAGTAGTAATTAGCCGAGCAGTGTCATTCTTAGAATAATCTTTTCTTTTTTTATTCCCTTATGCTCCCAGTAGAACATAGGGCTTCAAGCTGGAGACTTGAAGTTTGGGTATCAGTGGTATTTATTTTTACGAGATGGGATTGCTAGCCTCATGGCCAACCTTTCCTCTCTAGCAGTCTTATCACTGGTATGGCGAGGTAAAGGAGTGCGTCGGCCGGGGATCGAACCCCGAACCACCTGCGTGGTTGGCGAACATTCTACCTCTGTGTCAGTGACTCACAACAGTAATTATTCAAATTTCAAAATAACTCGAAGTAATTTCACAGTGTTTAGAAGATCTGCAGTTTAAACGTTGAAAGTGGTTGATTCGTTTCTGCATATGGTTAGCTGTGTGATTGTTGGTAGAGGTGTGACAGATGAGATCTCTAGCTGGTGTATACACCAACCTGAGTGTCACAAAGTTAGTCTGGCCGTCAACGGTAGTGTTTACAATGTTTCGGCGCTCTCATTCCTCTTTATGCCTGTGAAACCTGGCCTCTACGAACTGAGGATGTGCAAGGACTCTGCTTTCTCGAATATCACTGCCTCTGCAAAACTGATTACCTCCGGTCACATCACCATGTAAGTAATTCTGGCTTCCAGTGGTGTTGAGATTGTTGTTCATTAAGAGTTGTCATCTTGAGACATTGTCCTTTGGTGTGACATGTGCTATGACTGCCATCTTAGTAGCTTGAGGATAGTCACTGCTCGCTTTTTCTAGGATTGTGTAACACAAGCGGAGAGGTGATCAGCCTATGACATTACGTTGTGGGGTGAAGGATACTTGTTTTGCGTCAGCATCTGTTGGCGCATCACAACTCTCGGAGTAGCGATTCAAGAGATAATTCGAATCGCTGGTTCTAGGCGTTATTGGATATGGCTGGGAACCTCAATCAATACCGACTATGCTGCAATTTCTTCATTTCCTCTTTACGAAAGTAACACGCTCTCGATAAGTGTGCTTGTTGGTTTCCTTGTTGCCGTTTTTCAATCGTGCTACTTCTCTCTTATATATTGTGTTTTACTATTTTTGTGTGTCGCATATCTTGATGCTACCAATTTTGTGTGCAAATAAAGTGAAGCTTGACTGAGATGTAGTCGGAAACAAATGCTGTTCGCTTATACATCTTGTTTATTCATCACTGGTTTAGGTGGGTAGTTCTCTCCTCGAAATGTTAGCTGATTTGTCTGAAATAAAATGTTCCTCTGAAGGCACGGATGCTTCACATCAATCATCATCATCATTCTGTCGTAGAAGTTGAGAATGTTTTTTTTTCTAATTTTTTTCCTAATTGTTTACGATAAAAGACTTCATAAATATGGAAAAATAGAATTGAGAATGTTCATTTACACTAATCAATTTAAACGGAAATAAGTAAATAATCAGAGCTAGAAGGAGGATAAGTTAGGCTGTTTTTTTCATTAAGGATTTAATGAATATTCCAGAGAGCTGAAAGAAACCTCATGATCAGTTGGTAGACGAAAGGAATTCTTGAATAAATAAATACAATTAGCGTTATATACCGTATGTATTGTTATAGTACGACGAAAATAAATAAATCACACTTCATAACAATGCGGTCTGACATCTAATTTATACTCTCTTTTTTCTCTCTGAAAACTTTGCTAGTTTCATACATTCACTTCATTTAGATGCAAAAGAAAGTGTTAATTAAGACTTCCAAAATGTGAGACCACGCATTGAAAGAATTTGTAGGCATTTCTAATAGGCAGTAGAAAAGCGAATCTAAGAATTCTTGCTCGTTGACTACTTGTGATTTTTCATTTGATGTTGACGTGTAACAAGCCCTGTGGACAGGTAAATTATAAGTTTGTAAGTATCCACTTAAAAAAAGATATGATATTTGTAACTGGAGACTTCGCATAAAATTCATTGTTGTCGTCGTTTCAATTTATTGTTTCAAGGGAAACAAACCGGATAATGGGGCTCCGAATGATGAAGCTGATTCATCTGGTACTCAATATTACTCTCTTCCCGAAGGTAAGATTTCCGTTGTTTCTCAGGATCGTTTTGCTAATCTAGAAGTTTACCTCTTATGATTTGTGAATTTATTAACATAGGTTTGACTTCAGAAATGGTTTCTTTTAAAAATCTTACTGGAGCTGGTCTCACTCCTTAATTTGACATTTTTGTATTTAAAGCAATTAGTTCCCTTTATGAATTTCGACAAAATAAGAAGACGTAGTTTATCCGAAACGCGTAATGTATTTGCTCAGTACATTTCGGTCATTCTGATCATACATGTACTTGTAATACACATTTATATAGAAGTCAAGAGAGCATGAATTATTATAGGCCAAATTTTGTACAGGTCAAGGTCACAAATAGGGGGTAGGAAGATGACGTAAGGATGTGGGGTAAGAAAAATAAGGAGGAGGGTGGAAATACCAATAAGTAAATTGAGCCGTTATAAATTATTTTAAAGTAATCCCAACGTGTTTAAGAAAAAGAATCAAAACTTGCTGGGATTATTTTAGATAATTCACCATGATTCAATCTGACTCGGCGCTCAAATTATTCCATGGTATTCGTAACATCTACAGTCTGGAAACTCATAAATTGAACCGTGGTTCGAAAAAAGATTAACTAGGCAGGTTCAAAGTAATAACGAATAATTTTCGGACACGCAAGACCGGTTTAGGCCTTTTTTATGGCTAAGGCTTCAACGAATTCAAGTATGTGACCCAACTTTGTTTTATTTATGGATTTAAAGGCACTGGTGTAATCAACCGTGTGACAAGTCTCTATTATATGCTTCGCTTTAGATGATGCTGGACATCCATCTCCGGGATTAGTTGAATCTGATGATTTTGCTTATTGTTGTAGCTACTTTGGAATATGTTCCGTAGTCCTAACCTGCAAAGACCGATGGTTCATCTATGTGTACGTGTGTTCACACAACGTGTAAATTGGTATGCAGAATGGGATGTGGCACTATCGTGCGGGGGTTTACAGGACAGCATAGATCTCGTTTTCTCTATGAAGATAAGTTTAGCTGATAGAAAGTCCTAATAATTGTCGCCATGAGTCTAATGATCAGACCTTTTTGATCATCCCTGCACGGCAAGATTATATAAACATCCTATTTGGGAGCAGACTGACTGGATCGGTAGAGGTCTTCGTTTGACACTTCTGTAACACAATGAATTTTAACGGATGGTTGTTATCTGACAATATTTCGGTGAGGTGTTGTGTTTCTTCAATGGTGTTGGCTGTACATATATGGTGAATGCGTCTGAACGAGCATTTAACCAACACTTTTATACTGTAGTGGACAGATACTATGATAATTAGGATAATGTACAGTCCGTGTGGACTTTCTGAGATAGATCGTTTTATTGACTCATCTTGTCGTTGGGTTATCAGTACATTTAAAAATGGCAAGCAATCTTTTACACATGTTAACGATATGCTGTCTTGTGCTGTATTGATCTACTTAAGGATTTCTATTGAATCTGTCGGTTAATCACAAATGACTATTATGTCATCCACGTATTTCTTAGAGAAATAAACTTTTCCAATTACGTCCTCCACTAGGTTGTCAACGTGCGACATGTAAAACAATGAACCTAGGGAGTTTCCCTAAGCAACACCATCTATCTGGCGAAAATGTTCGCGTCAAATGTAAACTTAACATTGCTAGTACATAAAAGCAGTAACTGTTTTTTCTTTTCTTTTTTTTTAAATGATCTATATATAGATATAGATAATAAAAAATCATTGTTAGTGATACAGTCACACAAATGTAAACCGTCTGTAACAGAGGTAGGTATACTTGTCGGTTAGGAATCAACGCCTAAGAAAACATGGTTTTGCCATGTATATCAACGTTATGAAGACACTCTCAACTCAAAAGTATCTCAAAATGCAAACTTACAGAAGCTTCTAAGAGGCTCTAATATTTTCACTGGCCACTTTCCAACTTTGTGGGTCCGAGATCTGCACGTTGACATCATGGAACGAATAGCGATGTTAGGTTTATGTGTTTCTCCCAGACTATACATGTGTGGTAATTTTCTCTACAGCCAAAGCACTATGTCTAACTGAATCTCCTAGCATTCAGTCCTCATTCTTGTTTTCAAGTGAATCCGTAGGAATTAAAGATGATTATACGTATTTATTGACGCCTTTCAGTACAATCCAACATCAGACACGGTAACACGTTTCCATTCAATTTATTGCAGCATTCTGTGATAATTGAGCATATTGTTACGCTGTATACTGCTCACCAGTGTGCTCTTAATTACTTTGTTATCCATCTCTTATTTCTGATTTTCTATACATCTGTGCTATTGGGAAACATGACAAAACTGAACCGAGAGTCAGAATACCCTGGTTAACCTACCTCACTATGGAGTATCGCTTGTTATTGTTATTAGGAACCCTATTCATGTAGTGTGTTTCACATTCTTTTACACTGAAAATCTCGGTCATTTATGGTGTTGCTGCTTGGTCGAGTGAAATTCAGTATTCCGTAGACATGTTTCGTACTTTGATCTGAGCAAGCTAATATGATCTAATTATGAACAATGAATTGTTCTCGAAATGTTGTCTGATGAATCACATTGTTTCAGTGTGTTGTATGCATTAGTAATTGCTAGCCTTGACGCGCTTTTCGGTTAGTACGCTGCGTTTGCTTAGTTATATAAAACTCTTATTTCTCTGTCGCTTCTTACCGAAAAGTTGTGGAATTTATTGTGAATATTTACTTACGAACACTGAACCTGTGGATATAATCTTGTTGAGTATGCATACCCAAGTCAGTGAGTCTGTGAATCTGTTGCAATGTTTGTTAACTGTTTTTGACAGTGATACTATCGTTACGGTTTTCTTTTGTTGTTGTCACTGCCCCCTTCCTGTTGTGGTTTTTTCTTTTCGTTGGTGTTGTTCTGATTGCTTTTTTCTTTCTTTTTCCTATGGGGTGCAACCCATAAAGTCTCTCCTCCGTAAACTACATATACATGTGACAACCACCTTCCCAGGCGTGAGGCTAGCAACCTCACCCTTTAAACAAATCAAGAAGAGGAGAAGACGTCGCCTCAGATCACTGTCTCGTACAAGGAACACTCCAAATCACATTACAAACTTTGAAAGAAACAGGAGCTGCAGACAGACCACAAGCCAAGTTCAATACTCACAAGCTGAAGGATCAGCCCACAAAGGACATCTTCACTGCAATCATAAGGAAAAAGGCAGAGACACAAATCAGCACTAGCAAAGAGACCAGCGTTGAAAAACACTGGAACAACCTGAAAGCGGTGTGGTGTGGAGTCAAACCTGCATAAGAGGAGGTCTAGGCACAAAGACGAGATAGGACAAACAGTGGCTCACCACAGCCACGTGACGACCAATAGAAGAGAGAAGGATGGTGAAACAAAAGATTGTGCAGTGCATCGACGAGCAAAGAAAACCGGAGTAGAGTGCCATGAAAGACAAAATGAAATATTGTGCAGCTACGGAAAGTCAAGCGGAGCAAGCTGCAGGCAAGGGAGACCTCGAAACACTCTACCAAACAACTCGGTTCCTATCAGGGGAGAGATGAACACAAATTAAGTCAGTGAAGGATGACAATAGAAAGTTAATCATTAAAGAGGTGGAGCAAAGGGAACACTGGACTGAACACTTCAAGAGACTTCTTAATCGACCGCCACCTCTACAACGTGCCCACTATTACGAAGAGCGGAGGTAGAACTGCCAGTGGATACCAACTGTCCGACGAAGGCGGAAATCCTGAAGGTCATAGAAGTGCTAAAAACTGGGAAAGCTATGGGACCAGACAGAATCCTCAGAGAAGTATTGAAAATGGATCCAGAGACATCAGCGAACTTGGTGACACGACTACTGAAGAAGGTGTGGAGAGAGAGAGAGAGAGAGTAAGGTAGCTGGGGATTAGAAGAGAGACTTCCTATTCGAACTGCCAAAGAAGGGGGACTTAGGTCAATGCAGGAACTGGCGCGGCATTATGCAAAATACTAAACCGCGCATCATTTGGGGAGACAATCAAACAAGCCCTGGATGAAAACACTTGACCGGAACAGACTGGATTCAGAAGAAACAAGTCATGCATCGATCAAATCGCAACACTACATATGATGATTGAACAGAGATTGGAATGGCAGTCTGTCACCTCTCTATCTCAACTTCATTGACTTTGTGTAGGCTACCTTCGACAGCGTCAACGGAGAGGTGATTTGGAAAGTACTTCGCTACTGCGGAGTTCCGCCAGCAATTATACACCTCCTTGAACAGTTGTACGATAATGTTGGTGGATGCCGAGTAGTCCACAACGGGAAACTCACGGAATCCTTGGAAGTGAAGACGGGAGTGAAACAAGGTTGGCTGGCTGGCTGGCTGCCTACTATCTGCAATGATTTTGCTGATATCGGGCGGTAGACTGGATAATGCGACAGGCAGACAACGGGGAACGAGGAGACAGGCATAAAATGGACCCACACACAGAAAACTTGGAGGATCTTAATGTCGGCGGTGGTATATGTCTGATTTCCCACAAACTGGAAGATATGCATGTGAAAAGCAACAAGTTGGCAGAAAAAGCATCCAGAGAAGATAGACCTTCAGGTGAACACTGAGAAGACAGATGTGATGAAGATTCCTGGCCAACAGGAACAGGAACAGCAATAACAACAGATAACAATCAGCATAAATGGGAGGAATCTGCAAGAAGCAACCTCCTTTACCTACCCACCTGTTTGGGAAGCATCGTTTCAACTACAGGTGGACGGAACTGACGAGGATATCAGAGCGAGGATCGGGAAAGCAAGGCAAGCTCTCGTTACTCTGATGTCTGTGTGGAGATCAACAGCACTTAGCATGAAAGATAAGATGCGGACTCTCAACTCCAATGTGAAGTCAGTGCTCCTATAGGGATGAGAGATTTGGCGTCGCGTCACGATGGTCACTTCGAACAAACTACAGACCTTCATCAACAGCTGTCTTCGCTGAAGATCAATCAGATGGCCATCCCGTCCATAGAAGATCAGCAACAGGGATCTCTGGGGACGAATCAACCAGGAACTGAATGTTCAACAAATATGCAGGAAGAGATGGAGATGGATTGGCGACACTCTGATAAAACCGTCAAGTGAGTGACATCACACTCCAGGCCATCGCTCGAGAAGAACCTGAATGGGAAGCGGTGAATTGGTCGTCAATGCGAGGGTGACATGTAGGAGGTCGTGCAAAGAGGATATGAAATCATGTGGGTAGACGTCGATCCAGGTGGAAACGTTAGCGGACGACTGTAAACAATTGAAGGCCGGCTGAAGCCCTATGTTCCTCCAGAAACTGAAGGAATCAATATCAATAATCTTCTAAAGTGGAAAATTCCCTGTGGCACAATCTGCTAATTTTGTTTGCATATCTACTTTCGCAGTTCCAACAGTTGCATGAACACTGTCTTACACAGCACACTGTTATTGTATTCAAAGTAAGTTTTTCTCCTATTGTTAACTAGGTTAACATAAGCCTTCACAAGTGTGTTGCCCATGATCATGAATGTGAAGAATCTACGCCCTTCAAATAAGTCATAATTTAAATAAATTTAGATGCATCTCCTAGATTTCTGTAAAGTATGTATTTCAAATCTCGTTTTTATTTTGATCAAAAACTCCTGGAATCTTACAGTCGAATGTACATGTTTTATTTTTAGAGTGCAGTAATTGGGCGACGACGGAGCCAGTTGTATTAGAGTCTAGTATTCAGGTTAGTGTGAATTATTCGCTGCTTTGCCAATATTTTCCCTTCCAATGATGACCCAAATTTTAAATAATTTTATTAGTAGTAATTAGCCGAGCAGTGTCATTCTTAGAATAATCTTTTCTTTTTTTATTCCCTTATGCTCCCAGTAGAACATAGGGCTTCAAGCTGGAGACTTGAAGTTTGGGTATCAGTGGTATTTATTTTTACGAGATGGGATTGCTAGCCTCATGGCCAACCTTTCCTCTCTAGCAGTCTTATCACTGGTATGGCGAGGTAAAGGAGTGCGTCGGCCGGGGATCGAACCCCGAACCACCTGCGTGGTTGGCGAACATTCTACCTCTGTGTCAGTGACTCACAACAGTAATTATTCAAATTTCAAAATAACTCGAAGTAATTTCACAGTGTTTAGAAGATCTGCAGTTTAAACGTTGAAAGTGGTTGATTCGTTTCTGCATATGGTTAGCTGTGTGATTGTTGGTAGAGGTGTGACAGATGAGATCTCTAGCTGGTGTATACACCAACCTGAGTGTCACAAAGTTAGTCTGGCCGTCAACGGTAGTGTTTACAATGTTTCGGCGCTCTCATTCCTCTTTATGCCTGTGAAACCTGGCCTCTACGAACTGAGGATGTGCAAGGACTCTGCTTTCTCGAATATCACTGCCTCTGCAAAACTGATTACCTCCGGTCACATCACCATGTAAGTAATTCTGGCTTCCAGTGGTGTTGAGATTGTTGTTCATTAAGAGTTGTCATCTTGAGACATTGTCCTTTGGTGTGACATGTGCTATGACTGCCATCTTAGTAGCTTGAGGATAGTCACTGCTCGCTTTTTCTAGGATTGTGTAACACAAGCGGAGAGGTGATCAGCCTATGACATTACGTTGTGGGGTGAAGGATACTTGTTTTGCGTCAGCATCTGTTGGCGCATCACAACTCTCGGAGTAGCGATTCAAGAGATAATTCGAATCGCTGGTTCTAGGCGTTATTGGATATGGCTGGGAACCTCAATCAATACCGACTATGCTGCAATTTCTTCATTTCCTCTTTACGAAAGTAACACGCTCTCGATAAGTGTGCTTGTTGGTTTCCTTGTTGCCGTTTTTCAATCGTGCTACTTCTCTCTTATATATTGTGTTTTACTATTTTTGTGTGTCGCATATCTTGATGCTACCAATTTTGTGTGCAAATAAAGTGAAGCTTGACTGAGATGTAGTCGGAAACAAATGCTGTTCGCTTATACATCTTGTTTATTCATCACTGGTTTAGGTGGGTAGTTCTCTCCTCGAAATGTTAGCTGATTTGTCTGAAATAAAATGTTCCTCTGAAGGCACGGATGCTTCACATCAATCATCATCATCATTCTGTCGTAGAAGTTGAGAATGTTTTTTTTTCTAATTTTTTTCCTAATTGTTTACGATAAAAGACTTCATAAATATGGAAAAATAGAATTGAGAATGTTCATTTACACTAATCAATTTAAACGGAAATAAGTAAATAATCAGAGCTAGAAGGAGGATAAGTTAGGCTGTTTTTTTCATTAAGGATTTAATGAATATTCCAGAGAGCTGAAAGAAACCTCATGATCAGTTGGTAGACGAAAGGAATTCTTGAATAAATAAATACAATTAGCGTTATATACCGTATGTATTGTTATAGTACGACGAAAATAAATAAATCACACTTCATAACAATGCGGTCTGACATCTAATTTATACTCTCTTTTTTCTCTCTGAAAACTTTGCTAGTTTCATACATTCACTTCATTTAGATGCAAAAGAAAGTGTTAATTAAGACTTCCAAAATGTGAGACCACGCATTGAAAGAATTTGTAGGCATTTCTAATAGGCAGTAGAAAAGCGAATCTAAGAATTCTTGCTCGTTGACTACTTGTGATTTTTCATTTGATGTTGACGTGTAACAAGCCCTGTGGACAGGTAAATTATAAGTTTGTAAGTATCCACTTAAAAAAAGATATGATATTTGTAACTGGAGACTTCGCATAAAATTCATTGTTGTCGTCGTTTCAATTTATTGTTTCAAGGGAAACAAACCGGATAATGGGGCTCCGAATGATGAAGCTGATTCATCTGGTACTCAATATTACTCTCTTCCCGAAGGTAAGATTTCCGTTGTTTCTCAGGATCGTTTTGCTAATCTAGAAGTTTACCTCTTATGATTTGTGAATTTATTAACATAGGTTTGACTTCAGAAATGGTTTCTTTTAAAAATCTTACTGGAGCTGGTCTCACTCCTTAATTTGACATTTTTGTATTTAAAGCAATTAGTTCCCTTTATGAATTTCGACAAAATAAGAAGACGTAGTTTATCCGAAACGCGTAATGTATTTGCTCAGTACATTTCGGTCATTCTGATCATACATGTACTTGTAATACACATTTATATAGAAGTCAAGAGAGCATGAATTATTATAGGCCAAATTTTGTACAGGTCAAGGTCACAAATAGGGGGTAGGAGGATGACGTAAGGATGTGGGGTAAGAAAAATAAGGAGGAGGGTGGAAATACCAATAAGTAAATTGAGCCGTTATAAATTATTTTAAAGTAATCCCAACGTGTTTAAGAAAAAGAATCAAAACTTGCTGGGATTATTTTAGATAATTCACCATGATTCAATCTGACTCGGCGCTCAAATTATTCCATGGTATTCGTAACATCTACAGTCTGGAAACTCATAAATTGAACCGTGGTTCGAAAAAAGATTAACTAGGCAGGTTCAAAGTAATAACGAATAATTTTCGGACACGCAAGACCGGTTTAGGCCTTTTTTATGGCTAAGGCTTCAACGAATTCAAGTATGTGACCCAACTTTGTTTTATTTATGGATTTAAAGGCACTGGTGTAATCAACCGTGTGACAAGTCTCTATTATATGCTTCGCTTTAGATGATGCTGGACATCCATCTCCGGGATTAGTTGAATCTGATGATTTTGCTTATTGTTGTAGCTACTTTGGAATATGTTCCGTAGTCCTAACCTGCAAAGACCGATGGTTCATCTATGTGTACGTGTGTTCACACAACGTGTAAATTGGTATGCAGAATGGGATGTGGCACTATCGTGCGGGGGTTTACAGGACAGCATAGATCTCGTTTTCTCTATGAAGATAAGTTTAGCTGATAGAAAGTCCTAATAATTGTCGCCATGAGTCTAATGATCAGACCTTTTTGATCATCCCTGCACGGCAAGATTATATAAACATCCTATTTGGGAGCAGACTGACTGGATCGGTAGAGGTCTTCGTTTGACACTTCTGTAACACAATGAATTTTAACGGATGGTTGTTATCTGACAATATTTCGGTGAGGTGTTGTGTTTCTTCAATGGTGTTGGCTGTACATATATGGTGAATGCGTCTGAACGAGCATTTAACCAACACTTTTATACTGTAGTGGACAGATACTATGATAATTAGGATAATGTACAGTCCGTGTGGACTTTCTGAGATAGATCGTTTTATTGACTCATCTTGTCGTTGGGTTATCAGTACATTTAAAAATGGCAAGCAATCTTTTACACATGTTAACGATATGCTGTCTTGTGCTGTATTGATCTACTTAAGGATTTCTATTGAATCTGTCGGTTAATCACAAATGACTATTATGTCATCCACGTATTTCTTAGAGAAATAAACTTTTCCAATTACGTCCTCCACTAGGTTGTCAACGTGCGACATGTAAAACAATGAACCTAGGGAGTTTCCCTAAGCAACACCATCTATCTGGCGAAAATGTTCGCGTCAAATGTAAACTTAACATTGCTAGTACATAAAAGCAGTAACTGTTTTTTCTTTTCTTTTTTTTTAAATGATCTATATATAGATATAGATAATAAAAAATCATTGTTAGTGATACAGTCACACAAATGTAAACCGTCTGTAACAGAGGTAGGTATACTTGTCGGTTAGGAATCAACGCCTAAGAAAACATGGTTTTGCCATGTATATCAACGTTATGAAGACACTCTCAACTCAAAAGTATCTCAAAATGCAAACTTACAGAAGCTTCTAAGAGGCTCTAATATTTTCACTGGCCACTTTCCAACTTTGTGGGTCCGAGATCTGCACGTTGACATCATGGAACGAATAGCGATGTTAGGTTTATGTGTTTCTCCCAGACTATACATGTGTGGTAATTTTCTCTACAGCCAAAGCACTATGTCTAACTGAATCTCCTAGCATTCAGTCCTCATTCTTGTTTTCAAGTGAATCCGTAGGAATTAAAGATAATTATATGTATTTATTGACGCCTTTCAGTACAATCCAACATCAGACACGGTAACACGTTTCCATTCAATTTATTGCAGCATTCTGTGATAATTGAGCATATTGTTACGCTGTATACTGCTCACCAGTGTGCTCTTAATTACTTTGTTATCCATCTCTTATTTCTGATTTTCTATACATCTGTGCTATTGGGAAACATGACAAAACTGAACCGAGAGTCAGAATACCCTGGTTAACCTACCTCACTATGGAGTATCGCTTGTTATTGTTATTAGGAACCCTATTCATGTAGTGTGTTTCACATTCTTTTACACTGAAAATCTCGGTCATTTATGGTGTTGCTGCTTGGTCGAGTGAAATTCAGTATTCCGTAGACATGTTTCGTACTTTGATCTGAGCAAGCTAATATGATCTAATTATGAACAATGAATTGTTCTCGAAATGTTGTCTGATGAATCACATTGTTTCAGTGTGTTGTATGCATTAGTAATTGCTAGCCTTGACGCGCTTTTCGGTTAGTACGCTGCGTTTGCTTAGTTATATAAAACTCTTATTTCTCTGTCGCTTCTTACCGAAAAGTTGTGGAATTTATTGTGAATATTTACTTACGAACACTGAACCTGTGGATATAATCTTGTTGAGTATGCATACCCAAGTCAGTGAGTCTGTGAATCTGTTGCAATGTTTGTTAACTGTTTTTGACAGTGATACTATCGTTACGGTTTTCTTTTGTTGTTGTCACTGCCCCCTTCCTGTTGTGGTTTTTTCTTTTCGTTGGTGTTGTTCTGATTGCTTTTTTCTTTCTTTTTCCTATGGGGTGCAACCCATAAAGTCTCTCCTCCGTAAACTACATATACATGTGACAACCACCTTCCCAGGCGTGAGGCTAGCAACCTCACCCTTTAAACAAATCAAGAAGAGGAGAAGACGTCGCCTCAGATCACTGTCTCGTACAAGGAACACTCCAAATCACATTACAAACTTTGAAAGAAACAGGAGCTGCAGACAGACCACAAGCCAAGTTCAATACTCACAAGCTGAAGGATCAGCCCACAAAGGACATCTTCACTGCAATCATAAGGAAAAAGGCAGAGACACAAATCAGCACTAGCAAAGAGACCAGCGTTGAAAAACACTGGAACAACCTGAAAGCGGTGTGGTGTGGAGTCAAACCTGCATAAGAGGAGGTCTAGGCACAAAGACGAGATAGGACAAACAGTGGCTCACCACAGCCACGTGACGACCAATAGAAGAGAGAAGGATGGTGAAACAAAAGATTGTGCAGTGCATCGACGAGCAAAGAAAACCGGAGTAGAGTGCCATGAAAGACAAAATGAAATATTGTGCAGCTACGGAAAGTCAAGCGGAGCAAGCTCCAGGCAAGGGAGACCTCGAAACACTCTACCAAACAACTCGGTTCCTATCAGGGGAGAGATGAACACAAATTAAGTCAGTGAAGGATGACAATAGAAAGTTAATCATTAAAGAGGTGGAGCAAAGGGAACACTGGACTGAACACTTCAAGAGACTTCTTAATCGACCGCCACCTCTACAACGTGCCCACTATTACGAAGAGCGGAGGTAGAACTGCCAGTGGATACCAACTGTCCGACGAAGGCGGAAATCCTGAAGGTCATAGAAGTGCTAAAAACTGGGAAAGCTATGGGACCAGACAGAATCCTCAGAGAAGTATTGAAAATGGATCCAGAGACATCAGCGAACTTGGTGACACGACTACTGAAGAAGGTGTGGAGAGAGAGAGAGAGAGAGTAAGGTAGCTGGGGATTAGAAGAGAGACTTCCTATTCGAACTGCCAAAGAAGGGGGACTTAGGTCAATGCAGGAACTGGCGCGGTATTATGCAAAATACTAAACCGCGCATCATTTGGGGAGACAATCAAACAAGCCCTGGATGAAAACACTTGACCGGAACAGACTGGATTCAGAAGAAACAAGTCATGCATCGATCAAATCGCAACACTACATATGATGATTGAACAGAGATTGGAATGGCAGTCTGTCACCTCTCTATCTCAACTTCATTGACTTTGTGTAGGCTACCTTCGACAGCGTCAACGGAGAGGTGATTTGGAAAGTACTTCGCTACTGCGGAGTTCCGCCAGCAATTATACACCTCCTTGAACAGTTGTACGATAATGTTGGTGGATGCCGAGTAGTCCACAACGGGAAACTCACGGAATCCTTGGAAGTGAAGACGGGAGTGAAACAAGGTTGGCTGGCTGGCTGGCTGCCTACTATCTGCAATGATTTTGCTGATATCGGGCGGTAGACTGGATAATGCGACAGGCAGACAACGGGGAACGAGGAGACAGGCATAAAATGGACCCACACACAGAAAACTTGGAGGATCTTAATGTCGGCGGTGGTATATGTCTGATTTCCCACAAACTGGAAGATATGCATGTGAAAAGCAACAAGTTGGCAGAAAAAGCATCCAGAGAAGATAGACCTTCAGGTGAACACTGAGAAGACAGATGTGATGAAGATTCCTGGCCAACAGGAACAGGAACAGCAATAACAACAGATAACAATCAGCATAAATGGGAGGAATCTGCAAGAAGCAACCTCCTTTACCTACCCACCTGTTTGGGAAGCATCGTTTCAACTACAGGTGGACGGAACTGACGAGGATATCAGAGCGAGGATCGGGAAAGCAAGGCAAGCTCTCGTTACTCTGATGTCTGTGTGGAGATCAACAGCACTTAGCATGAAAGATAAGATGCGGACTCTCAACTCCAATGTGAAGTCAGTGCTCCTATAGGGATGAGAGATTTGGCGTCGCGTCACGATGGTCACTTCGAACAAACTACAGACCTTCATCAACAGCTGTCTTCGCTGAAGATCAATCAGATGGCCATCCCGTCCATAGAAGATCAGCAACAGGGATCTCTGGGGACGAATCAACCAGGAACTGAATGTTCAACAAATATGCAGGAAGAGATGGAGATGGATTGGCGACACTCTGATAAAACCGTCAAGTGAGTGACATCACACTCCAGGCCATCGCTCGAGAAGAACCTGAATGGGAAGCGGTGAATTGGTCGTCAATGCGAGGGTGACATGTAGGAGGTCGTGCAAAGAGGATATGAAATCATGTGGGTAGACGTCGATCCAGGTGGAAACGTTAGCGGACGACTGTAAACAATTGAAGGCCGGCTGAAGCCCTATGTTCCTCCAGAAACTGAAGGAATCAATATCAATAATCTTCTAAAGTGGAAAATTCCCTGTGGCACAATCTGCTAATTTTGTTTGCATATCTACTTTCGCAGTTCCAACAGTTGCATGAACACTGTCTTACACAGCACACTGTTATTGTATTCAAAGTAAGTTTTTCTCCTATTGTTAACTAGGTTAACATAAGCCTTCACAAGTGTGTTGCCCATGATCATGAATGTGAAGAATCTACGCCCTTCAAATAAGTCATAATTTAAATAAATTTAGATGCATCTCCTAGATTTCTGTAAAGTATGTATTTCAAATCTCGTTTTTATTTTGATCAAAAACTCCTGGAATCTTACAGTCGAATGTACATGTTTTATTTTTAGAGTGCAGTAATTGGGCGACGACGGAGCCAGTTGTATTAGAGTCTAGTATTCAGGTTAGTGTGAATTATTCGCTGCTTTGCCAATATTTTCCCTTCCAATGATGACCCAAATTTTAAATAATTTTATTAGTAGTAATTAGCCGAGCAGTGTCATTCTTAGAATAATCTTTTCTTTTTTTATTCCCTTATGCTCCCAGTAGAACATAGGGCTTCAAGCTGGAGACTTGAAGTTTGGGTATCAGTGGTATTTATTTTTACGAGATGGGATTGCTAGCCTCATGGCCAACCTTTCCTCTCTAGCAGTCTTATCACTGGTATGGCGAGGTAAAGGAGTGCGTCGGCCGGGGATCGAACCCCGAACCACCTGCGTGGTTGGCGAACATTCTACCTCTGTGTCAGTGACTCACAACAGTAATTATTCAAATTTCAAAATAACTCGAAGTAATTTCACAGTGTTTAGAAGATCTGCAGTTTAAACGTTGAAAGTGGTTGATTCGTTTCTGCATATGGTTAGCTGTGTGATTGTTGGTAGAGGTGTGACAGATGAGATCTCTAGCTGGTGTATACACCAACCTGAGTGTCACAAAGTTAGTCTGGCCGTCAACGGTAGTGTTTACAATGTTTCGGCGCTCTCATTCCTCTTTATGCCTGTGAAACCTGGCCTCTACGAACTGAGGATGTGCAAGGACTCTGCTTTCTCGAATATCACTGCCTCTGCAAAACTGATTACCTCCGGTCACATCACCATGTAAGTAATTCTGGCTTCCAGTGGTGTTGAGATTGTTGTTCATTAAGAGTTGTCATCTTGAGACATTGTCCTTTGGTGTGACATGTGCTATGACTGCCATCTTAGTAGCTTGAGGATAGTCACTGCTCGCTTTTTCTAGGATTGTGTAACACAAGCGGAGAGGTGATCAGCCTATGACATTACGTTGTGGGGTGAAGGATACTTGTTTTGCGTCAGCATCTGTTGGCGCATCACAACTCTCGGAGTAGCGATTCAAGAGATAATTCGAATCGCTGGTTCTAGGCGTTATTGGATATGGCTGGGAACCTCAATCAATACCGACTATGCTGCAATTTCTTCATTTCCTCTTTACGAAAGTAACACGCTCTCGATAAGTGTGCTTGTTGGTTTCCTTGTTGCCGTTTTTCAATCGTGCTACTTCTCTCTTATATATTGTGTTTTACTATTTTTGTGTGTCGCATATCTTGATGCTACCAATTTTGTGTGCAAATAAAGTGAAGCTTGACTGAGATGTAGTCGGAAACAAATGCTGTTCGCTTATACATCTTGTTTATTCATCACTGGTTTAGGTGGGTAGTTCTCTCCTCGAAATGTTAGCTGATTTGTCTGAAATAAAATGTTCCTCTGAAGGCACGGATGCTTCACATCAAATCATCATCATCATTCTGTCGTAGAAGTTGAGAATGTTTTTTTTTCCTAATTGTTTACGATAAAAGACTTCATAAATATGGAAAAATAGAATTGAGAATGTTCATTTACACTAATCAATTTAAACGGAAATAAGTAAATAATCAGAGCTAGAAGGAGGATAAGTTAGGCTGTTTTTTTCATTAAGGATTTAATGAATATTCCAGAGAGCTGAAAGAAACCTCATGATCAGTTGGTAGACGAAAGGAATTCTTGAATAAATAAATACAATTAGCGTTATATACCGTATGTATTGTTATAGTACGACGAAAATAAATAAATCACACTTCATAACAATGCGGTCTGACATCTAATTTATACTCTCTTTTTTCTCTCTGAAAACTTTGCTAGTTTCATACATTCACTTCATTTAGATGCAAAAGAAAGTGTTAATTAAGACTTCCAAAATGTGAGACCACGCATTGAAAGAATTTGTAGGCATTTCTAATAGGCAGTAGAAAAGCGAATCTAAGAATTCTTGCTCGTTGACTACTTGTGATTTTTCATTTGATGTTGACGTGTAACAAGCCCTGTGGACAGGTAAATTATAAGTTTGTAAGTATCCACTTAAAAAAAGATATGATATTTGTAACTGGAGACTTCGCATAAAATTCATTGTTGTCGTCGTTTCAATTTATTGTTTCAAGGGAAACAAACCGGATAATGGGGCTCCGAATGATGAAGCTGATTCATCTGGTACTCAATATTACTCTCTTCCCGAAGGTAAGATTTCCGTTGTTTCTCAGGATCGTTTTGCTAATCTAGAAGTTTACCTCTTATGATTTGTGAATTTATTAACATAGGTTTGACTTCAGAAATGGTTTCTTTTAAAAATCTTACTGGAGCTGGTCTCACTCCTTAATTTGACATTTTTGTATTTAAAGCAATTAGTTCCCTTTATGAATTTCGACAAAATAAGAAGACGTAGTTTATCCGAAACGCGTAATGTATTTGCTCAGTACATTTCGGTCATTCTGATCATACATGTACTTGTAATACACATTTATATAGAAGTCAAGAGAGCATGAATTATTATAGGCCAAATTTTGTACAGGTCAAGGTCACAAATAGGGGGTAGGAGGATGACGTAAGGATGTGGGGTAAGAAAAATAAGGAGGAGGGTGGAAATACCAATAAGTAAATTGAGCCGTTATAAATTATTTTAAAGTAATCCCAACGTGTTTAAGAAAAAGAATCAAAACTTGCTGGGATTATTTTAGATAATTCACCATGATTCAATCTGACTCGGCGCTCAAATTATTCCATGGTATTCGTAACATCTACAGTCTGGAAACTCATAAATTGAACCGTGGTTCGAAAAAAGATTAACTAGGCAGGTTCAAAGTAATAACGAATAATTTTCGGACACGCAAGACCGGTTTAGGCCTTTTTTATGGCTAAGGCTTCAACGAATTCAAGTATGTGACCCAACTTTGTTTTATTTATGGATTTAAAGGCACTGGTGTAATCAACCGTGTGACAAGTCTCTATTATATGCTTCGCTTTAGATGATGCTGGACATCCATCTCCGGGATTAGTTGAATCTGATGATTTTGCTTATTGTTGTAGCTACTTTGGAATATGTTCCGTAGTCCTAACCTGCAAAGACCGATGGTTCATCTATGTGTACGTGTGTTCACACAACGTGTAAATTGGTATGCAGAATGGGATGTGGCACTATCGTGCGGGGGTTTACAGGACAGCATAGATCTCGTTTTCTCTATGAAGATAAGTTTAGCTGATAGAAAGTCCTAATAATTGTCGCCATGAGTCTAATGATCAGACCTTTTTGATCATCCCTGCACGGCAAGATTATATAAACATCCTATTTGGGAGCAGACTGACTGGATCGGTAGAGGTCTTCGTTTGACACTTCTGTAACACAATGAATTTTAACGGATGGTTGTTATCTGACAATATTTCGGTGAGGTGTTGTGTTTCTTCAATGGTGTTGGCTGTACATATATGGTGAATGCGTCTGAACGAGCATTTAACCAACACTTTTATACTGTAGTGGACAGATACTATGATAATTAGGATAATGTACAGTCCGTGTGGACTTTCTGAGATAGATCGTTTTATTGACTCATCTTGTCGTTGGGTTATCAGTACATTTAAAAATGGCAAGCAATCTTTTACACATGTTAACGATATGCTGTCTTGTGCTGTATTGATCTACTTAAGGATTTCTATTGAATCTGTCGGTTAATCACAAATGACTATTATGTCATCCACGTATTTCTTAGAGAAATAAACTTTTCCAATTACGTCCTCCACTAGGTTGTCAACGTGCGACATGTAAAACAATGAACCTAGGGAGTTTCCCTAAGCAACACCATCTATCTGGCGAAAATGTTCGCGTCAAATGTAAACTTAACATTGCTAGTACATAAAAGCAGTAACTGTTTTTTCTTTTCTTTTTTTTTAAATGATCTATATATAGATATAGATAATAAAAAATCATTGTTAGTGATACAGTCACACAAATGTAAACCGTCTGTAACAGAGGTAGGTATACTTGTCGGTTAGGAATCAACGCCTAAGAAAACATGGTTTTGCCATGTATATCAACGTTATGAAGACACTCTCAACTCAAAAGTATCTCAAAATGCAAACTTACAGAAGCTTCTAAGAGGCTCTAATATTTTCACTGGCCACTTTCCAACTTTGTGGGTCCGAGATCTGCACGTTGACATCATGGAACGAATAGCGATGTTAGGTTTATGTGTTTCTCCCAGACTATACATGTGTGGTAATTTTCTCTACAGCCAAAGCACTATGTCTAACTGAATCTCCTAGCATTCAGTCCTCATTCTTGTTTTCAAGTGAATCCGTAGGAATTAAAGATGATTATACGTATTTATTGACGCCTTTCAGTACAATCCAACATCAGACACGGTAACACGTTTCCATTCAATTTATTGCAGCATTCTGTGATAATTGAGCATATTGTTACGCTGTATACTGCTCACCAGTGTGCTCTTAATTACTTTGTTATCCATCTCTTATTTCTGATTTTCTATACATCTGTGCTATTGGGAAACATGACAAAACTGAACCGAGAGTCAGAATACCCTGGTTAACCTACCTCACTATGGAGTATCGCTTGTTATTGTTATTAGGAACCCTATTCATGTAGTGTGTTTCACATTCTTTTACACTGAAAATCTCGGTCATTTATGGTGTTGCTGCTTGGTCGAGTGAAATTCAGTATTCCGTAGACATGTTTCGTACTTTGATCTGAGCAAGCTAATATGATCTAATTATGAACAATGAATTGTTCTCGAAATGTTGTCTGATGAATCACATTGTTTCAGTGTGTTGTATGCATTAGTAATTGCTAGCCTTGACGCGCTTTTCGGTTAGTACGCTGCGTTTGCTTAGTTATATAAAACTCTTATTTCTCTGTCGCTTCTTACCGAAAAGTTGTGGAATTTATTGTGAATATTTACTTACGAACACTGAACCTGTGGATATAATCTTGTTGAGTATGCATACCCAAGTCAGTGAGTCTGTGAATCTGTTGCAATGTTTGTTAACTGTTTTTGACAGTGATACTATCGTTACGGTTTTCTTTTGTTGTTGTCACTGCCCCCTTCCTGTTGTGGTTTTTTCTTTTCGTTGGTGTTGTTCTGATTGCTTTTTTCTTTCTTTTTCCTATGGGGTGCAACCCATAAAGTCTCTCCTCCGTAAACTACATATACATGTGACAACCACCTTCCCAGGCGTGAGGCTAGCAACCTCACCCTTTAAACAAATCAAGAAGAGGAGAAGACGTCGCCTCAGATCACTGTCTCGTACAAGGAACACTCCAAATCACATTACAAACTTTGAAAGAAACAGGAGCTGCAGACAGACCACAAGCCAAGTTCAATACTCACAAGCTGAAGGATCAGCCCACAAAGGACATCTTCACTGCAATCATAAGGAAAAAGGCAGAGACACAAATCAGCACTAGCAAAGAGACCAGCGTTGAAAAACACTGGAACAACCTGAAAGCGGTGTGGTGTGGAGTCAAACCTGCATAAGAGGAGGTCTAGGCACAAAGACGAGATAGGACAAACAGTGGCTCACCACAGCCACGTGACGACCAATAGAAGAGAGAAGGATGGTGAAACAAAAGATTGTGCAGTGCATCGACGAGCAAAGAAAACCGGAGTAGAGTGCCATGAAAGACAAAATGAAATATTGTGCAGCTACGGAAAGTCAAGCGGAGCAAGCTCCAGGCAAGGGAGACCTCGAAACACTCTACCAAACAACTCGGTTCCTATCAGGGGAGAGATGAACACAAATTAAGTCAGTGAAGGATGACAATAGAAAGTTAATCATTAAAGAGGTGGAGCAAAGGGAACACTGGACTGAACACTTCAAGAGACTTCTTAATCGACCGCCACCTCTACAACGTGCCCACTATTACGAAGAGCGGAGGTAGAACTGCCAGTGGATACCAACTGTCCGACGAAGGCGGAAATCCTGAAGGTCATAGAAGTGCTAAAAACTGGGAAAGCTATGGGACCAGACAGAATCCTCAGAGAAGTATTGAAAATGGATCCAGAGACATCAGCGAACTTGGTGACACGACTACTGAAGAAGGTGTGGAGAGAGAGAGAGAGAGAGTAAGGTAGCTGGGGATTAGAAGAGAGACTTCCTATTCGAACTGCCAAAGAAGGGGGACTTAGGTCAATGCAGGAACTGGCGCGGTATTATGCAAAATACTAAACCGCGCATCATTTGGGGAGACAATCAAACAAGCCCTGGATGAAAACACTTGACCGGAACAGACTGGATTCAGAAGAAACAAGTCATGCATCGATCAAATCGCAACACTACATATGATGATTGAACAGAGATTGGAATGGCAGTCTGTCACCTCTCTATCTCAACTTCATTGACTTTGTGTAGGCTACCTTCGACAGCGTCAACGGAGAGGTGATTTGGAAAGTACTTCGCTACTGCGGAGTTCCGCCAGCAATTATACACCTCCTTGAACAGTTGTACGATAATGTTGGTGGATGCCGAGTAGTCCACAACGGGAAACTCACGGAATCCTTGGAAGTGAAGACGGGAGTGAAACAAGGTTGGCTGGCTGGCTGGCTGCCTACTATCTGCAATGATTTTGCTGATATCGGGCGGTAGACTGGATAATGCGACAGGCAGACAACGGGGAACGAGGAGACAGGCATAAAATGGACCCACACACAGAAAACTTGGAGGATCTTAATGTCGGCGGTGGTATATGTCTGATTTCCCACAAACTGGAAGATATGCATGTGAAAAGCAACAAGTTGGCAGAAAAAGCATCCAGAGAAGATAGACCTTCAGGTGAACACTGAGAAGACAGATGTGATGAAGATTCCTGGCCAACAGGAACAGGAACAGCAATAACAACAGATAACAATCAGCATAAATGGGAGGAATCTGCAAGAAGCAACCTCCTTTACCTACCCACCTGTTTGGGAAGCATCGTTTCAACTACAGGTGGACGGAACTGACGAGGATATCAGAGCGAGGATCGGGAAAGCAAGGCAAGCTCTCGTTACTCTGATGTCTGTGTGGAGATCAACAGCACTTAGCATGAAAGATAAGATGCGGACTCTCAACTCCAATGTGAAGTCAGTGCTCCTATAGGGATGAGAGATTTGGCGTCGCGTCACGATGGTCACTTCGAACAAACTACAGACCTTCATCAACAGCTGTCTTCGCTGAAGATCAATCAGATGGCCATCCCGTCCATAGAAGATCAGCAACAGGGATCTCTGGGGACGAATCAACCAGGAACTGAATGTTCAACAAATATGCAGGAAGAGATGGAGATGGATTGGCGACACTCTGATAAAACCGTCAAGTGAGTGACATCACACTCCAGGCCATCGCTCGAGAAGAACCTGAATGGGAAGCGGTGAATTGGTCGTCAATGCGAGGGTGACATGTAGGAGGTCGTGCAAAGAGGATATGAAATCATGTGGGTAGACGTCGATCCAGGTGGAAACGTTAGCGGACGACTGTAAACAATTGAAGGCCGGCTGAAGCCCTATGTTCCTCCAGAAACTGAAGGAATCAATATCAATAATCTTCTAAAGTGGAAAATTCCCTGTGGCACAATCTGCTAATTTTGTTTGCATATCTACTTTCGCAGTTCCAACAGTTGCATGAACACTGTCTTACACAGCACACTGTTATTGTATTCAAAGTAAGTTTTTCTCCTATTGTTAACTAGGTTAACATAAGCCTTCACAAGTGTGTTGCCCATGATCATGAATGTGAAGAATCTACGCCCTTCAAATAAGTCATAATTTAAATAAATTTAGATGCATCTCCTAGATTTCTGTAAAGTATGTATTTCAAATCTCGTTTTTATTTTGATCAAAAACTCCTGGAATCTTACAGTCGAATGTACATGTTTTATTTTTAGAGTGCAGTAATTGGGCGACGACGGAGCCAGTTGTATTAGAGTCTAGTATTCAGGTTAGTGTGAATTATTCGCTGCTTTGCCAATATTTTCCCTTCCAATGATGACCCAAATTTTAAATAATTTTATTAGTAGTAATTAGCCGAGCAGTGTCATTCTTAGAATAATCTTTTCTTTTTTTATTCCCTTATGCTCCCAGTAGAACATAGGGCTTCAAGCTGGAGACTTGAAGTTTGGGTATCAGTGGTATTTATTTTTACGAGATGGGATTGCTAGCCTCATGGCCAACCTTTCCTCTCTAGCAGTCTTATCACTGGTATGGCGAGGTAAAGGAGTGCGTCGGCCGGGGATCGAACCCCGAACCACCTGCGTGGTTGGCGAACATTCTACCTCTGTGTCAGTGACTCACAACAGTAATTATTCAAATTTCAAAATAACTCGAAGTAATTTCACAGTGTTTAGAAGATCTGCAGTTTAAACGTTGAAAGTGGTTGATTCGTTTCTGCATATGGTTAGCTGTGTGATTGTTGGTAGAGGTGTGACAGATGAGATCTCTAGCTGGTGTATACACCAACCTGAGTGTCACAAAGTTAGTCTGGCCGTCAACGGTAGTGTTTACAATGTTTCGGCGCTCTCATTCCTCTTTATGCCTGTGAAACCTGGCCTCTACGAACTGAGGATGTGCAAGGACTCTGCTTTCTCGAATATCACTGCCTCTGCAAAACTGATTACCTCCGGTCACATCACCATGTAAGTAATTCTGGCTTCCAGTGGTGTTGAGATTGTTGTTCATTAAGAGTTGTCATCTTGAGACATTGTCCTTTGGTGTGACATGTGCTATGACTGCCATCTTAGTAGCTTGAGGATAGTCACTGCTCGCTTTTGTAATTTCAGGTAGTTTGCAGCTGATGCGAATCTGTGAAATAGAATGATAGCATTTTATACTGCAAATTTGGTCTTTCTCTATCAAAATGAATCATTTGTGTTACTATGCTTCTTTTTGACTTTCTGCAGTATTTCAAGTTTATGTAATCGTGTCAAGTGTGAGTCGTAGTGGCTTATTTACTACCAAATGCCATCATTTTCTTTACTTTTTTTTTCTTTTTAGTTTCATCAAGAATTTAAAAGAAAATCTTGTAGGAATAAGAATACATCAACTGGAAATATTTCTGCTGGGGATGAAAATGAGGTATATTCCATGCATCCGTAAAAGAGTACACCTGTTCCATTATTTGGTATTGTCCAAACTCAACATGCATAAGGAATTAAATCTAAGTTGTTACATGACATAGAGGCTATTCGGTGTACAGCAGAAATGTTAACTTAGTACATCACATATGTCAACTTTATGTGATCATTCTTTTAAACAACTTAACAGGTGAATTGTTGGGTGGTGGGGATGAGCGTTCCGTGCTTCTCGGAACTTGTCGTCCACATGTACCTGCATTCCCCCAATGAGTGATGGTGTTCCCATCGAGGCTCGAACGCAGTGCCCATTGTTTCAAACGCCGGAACGTTATCCACTAGACTACTGAATGTAGTAGTGGACTGCTGTTTCACCCTAGTTTGGGACTCTTCGTCAGTACTCACCCACCTACCGAGGTTCGAACCCAGGACCTTCCGGTGGTTACAAGGTGACTGGTAGACTATCAAGCCACTGGGAGCCGATCCAGTGGCCAGCAGTCAGTGCATGAATTGTAACTTCTGCGAATTGACGAAATAGGGCGATCACTTCGTAATCTCTTCTTCAATGAGTTACTGCCCCACTTTCAACCTGGGAAGCCGTGACCAGTAGTGTACAGCATGTTGAGTGTAGTGTACTGTTTGTTGTATACTGTTTTCAGATAGCTGGTCTGTCTGTTTTCGACATAGAACTTTGCACGGGTGTGCGACAGTTCGAGTCGGTGGTCTGCAGTATGTTGTCTAGGACGGTTATCCTGAATCCATGTATGTTCTTCTTGTTTTCCGCCTAAAATGTTCTCAGATTGGACAGTTCACAGGTCTGGTGAGGATTCTTGATAACTTCGCTATTGATGATGTCTTTTGTATCCGAGAGACCTGCATATGAAATCCCAGTGTGGTGCTTCGATATCTGCATCTTCAAGACTTAGTAGCGTGTTCCATATCCATGGTCCCTCTGACATTGACATTCGTCTGAGCTAGTACCAGAGACTCTCTGGGCTCTCTAGAGCCAAAGCCTTACTACTTGACTGGATCCCCACTTAACAGTTGTAAATGTCCCTCTGAAGGCACGGATGCTTCACATCATCATCATCATCATCATTCTGTCGTAGAAGTTGAGAATTTTTCTGGAGGACAACTGGTTATGTTTACCACCATTCTCGGTCTGTGAGAGATTTTTTCGAGAGTTCAACAAACTGAAGGTATCCCGTAACGGTAAGGGATTATGTAGAATCCTGTTGCATCGGACGACAACTTGAAGGATTGTATGATAATTAATGGTACTTTTTAGAATGTGTTGTTCATTTCGAATGGTTTTACAAACTTATCTGAATATAAAAGGCACTACTTTCCAGTGAATCATTATACTCGTTTTATTCCAGATGCGTTCACCTTATAATGTCTTCTATATTACCTTTCAATTTATGAAGTATGAAATGTTATTACTTATAACCATTGTAATTTCAGGTAGTTTGCAGCTGATGCGAATCTGTGAAATAGAATGATAGCATTTTATACTGCAAATTTGGTCTTTCTCTATCAAAATGAATCATTTGTGTTACTATGCTTCTTTTTGACTTTCTGCAGTATTTCAAGTTTATGTAATCGTGTCAAGTGTGAGTCGTAGTGGCTTATTTACTACCAAATGCCATCATTTTCTTTACTTTTTTTTTCTTTTTAGTTTCATCAAGAATTTAAAAGAAAATCTTGTAGGAATAAGAATACATCAACTGGAAATATTTCTGCTGGGGATGAAAATGAGGTATATTCCATGCATCCGTAAAAGAGTACACCTGTTCCATTATTTGGTATTGTCCAAACTCAACATGCATAAGGAATTAAATCTAAGTTGTTACATGACATAGAGGCTATTCGGTGTACAGCAGAAATGATAACTTAGTACATCACATATGTCAACTTTATGTGATCATTCTTTTAAACAACTTAACAGGTGAATTGTTGGGTGGTGGGGATGAGCGTTCCGTGCTTCTCGGAACTTGTCGTCCACATGTACCTGCATTCCCCCAATGAGTGATGGTGTTCCCATCGAGGCTCGAACGCAGTGCCCATTGTTTCAAACGCCGGAACGTTATCCACTAGACTACTGAATGTAGTAGTGGACTGCTGTTTCACCCTAGTTTGGGACTCTTCGTCAGTACTCACCCACCCACCGAGGTTCGAACCCAGGACCTTCCGGTGGTTACAAGGTGACTGGTAGACTATCAAGCCACTGGGAGCCGATCCAGTGGCTAGCAGTCAGTGCATGAATTGTAACTTCTGCGAATTGACGAAATAGGGCGATCACTTCGTAATCTCTTCTTCAATGAGTTACTGCCCCACTTTCAACCTGGGAAGCCGTGACCAGTAGTGTACAGCATGTTGAGTGTAGTGTACTGTTTGTTGTATACTGTTTTCAGATAGCTGGTCTGTCTGTTTTCGACATAGAACTTTGCACGGGTGTGCGACAGTTCGAGTCGGTGGTCTGCAGTATGTTGTCTAGGACGGTTATCCTGAATCCATGTATGTTCTTCTTGTTTTCCGCCTAAAATGTTCTCAGATTGGACAGTTCACAGGTCTGGTGAGGATTCTTGATAACTTCGCTATTGATGATGTCTTTTGTATCCGAGAGACCTGCATATAAAATCCCAGTGTGGTGCTTCGATATCTGCATCTTCAAGACTTAGTAGCGTGTTCCATATCCATGGTCCCTCTGACATTGACATTCGTCTGAGCTAGTACCAGAGACTCTCTGGGCTCTCTAGAGCCAAAGCCTTACTACTTGACTGGATCCCCACTTAACAGTTGTAAATGTCCCTCTGAAGGCACGGATGCTTCACATCATCATCATCATCATCATTCTGTCGTAGAAGTTGAGAATTTTTCTGGAGGACAACTGGTTATGTTTACCACCATTCTCGGTCTGTGAGAGATTTTTTCGAGAGTTCAACAAACTGAAGGTATCCCGTAACGGTAAGGGATTATGTAGAATCCTGTTGCATCGGACGACAACTTGAAGGATTGTATGATAATTAATGGTACTTTTTAGAATGTGTTGTTCATTTCGAATGGTTTTACAAACTTATCTGAATATAAAAGGCACTACTTTCCAGTGAATCATTATACTCGTTTTATTCCAGATGCGTTCACCTTATAATGTCTTCTATATTACCTTTCAATTTATGAAGTATGAAATGTTATTACTTATAACCATTGTAATTTCAGGTAGTTTGCAGCTGATGCGAATCTGTGAAATAGAATGATAGCATTTTATACTGCAAATTTGGTCTTTCTCTATCAAAATGAATCATTTGTGTTACTATGCTTCTTTTTGACTTTCTGCAGTATTTCAAGTTTATGTAATCGTGTCAAGTGTGAGTCGTAGTTGCTTATTTACTACCAAATGCCATCATTTTCTTTACTTTTTTTTTCTTTTTAGTTTCATCAAGAATTTAAAAGAAAATCTTGTAGGAATAAGAATACATCAACTGGAAATATTTCTGCTGGGGATGAAAATGAGGTATATTCCATGCATCCGTAAAAGAGTACACCTGTTCCATTATTTGGTATTGTCCAAACTCAACATGCATAAGGAATTAAATCTAAGTTGTTACATGACATAGAGGCTATTCGGTGTACAGCAGAAATGTTAACTTAGTACATCACATATGTCAACTTTATGTGATCATTCTTTTAAACAACTTAACAGGTGAATTGTTGGGTGGTGGGGATGAGCGTTCCGTGCTTCTCGGAACTTGTCGTCCACATGTACCTGCATTCCCCCAATGAGTGATGGTGTTCCCATCGAGGCTCGAACGCAGTGCCCATTGTTTCAAACGCCGGAACGTTATCCACTAGACTACTGAATGTAGTAGTGGACTGCTGTTTCACCCTAGTTTGGGACTCTTCGTCAGTACTCACCCACCCACCGAGGTTCGAACCCAGGACCTTCCGGTGGTTACAAGGTGACTGGTAGACTATCAAGCCACTGGGAGCCGATCCAGTGGCCAGCAGTCAGTGCATGAATTGTAACTTCTGCGAATTGACGAAATAGGGCGATCACTTCGTAATCTCTTCTTCAATGAGTTACTGCCCCACTTTCAACCTGGGAAGCCGTGACCAGTAGTGTACAGCATGTTGAGTGTAGTGTACTGTTTGTTGTATACTGTTTTCAGATAGCTGGTCTGTCTGTTTTCGACATAGAACTTTGCACGGGTGTGCGACAGTTCGAGTCGGTGGTCTGCAGTATGTTGTCTAGGACGGTTATCCTGAATCCATGTATGTTCTTCTTGTTTTCCGCCTAAAATGTTCTCAGATTGGACAGTTCACAGGTCTGGTGAGGATTCTTGATAACTTCGCTATTGATGATGTCTTTTGTATCCGAGAGACCTGCATATAAAATCCCAGTGTGGTGCTTCGATATCTGCATCTTCAAGACTTAGTAGCGTGTTCCATATCCATGGTCCCTCTGACATTGACATTCGTCTGAGCTAGTACCAGAGACTCTCTGGGCTCTCTAGAGCCAAAGCCTTACTACTTGACTGGATCCCCACTTAACAGTTGTAAATGTCCCTCTGAAGGCACGGATGCTTCACATCATCATCATCATCATCATTCTGTCGTAGAAGTTGAGAATTTTTCTGGAGGACAACTGGTTATGTTTACCACCATTCTCGGTCTGTGAGAGATTTTTTCGAGAGTTCAACAAACTGAAGGTATCCCGTAACGGTAAGGGATTATGTAGAATCCTGTTGCATCGGACGACAACTTGAAGGATTGTATGATAATTAATGGTACTTTTTAGAATGTGTTGTTCATTTCGAATGGTTTTACAAACTTATCTGAATATAAAAGGCACTACTTTCCAGTGAATCATTATACTCGTTTTATTCCAGATGCGTTCACCTTATAATGTCTTCTATATTACCTTTCAATTTATGAAGTATGAAATGTTATTACTTATAACCATTGTAATTTCAGGTAGTTTGCAGCTGATGCGAATCTGTGAAATAGAATGATAGCATTTTATACTGCAAATTTGGTCTTTCTCTATCAAAATGAATCATTTGTGTTACTATGCTTCTTTTTGACTTTCTGCAGTATTTCAAGTTTATGTAATCGTGTCAAGTGTGAGTCGTAGTTGCTTATTTACTACCAAATGCCATCATTTTCTTTACTTTTTTTTTCTTTTTAGTTTCATCAAGAATTTAAAAGAAAATCTTGTAGGAATAAGAATACATCAACTGGAAATATTTCTGCTGGGGATGAAAATGAGGTATATTCCATGCATCCGTAAAAGAGTACACCTGTTCCATTATTTGGTATTGTCCAAACTCAACATGCATAAGGAATTAAATCTAAGTTGTTACATGACATAGAGGCTATTCGGTGTACAGCAGAAATGTTAACTTAGTACATCACATATGTCAACTTTATGTGATCATTCTTTTAAACAACTTAACAGGTGAATTGTTGGGTGGTGGGGATGAGCGTTCCGTGCTTCTCGGAACTTGTCGTCCACATGTACCTGCATTCCCCCAATGAGTGATGGTGTTCCCATCGAGGCTCGAACGCAGTGCCCATTGTTTCAAACGCCGGAACGTTATCCACTAGACTACTGAATGTAGTAGTGGACTGCTGTTTCACCCTAGTTTGGGACTCTTCGTCAGTACTCACCCACCCACCGAGGTTCGAACCCAGGACCTTCCGGTGGTTACAAGGTGACTGGTAGACTATCAAGCCACTGGGAGCCGATCCAGTGGCCAGCAGTCAGTGCATGAATTGTAACTTCTGCGAATTGACGAAATAGGGCGATCACTTCGTAATCTCTTCTTCAATGAGTTACTGCCCCACTTTCAACCTGGGAAGCCGTGACCAGTAGTGTACAGCATGTTGAGTGTAGTGTACTGTTTGTTGTATACTGTTTTCAGATAGCTGGTCTGTCTGTTTTCGACATAGAACTTTGCACGGGTGTGCGACAGTTCGAGTCGGTGGTCTGCAGTATGTTGTCTAGGACGGTTATCCTGAATCCATGTATGTTCTTCTTGTTTTCCGCCTAAAATGTTCTCAGATTGGACAGTTCACAGGTCTGGTGAGGATTCTTGATAACTTCGCTATTGATGATGTCTTTTGTATCCGAGAGACCTGCATATAAAATCCCAGTGTGGTGCTTCGATATCTGCATCTTCAAGACTTAGTAGCGTGTTCCATATCCATGGTCCCTCTGACATTGACATTCGTCTGAGCTAGTACCAGAGACTCTCTGGGCTCTCTAGAGCCAAAGCCTTACTACTTGACTGGATCCCCACTTAACAGTTGTAAATGTCCCTCTGAAGGCACGGATGCTTCACATCATCATCATCATCATCATTCTGTCGTAGAAGTTGAGAATTTTTCTGGAGGACAACTGGTTATGTTTACCACCATTCTCGGTCTGTGAGAGATTTTTCCGAGAGTTCAACAAACTGAAGGTATCCCGTAACGGTAAGGGATTATGTAGAATCCTGTTGCATCGGACGACAACTTGAAGGATTGTATGATAATTAATGGTACTTTTTAGAATGTGTTGTTCATTTCGAATGGTTTTACAAACTTATCTGAATATAAAAGGCACTACTTTCCAGTGAATCATTATACTCGTTTTATTCCAGATGCGTTCACCTTATAATGTCTTCTATATTACCTTTCAATTTATGAAGTATGAAATGTTATTACTTATAACCATTGTAATTTCAGGTAGTTTGCAGCTGATGCGAATCTGTGAAATAGAATGATAGCATTTTATACTGCAAATTTGGTCTTTCTCTATCAAAATGAATCATTTGTGTTACTATGCTTCTTTTTGACTTTCTGCAGTATTTCAAGTTTATGTAATCGTGTCAAGTGTGAGTCGTAGTTGCTTATTTACTACCAAATGCCATCATTTTCTTTACTTTTTTTTTCTTTTTAGTTTCATCAAGAATTTAAAAGAAAATCTTGTAGGAATAAGAATACATCAACTGGAAATATTTCTGCTGGGGATGAAAATGAGGTATATTCCATGCATCCGTAAAAGAGTACACCTGTTCCATTATTTGGTATTGTCCAAACTCAACATGCATAAGGAATTAAATCTAAGTTGTTACATGACATAGAGGCTATTCGGTGTACAGCAGAAATGTTAACTTAGTACATCACATATGTCAACTTTATGTGATCATTCTTTTAAACAACTTAACAGGTGAATTGTTGGGTGGTGGGGATGAGCGTTCCGTGCTTCTCGGAACTTGTCGTCCACATGTACCTGCATTCCCCCAATGAGTGATGGTGTTCCCATCGAGGCTCGAACGCAGTGCCCATTGTTTCAAACGCCGGAACGTTATCCACTAGACTACTGAATGTAGTAGTGGACTGCTGTTTCACCCTAGTTTGGGACTCTTCGTCAGTACTCACCCACCCACCGAGGTTCGAACCCAGGACCTTCCGGTGGTTACAAGGTGACTGGTAGACTATCAAGCCACTGGGAGCCGATCCAGTGGCCAGCAGTCAGTGCATGAATTGTAACTTCTGCGAATTGACGAAATAGGGCGATCACTTCGTAATCTCTTCTTCAATGAGTTACTGCCCCACTTTCAACCTGGGAAGCCGTGACCAGTAGTGTACAGCATGTTGAGTGTAGTGTACTGTTTGTTGTATACTGTTTTCAGATAGCTGGTCTGTCTGTTTTCGACATAGAACTTTGCACGGGTGTGCGACAGTTCGAGTCGGTGGTCTGCAGTATGTTGTCTAGGACGGTTATCCTGAATCCATGTATGTTCTTCTTGTTTTCCGCCTAAAATGTTCTCAGATTGGACAGTTCACAGGTCTGGTGAGGATTCTTGATAACTTCGCTATTGATGATGTCTTTTGTATCCGAGAGACCTGCATATAAAATCCCAGTGTGGTGCTTCGATATCTGCATCTTCAAGACTTAGTAGCGTGTTCCATATCCATGGTCCCTCTGACATTGACATTCGTCTGAGCTAGTACCAGAGACTCTCTGGGCTCTCTAGAGCCAAAGCCTTACTACTTGACTGGATCCCCACTTAACAGTTGTAAATGTCCCTCTGAAGGCACGGATGCTTCACATCATCATCATCATCATCATCATTCTGTCGTAGAAGTTGAGAATTTTTCTGGAGGACAACTGGTTATGTTTACCACCATTCTCGGTCTGTGAGAGATTTTTCCGAGAGTTCAACAAACTGAAGGTATCCCGTAACGGTAAGGGATTATGTAGAATCCTGTTGCATCGGACGACAACTTGAAGGATTGTATGATAATTAATGGTACTTTTTAGAATGTGTTGTTCATTTCGAATGGTTTTACAAACTTATCTGAATATAAAAGGCACTACTTTCCAGTGAATCATTATACTCGTTTTATTCCAGATGCGTTCACCTTATAATGTCTTCTATATTACCTTTCAATTTATGAAGTATGAAATGTTATTACTTATAACCATTGTAATTTCAGGTAGTTTGCAGCTGATGCGAATCTGTGAAATAGAATGATAGCATTTTATACTGCAAATTTGGTCTTTCTCTATCAAAATGAATCATTTGTGTTACTATGCTTCTTTTTGACTTTCTGCAGTATTTCAAGTTTATGTAATCGTGTCAAGTGTGAGTCGTAGTTGCTTATTTACTACCAAATGCCATCATTTTCTTTACTTTTTTTTTCTTTTTAGTTTCATCAAGAATTTAAAAGAAAATCTTGTAGGAATAAGAATACATCAACTGGAAATATTTCTGCTGGGGATGAAAATGAGGTATATTCCATGCATCCGTAAAAGAGTACACCTGTTCCATTATTTGGTATTGTCCAAACTCAACATGCATAAGGAATTAAATCTAAGTTGTTACATGACATAGAGGCTATTCGGTGTACAGCAGAAATGTTAACTTAGTACATCACATATGTCAACTTTATGTGATCATTCTTTTAAACAACTTAACAGGTGAATTGTTGGCTGGTGGGGATGAGCGTTCCGTGCTTCTCGGAACTTGTCGTCCACATGTACCTGCATTCCCCCAATGAGTGATGGTGTTCCCATCGAGGCTCGAACGCAGTGCCCATTGTTTCAAACGCCGGAACGTTATCCACTAGACTACTGAATGTAGTAGTGGACTGCTGTTTCACCCTAGTTTGGGACTCTTCGTCAGTACTCACCCACCCACCGAGGTTCGAACCCAGGACCTTCCGGTGGTTACAAGGTGACTGGTAGACTATCAAGCCACTGGGAGCCGATCCAGTGGCCAGCAGTCAGTGCATGAATTGTAACTTCTGCGAATTGACGAAATAGGGCGATCACTTCGTAATCTCTTCTTCAATGAGTTACTGCCCCACTTTCAACCTGGGAAGCCGTGACCAGTAGTGTACAGCATGTTGAGTGTAGTGTACTGTTTGTTGTATACTGTTTTCAGATAGCTGGTCTGTCTGTTTTCGACATAGAACTTTGCACGGGTGTGCGACAGTTCGAGTCGGTGGTCTGCAGTATGTTGTCTAGGACGGTTATCCTGAATCCATGTATGTTCTTCTTGTTTTCCGCCTAAAATGTTCTCAGATTGGACAGTTCACAGGTCTGGTGAGGATTCTTGATAACTTCGCTATTGATGATGTCTTTTGTATCCGAGAGACCTGCATATAAAATCCCAGTGTGGTGCTTCGATATCTGCATCTTCAAGACTTAGTAGCGTGTTCCATATCCATGGTCCCTCTGACATTGACATTCGTCTGAGCTAGTACCAGAGACTCTCTGGGCTCTCTAGAGCCAAAGCCTTACTACTTGACTGGATCCCCACTTAACAGTTGTAAATGTCCCTCTGAAGGCACGGATGCTTCACATCATCATCATCATCATCATCATTCTGTCGTAGAAGTTGAGAATTTTTCTGGAGGACAACTGGTTATGTTTACCACCATTCTCGGTCTGTGAGAGATTTTTCCGAGAGTTCAACAAACTGAAGGTATCCCGTAACGGTAAGGGATTATGTAGAATCCTGTTGCATCGGACGACAACTTGAAGGATTGTATGATAATTAATGGTACTTTTTAGAATGTGTTGTTCATTTCGAATGGTTTTACAAACTTATCTGAATATAAAAGGCACTACTTTCCAGTGAATCATTATACTCGTTTTATTCCAGATGCGTTCACCTTATAATGTCTTCTATATTACCTTTCAATTTATGAAGTATGAAATGTTATTACTTATAACCATTGTAATTTCAGGTAGTTTGCAGCTGATGCGAATCTGTGAAATAGAATGATAGCATTTTATACTGCAAATTTGGTCTTTCTCTATCAAAATGAATCATTTGTGTTACTATGCTTCTTTTTGACTTTCTGCAGTATTTCAAGTTTATGTAATCGTGTCAAGTGTGAGTCGTAGTTGCTTATTTACTACCAAATGCCATCATTTTCTTTACTTTTTTTTTCTTTTTAGTTTCATCAAGAATTTAAAAGAAAATCTTGTAGGAATAAGAATACATCAACTGGAAATATTTCTGCTGGGGATGAAAATGAGGTATATTCCATGCATCCGTAAAAGAGTACACCTGTTCCATTATTTGGTATTGTCCAAACTCAACATGCATAAGGAATTAAATCTAAGTTGTTACATGACATAGAGGCTATTCGGTGTACAGCAGAAATGTTAACTTAGTACATCACATATGTCAACTTTATGTGATCATTCTTTTAAACAACTTAACAGGTGAATTGTTGGGTGGTGGGGATGAGCGTTCCGTGCTTCTCGGAACTTGTCGTCCACATGTACCTGCATTCCCCCAATGAGTGATGGTGTTCCCATCGAGGCTCGAACGCAGTGCCCATTGTTTCAAACGCCGGAACGTTATCCACTAGACTACTGAATGTAGTAGTGGACTGCTGTTTCACCCTAGTTTGGGACTCTTCGTCAGTACTCACCCACCCACCGAGGTTCGAACCCAGGACCTTCCGGTGGTTACAAGGTGACTGGTAGACTATCAAGCCACTGGGAGCCGATCCAGTGGCCAGCAGTCAGTGCATGAATTGTAACTTCTGCGAATTGACGAAATAGGGCGATCACTTCGTAATCTCTTCTTCAATGAGTTACTGCCCCACTTTCAACCTGGGAAGCCGTGACCAGTAGTGTACAGCATGTTGAGTGTAGTGTACTGTTTGTTGTATACTGTTTTCAGATAGCTGGTCTGTCTGTTTTCGACATAGAACTTTGCACGGGTGTGCGACAGTTCGAGTCGGTGGTCTGCAGTATGTTGTCTAGGACGGTTATCCTGAATCCATGTATGTTCTTCTTGTTTTCCGCCTAAAATGTTCTCAGATTGGACAGTTCACAGGTCTGGTGAGGATTCTTGATAACTTCGCTATTGATGATGTCTTTTGTATCCGAGAGACCTGCATATAAAATCCCAGTGTGGTGCTTCGATATCTGCATCTTCAAGACTTAGTAGCGTGTTCCATATCCATGGTCCCTCTGACATTGACATTCGTCTGAGCTAGTACCAGAGACTCTCTGGGCTCTCTAGAGCCAAAGCCTTACTACTTGACTGGATCCCCACTTAACAGTTGTAAATGTCCCTCTGAAGGCACGGATGCTTCACATCATCATCATCATCATCATTCTGTCGTAGAAGTTGAGAATTTTTCTGGAGGACAACTGGTTATGTTTACCACCATTCTCGGTCTGTGAGAGATTTTTCCGAGAGTTCAACAAACTGAAGGTATCCCGTAACGGTAAGGGATTATGTAGAATCCTGTTGCATCGGACGACAACTTGAAGGATTGTATGATAATTAATGGTACTTTTTAGAATGTGTTGTTCATTTCGAATGGTTTTACAAACTTATCTGAATATAAAAGGCACTACTTTCCAGTGAATCATTATACTCGTTTTATTCCAGATGCGTTCACCTTATAATGTCTTCTATATTACCTTTCAATTTATGAAGTATGAAATGTTATTACTTATAACCATTGTAATTTCAGGTAGTTTGCAGCTGATGCGAATCTGTGAAATAGAATGATAGCATTTTATACTGCAAATTTGGTCTTTCTCTATCAAAATGAATCATTTGTGTTACTATGCTTCTTTTTGACTTTCTGCAGTATTTCAAGTTTATGTAATCGTGTCAAGTGTGAGTCGTAGTTGCTTATTTACTACCAAATGCCATCATTTTCTTTACTTTTTTTTTCTTTTTAGTTTCATCAAGAATTTAAAAGAAAATCTTGTAGGAATAAGAATACATCAACTGGAAATATTTCTGCTGGGGATGAAAATGAGGTATATTCCATGCATCCGTAAAAGAGTACACCTGTTCCATTATTTGGTATTGTCCAAACTCAACATGCATAAGGAATTAAATCTAAGTTGTTACATGACATAGAGGCTATTCGGTGTACAGCAGAAATGTTAACTTAGTACATCACATATGTCAACTTTATGTGATCATTCTTTTAAACAACTTAACAGGTGAATTGTTGGGTGGTGGGGATGAGCGTTCCGTGCTTCTCGGAACTTGTCGTCCACATGTACCTGCATTCCCCCAATGAGTGATGGTGTTCCCATCGAGGCTCGAACGCAGTGCCCATTGTTTCAAACGCCGGAACGTTATCCACTAGACTACTGAATGTAGTAGTGGACTGCTGTTTCACCCTAGTTTGGGACTCTTCGTCAGTACTCACCCACCCACCGAGGTTCGAACCCAGGACCTTCCGGTGGTTACAAGGTGACTGGTAGACTATCAAGCCACTGGGAGCCGATCCAGTGGCCAGCAGTCAGTGCATGAATTGTAACTTCTGCGAATTGACGAAATAGGGCGATCACTTCGTAATCTCTTCTTCAATGAGTTACTGCCCCACTTTCAACCTGGGAAGCCGTGACCAGTAGTGTACAGCATGTTGAGTGTAGTGTACTGTTTGTTGTATACTGTTTTCAGATAGCTGGTCTGTCTGTTTTCGACATAGAACTTTGCACGGGTGTGCGACAGTTCGAGTCGGTGGTCTGCAGTATGTTGTCTAGGACGGTTATCCTGAATCCATGTATGTTCTTCTTGTTTTCCGCCTAAAATGTTCTCAGATTGGACAGTTCACAGGTCTGGTGAGGATTCTTGATAACTTCGCTATTGATGATGTCTTTTGTATCCGAGAGACCTGCATATAAAATCCCAGTGTGGTGCTTCGATATCTGCATCTTCAAGACTTAGTAGCGTGTTCCATATCCATGGTCCCTCTGACATTGACATTCGTCTGAGCTAGTACCAGAGACTCTCTGGGCTCTCTAGAGCCAAAGCCTTACTACTTGACTGGATCCCCACTTAACAGTTGTAAATGTCCCTCTGAAGGCACGGATGCTTCACATCATCATCATCATCATCATCATTCTGTCGTAGAAGTTGAGAATTTTTCTGGAGGACAACTGGTTATGTTTACCACCATTCTCGGTCTGTGAGAGATTTTTCCGAGAGTTCAACAAACTGAAGGTATCCCGTAACGGTAAGGGATTATGTAGAATCCTGTTGCATCGGACGACAACTTGAAGGATTGTATGATAATTAATGGTACTTTTTAGAATGTGTTGTTCATTTCGAATGGTTTTACAAACTTATCTGAATATAAAAGGCACTACTTTCCAGTGAATCATTATACTCGTTTTATTCCAGATGCGTTCACCTTATAATGTCTTCTATATTACCTTTCAATTTATGAAGTATGAAATGTTATTACTTATAACCATTGTAATTTCAGGTAGTTTGCAGCTGATGCGAATCTGTGAAATAGAATGATAGCATTTTATACTGCAAATTTGGTCTTTCTCTATCAAAATGAATCATTTGTGTTACTATGCTTCTTTTTGACTTTCTGCAGTATTTCAAGTTTATGTAATCGTGTCAAGTGTGAGTCGTAGTTGCTTATTTACTACCAAATGCCATCATTTTCTTTACTTTTTTTTTCTTTTTAGTTTCATCAAGAATTTAAAAGAAAATCTTGTAGGAATAAGAATACATCAACTGGAAATATTTCTGCTGGGGATGAAAATGAGGTATATTCCATGCATCCGTAAAAGAGTACACCTGTTCCATTATTTGGTATTGTCCAAACTCAACATGCATAAGGAATTAAATCTAAGTTGTTACATGACATAGAGGCTATTCGGTGTACAGCAGAAATGTTAACTTAGTACATCACATATGTCAACTTTATGTGATCATTCTTTTAAACAACTTAACAGGTGAATTGTTGGCTGGTGGGGATGAGCGTTCCGTGCTTCTCGGAACTTGTCGTCCACATGTACCTGCATTCCCCCAATGAGTGATGGTGTTCCCATCGAGGCTCGAACGCAGTGCCCATTGTTTCAAACGCCGGAACGTTATCCACTAGACTACTGAATGTAGTAGTGGACTGCTGTTTCACCCTAGTTTGGGACTCTTCGTCAGTACTCACCCACCCACCGAGGTTCGAACCCAGGACCTTCCGGTGGTTACAAGGTGACTGGTAGACTATCAAGCCACTGGGAGCCGATCCAGTGGCCAGCAGTCAGTGCATGAATTGTAACTTCTGCGAATTGACGAAATAGGGCGATCACTTCGTAATCTCTTCTTCAATGAGTTACTGCCCCACTTTCAACCTGGGAAGCCGTGACCAGTAGTGTACAGCATGTTGAGTGTAGTGTACTGTTTGTTGTATACTGTTTTCAGATAGCTGGTCTGTCTGTTTTCGACATAGAACTTTGCACGGGTGTGCGACAGTTCGAGTCGGTGGTCTGCAGTATGTTGTCTAGGACGGTTATCCTGAATCCATGTATGTTCTTCTTGTTTTCCGCCTAAAATGTTCTCAGATTGGACAGTTCACAGGTCTGGTGAGGATTCTTGATAACTTCGCTATTGATGATGTCTTTTGTATCCGAGAGACCTGCATATAAAATCCCAGTGTGGTGCTTCGATATCTGCATCTTCAAGACTTAGTAGCGTGTTCCATATCCATGGTCCCTCTGACATTGACATTCGTCTGAGCTAGTACCAGAGACTCTCTGGGCTCTCTAGAGCCAAAGCCTTACTACTTGACTGGATCCCCACCTAACAGTTGGTAATTTTTTGTGAGAGTGGAAGGTTATACTAGAGTGACATTGTTTTCTCTGCCTCTTCCTATGCGCCATTGGTTTGTTGCCCTGATGCCTTTAAGGCTCCAACATAACTAGAGTTAGCTTCTCAATCATGCAGGTTGAGTAGAAGTCGTTTCGCTAGCTGGGGAGTTGAATACAAAAGTCGGGCGTCTGGACTCAGAGTTGGCCTTTCGATATCGGTTTTCTGTGGATGGACATCCTCAGGGTACCTTTTATCTCTTCTTGTTAATTCCACGTCCAGAAATGGAATCTTTGAATCGTTTTCTAATTCTATTGTGAATTTAATCGAAGGATGGGAATTATTTAATTCCTGTAAGATGTAGATGAAGTCCGAGTTATCGTAGCAGACTTTGAAGCTATCGTCAACGTATCTTTCGTACAGTAGTAATTTGTTTATTGTTGATTAGTTTACGAATCTAAACAGTGGTTTGATCAATAAAAATATACCTTGGCTTTCGTGTCTTGCCTTCTGCTGTTGCAGTAGTAATTCTTTTTTTCCTGTTACTCTTTCTACAATTTTTAAGCTTATAGCGAATTGTTTGCGAGGTTCACTCCAGGACCGATACAAAACCTTAACTAGGGTGCGCAAACGTATTCCACTCAAAGAAGTGAACATATCCCAAGAGCGTAATGTGAGTCTATTTATTGGTTGTGTCAAGTGCTTGTCAACATCATTTAATTGTATATAGCGATTGCGACGTTTTACTGTTTATTGCGTTTATTTTGTTGAATTATTAAAGTCAGATCCGGTGGTGTAACATTAATCTAGCCTTGGGGATAATTTCAGAATATTTACATCGTATATCTGTCAAGTTTACTAAGGTTGAAACGACTTTTCGATTTCCATACTGTTCCACTGTTTCCGGATCCTGGGCACTTGATTTTCATTCCTGCTGGTTCAACAGTTGGAAACAGTTAGCCCCTTTATTGTTATTGGAAGACAAAGTTTATCTGAAAAGTGTGATGTAATTGTGAAATATATTTTGGACAAAATGATCACGCTTACTTGTTTAATCAGTTGCTATGAGAAAAGCGGAATGTCAAATTAATAGATAAAGTGATGAATATGGGAGGATAATAATTAACCCTGTCCTTGGTAATATGATCGGGTGAAAATTACCACAGTTGGTTAAGTGTAATAAGTCAAAAAAAATGTACATAAGTAAGTATAAATAATATCAAATTGTTGAATTGAATTTTTGATTTTCCCGTCGATTGATTGGACCGAAGTGCTCGGTCTCAGGAAAATCAAAAATTCAATTCAATAATTAATATGACCCGTTGCACAAGAGGTGGCTCTCGTGGCCCAAGTGGTCTAGTGGATAACGCTTTGGCGTTCGAAACTATGGGTACTGGGTTCGAGCCTCGGTGGGAACATCATCACTCACTGAGAAATGCAGGTACATCCAGATGACGAGTCCCAAATAGGACGAAATGCGCATCCTGGACTCCACTGCTAGCCACCATCCACCAATTGAATATCAAATTGTATTTGATGATCGGACACATTTAAATTGTGATGTGATGTACTTACAAGTTAAGTGTTTTCGAAGTTGTCTATAACTATAAGCTGAGCTCCATGTTGAGTATTATGAATGGCAAAATGTAGTCTTTCTCTTCAAATCCTATTGTTTATTTCCCCATTTTAAGATTTATGTGGACATCTTTTTTTAACTAAATAGATTGTGAAATGCCTACCCTCTACACTGGTTCATTTATTCAAGTGATAAACCCTTAGAGTTGAATATTTCTTTATCAAAAGCTTAGCTCACACTAAAGTGTTTATCAGTACCCGATTGTTAACTTTAATCCTAGATGCACTTTCAAGTTTTATTTACTTTTATGTTTAGTGTAGCTGATTTTACTTTCGATTAACTCGTGCTGAATATGTATTTCTGTATATTCTCAGACAAATTGAAAAGGTTTACAGACTTGTGTTAAAACAGTTTTCTATAAAGCTGTGTGAGTTCTACATGTGCCTTCTCATTCTCTTTGCTTTTTTCATTGGTTTTTCAAGCGCATTCGGTAAGTCGTTGAGTTTAGTTGCCTTCAAGTCATTTAGATTTTGCCACTTTGGTGCTCATTTTTAGTTGACAGTTAATGTTTCTTCTGTTGAGTTTCAGTTAATTCTATTAATTGCTTACTTTGGTATAAGCAGGCGTACGTGTGTGCGCTACTGTATTGAATCCGATTCATTGCATGCACAGAGCTGGTTCACTTCATATCCAGCTAGGTTTTCTTTTTTCTCATGCAATAGTTCTAAATTTATTTCCCTTATTTTTTAAATACCCTGGATACAGAATTCTGTGTAATAAATCATCGAATAATAAACAGTCCATATTTAAGTGGAAAACTTAAGGAACTGGTTGAAGAATTATTCGGCATGTTTTCTTTTGCTTTCTCTTTCTGGCAGAATTACCGGTGTTCGTTGTTCAATGGTCAAACAAATGCGCTCAGGCTACTCATGAGGTTCTGGTTCAACTTCCAGCCGACTCACGCCTAAATTTTGCATAGCAGGTAGTAAGACCGAAAAAGATGTAAAGTTAAGTGTGAGTCTAGTAAACTCACACAGTGAAAACAACACCATTACCGAAGCTTAATAGCTTGCAGTTCTGTGTTCCACTATGAGCTCAAAGAAAGAAAAGAAATCGAAGCAAACCAAATTATACTGAGTCAAGGAATATAGTTTTTTTCTAAAACAGATAAACGCTTCAATATTTGCGAAGTATCATGTATGCATCGAGCTACCTAATGAAGTCTTCAGAAGGGAATTGTTGAGCGAAAAATACTCCCGTCAATTAGAGTGTAAACATTAGCTTCCTGTTGTTTGACGGTAATATTTTCCTAGCATAGAATCGCGCAACACTGTCTGTATACTTTGAAGATACACGCAAAAATCGAATTAATTCGACCTACTATTGTAGAGAAATGCGAAATCTTAGTAAACGAATCAGTCAAGCTGAAGTGATTTTTAGCTGTGTAGATGTGTATACTTGTTTCAGCGTATATCTTTCAAGGTTGTGGTGTCCAACTAAATTCTTTCTGACAACTAGACCATATGAGACATATCGATTACTGAAATTCTTAATCATTGTGATCATTTCGTATATTGTAGACGCTAAGAGGACTAGAAAATTCGAATGAGTCTTCCACTGAAGATGTTGCTAACATTGTTTTACTGAGAATGCTGAATAAAGAAGAACTAGAAATTTTTACATGCGTAAGTTTAACTTTTCATTTTATTTGTTTAATGTTTCTTATTCTCAGCTATGTGATTATGACAATCTGCGTTGTTATCAGATAAATAACCCATGTTTGTGTGAAAATATCAACAACAAAAATGACGATAAGTAATTAAATGAGATATGTATCTGCAATGTCTGTTTGTCCTTATGAGTTCGTGTTATTTCAATTTTGTTGATCTTGGTATAAATGATAGAAAAATTAATATGGAATATTATGCATAAAAGTGCAGATCAGTCGTAGGAATTTGAAGGTGAGAGGATTTTCAAATGGTGTTAAAAGTACTTGAAACGTGAGAGAGAAATGCATCAGTAGTAAAGAAAGCTAAGAAGGAGGAGAATTGAGACAGTTTTCGTCTCCATGCTGTATTGAACACAATTTTATTCATTTGTTGAATTCACAGGAAAATTGTATTCCCTTGCTTTAAATGTTACCTCTCTGTTCATATGATATTAACTTTGTTTGTCCTTCAACAAGAAGTACACACACCTGTTTCTGAATGTAGATCACCAGTAGTTAGTGATTTTATATCGTATCCTTTCTGTGAAACTTTTGTACCTATTAGTAGGACACTAGGCAGCAACTAGTGCATGCGTCTGTCTGTTTTCGACATAGAACTTTGCACAAATGTGCACCAGTTCAAGTCGCCACACTCCATGTAGCACTCGAAGCAAGAGAAGAAAGTACAAGAAAAGCATAATAGAGACAGTAAGCAGAGGTGTGAGAAAAAAGAGGAGTAATAACGAAGAAGAAAACAGTTTCATTGGAAATCATAAGTCACAAGGAGTGGATGCATCTGCGCCACTGAGAACGATTTTGAGCCATGTCACCAATTGTTTCCAACCATTGGTTTTTCCGTCCCGAAGACCCCAACCAGGAAGTCTACACCTTCCTACGTGGCTTAGACCAACTGTTGTGGATTTCATTGACTGATGCCAAGTTTTGTTTGACCGCCGCTAGCTTTTTTCCAACCTGAGCACAGCAGAGGAGGATTTACCTTTGTATACAGTGTACTGCATTCTGTTCGAGAAACAAGAAGGCAACCAGTTAGTGATCCAGGACTCAGCTTGTGTCATCGAGATCTTATTTAGCAAGAGACATCTAGGTATAGAGTCAAAAGCAGAAGTGAAGTCAAGAAGCGTGAAATGGACGTATTTGGCACCTTTATCTAATGATGAGACGATACTGTTGTGTGAGACGGCTGCAGCATCTAAAGTGCTCCTACCCTGTCTATATGCAAATTGTTTGGGGTTATCAAAATTTTTAAGGGAGGGTTCATGTTTAAGAAGTACTAGTTTTCCCATCAGCTTTAGAGACGGGGAAGTAATGGCGACGGGTCTGAATTTTACATTCTCACTATTTCCAGGTTTAGGGACAGGGACAATTATAATGTCTTTCAATGCAACAGTAACAACGTTTTTGCAAAAAGAAACGTTTAGGATGTTAATAATTGGAGAACATAAAGCATCTGCACATTGTTTTAGAACATAAGCAGGTACACTATCAGGGCCAAGGCTACGTGAGGGCTTGAGCGTTTTAAGACATTATAAAACATCGAGAGTGTTAAAGCCATGTTTTGGTTTGATTGTCACCGGCTCTTTTCCAACCTGATCTCTCCTATGTCAGCTAAGATTGTCGATTGTCGAGGGAGGCGATTCCTAGGTATGCGTCACACATGTCCTAACCACCTCAATCGATGTAACTTCACAGTCTCGTCTATTGATTTCCCCTGCTTACCTAGCACTCGACAGAGGCCTAACCTCCGTATTGCTCATCTTATTATGCCACTTCACACGGGGGAGATAGAACTCAGGCACCTATGATCAAAGACAGCTAGCTAGCTAGCTAGCCTTTTCATGTCCTCCACTCTCAATGGCCAGATCTCACAGCCATGAATGAGGACAGAGCGGTCTGATGAGGAGTACATACGCCCTTTGGTCGACAGCCAGCTGTATATCACGTCTACTAAGCCAGAGATGGCGTAAACTGGCAAATGCGAAACGAGCCCCCTGTATCCGTGCTGAGATTTCGTCAGTGATCAACCCGCTGGCACTGGCTGATGGTACTTCCCGAATAAGTGAAGTTGTCAACGTGCTCTACCACATCACTTCCCATTTTTAACCTCGGAGTCGCTGTAGTTCAGTCCTGTAACATCATCTTGCATTTGGCGGGAGCGAATCGCATGCCAATCATTTGTAGATTGCAGCTCAAGGTGTTCAGGAGACTCTGAATTTTTTCAGCGTCCTCGCCTAGTAGGACCTTATCGTCTGCATATTCTAAGTCAACGAGATTATTCCCTAGTAGCAAGTCAATCCCTGAATTGCTGAAGTCACTTAGGGTTAAGTCCATTAGTACATCTATGATGAAGTTGAATAGAAATGGGGATATTGGACATCCGTGACGGACACCACTAGTCGTCATCAGTTCACATGACAACTCTCCGTAAGCCCTCACCTGGCTGTATGAGTACGAGTAGAGTGCCTTAATCAGTGCAACGTATTTTCTCGTCATTCCCTTTACAGCCAAGCATCTCCAGAGAAACTCTCGGTAGACAGAGTCGAATGCCACCCTTAGGTCAAGAAATATAATGACTTTTGGACGCCGGCAGGAATTCCTATGTTCTAGAATCTGTCGGAGGGTGAAGATATGATCAATACACCCTCTTCCTGGTCTAAAGCCTGCCTGGCTCTCTCGTGTTTGTGCCTCCCGAGCACCACTTAGTCTACGCATGATTATTGAGCCTAAGACTTTAGTTACTATATTAGTCAAGCTAATCCCTCTGTGATTATCACAGAAAGACTTGTCTCCCTTCTTGTATATCGGACTTGCACCAACCCGACGTGACTTCCTCTGATTCCCAGACGCTTCCTGGTACTGCAGATAACTCAGACAGTAAATTGTCTCCACCATCCTTAAACATCTCTTGAGTCATTCCATCAGGTCCTGCTGCTTTGCCTCGTTTCAGATTGGTGAGAGCTTTAGTAACCTCAGTTAGGGATGGAGGACCTGTGTCTACATCCCATTCAGGGAGGTGTTAGATGTGTTTTTTTATTTACAGCTTGATTCCACACTGTAGTTTTGGTACAAGTATGGAATTTTCAGCATGGATATCGGTAGCCCAAATTTTCGCAGGCCGACCATAGATATCAGGTGTGCGTCGGCGGAGGCTCGAACCTCGGACCATGTGCATGGTCGGCGAGAGTCATAACCACTGTGCCACCGACGCACGGGATGAGCGTGGCTGTAGGCCAATCAAACTGCTCTTCATAGTGCTCTTTCCAGCGTTCCAGTCGTCTATCCTAAGAGCTAATTATGGTGGCATTTTTCTCAGAGATTGTTTCACTTATGACTTGCCTTCTCCCACCCGTTTCCCTGATGAGTCGAAAGAGTTACCTAGTGTTGCTTATCGCCGATGCTTTTTCCATCTCTTTCGCCTTTGTCACCCACCACTGTTCACGGTCCTTCCGGAGACTTTTCGTAAGTTTTCTTTTGTGCAGCTTTCGCTCCTCATTGAATTCGGAGCTCGCCGGAATAAGTCTTCTAGCATCTATCAGTTCGGATGAGGCGGTAGAAATCCAATGGTTTTTACTCGCCTTTGGATTTACCTTCTTCACAGCTTTTACAGCTGTATCTATGGCTGCCTGAATATTCTTCCAAGCTTCTTCAGGGTGAGCACAGCTGTCGAACTCAGATATGTGTTTAGCTAGTTCATCCTCAAATAGGGATTTAGTTTCCTGATCGAGCTGGGGACGTGATGGGCTTATCGCCAGCTGTTTCCTACGTCGGTTTAGTCGTAGGCACACACGAGCGCGGACCAGTGGGTGATCGGTATCTACACACGTGTTCCAGAAGGAGCAACAATCTCCTACCGACCCACGCCAACGATAGCTTATTACTATGTGGTCTGTTTGTGTCCAGCGTTGGTTTGATGAAGGGGGTCTCCAAGTCAAACAGTGTCTCTCCGTGTGTTTGAAGTTAGTGCTTACAAGAAACAAATGATTATCAGAACAGAACTGTAGGAGACGGTCACCGTTGTCGGTTCGCTGGCACGGGACGCCATAGCTGCCACCGACATCTTTCTCAGATTGACTCAATTTCCCTACTTGAGCATTAAAGTCACCAGCTAGAACAACTATATCGGAAGGTTTAGCCTTTCGCAGCAAACTAGACAGCTTTTGGCAGAATTCATCCTTCACTTCATCCGAACTGCAGTCAGTGGGGGCGTAGGCGGAGATTACGAAAAGGCATCGGCGAATAGTGCAGTTGGTCTAAGCCATGTAGGAAGATGTAGACTTCCAGGCTGGGGTCCTCGGGACGGTAAAAATCTATGGTTGGAAACAATTGGTGACATGGCTCAAAATCGTTCTCAGTGGCGCAGATGCATCCACTCCCTGTGACTTATGATCTTCAATGAAACTGTTTTGTATTTCTTTATTACTCCTTTGTCTCACACCTCTGCTCACTGTTTCTATTATGCTTTTCTTGTACTTTCTTCTCTTGCTTCGCGTGCTACACGGAATGTGGCGACTTGAACTTCCGCACATTTGTGCAAAGTTCTATGTCGAAAACAGACAGACAGACAGAATAGTGCAGTCCTTTCTTCTTTTTTACTGACCTGTTCAGACGGACAGCACACATTCGGCTATCTCCCGGGATCCAGTCAGATGATGTCTCTTTTTCTCAAAGCTATCCCTACACCAGCTAATCCTCGTGAACTAGCTGTGGCATCTCCTGACACCGTCAAGGTGAATTTTATAAATTGAACCTCTTGGCCAGGTGGGGTTAGGTGAGTAACCACACTTAGGTCTTGTATACGTGTTTCTGAAGCACAACATACATTAATGGCTCGGGACGCCAGAGTCTTGGCTAGTGATGCTTGTTGTCCTATTTGGCAGTGTCCTAACATTAAATGCTCCTATATGAAATTGGTGGCGTGGCTTTAGGAGACTTTCGGTGGTGGTATTTTGGCTTCCGTCGTTTTTAGTGGACACAGAGTGAAGAGGAAGTGAAGAGCTATCAAGTAGAGGAGTTGCATCAGTGGAAGGAAGGCAAAATGATAGAGATGAAGAAAAAGATAAGTGAGTATTAGAGAGGTTTCGTGTGCATGTCGGATTGTGAGGGCGATTGTTACTTCCCGGCTGCCCACACCGTGGAAGTTGACTGCGTGACCGCAGAGCCCAAGGGACAACTGCTTGAGGCCGGTCACACGCGGCCTGTTTTTCTTTGTTCTTTATTGTTTTGTGTGTCTCAGTAGCATATTTATCACTCCTGCCCTGTGACACGGCAGCAGGAAGCGCGGTCGTTGTTAATCCGGGCCACGGTCGATCCGGCATGATATTTTGTGATTTTGTATTTATCATAATGTTGGATTGGGTAGCTGCTTTTTGTTTAACCGCTATCCAAACAACCTGCCTGGCATGGTAGAACCTCAAGAGACATAAGTCTCAGCCAGTATAGCTTGATTAGGTCATTGGGGTGTTCAAGCCCGACCACCACGTCAAGGTAGCAGCTTTCGGTCGGGGTGCATGCGTCTAATTATTCTTTTGGTACCAACTGAATTTTGTCAGTCAAGTTTGTAATGTGGACATTATGGCTCACCGTCATGGTGCACTTTGAATTGTTGTTGGATGGTTAGACACAATCAACAGGAAGTCTTTGACTTGGGTTTCATGCTTGTTGGCAAGACATAGGGAATCTTTGAGTAAGTCATTTCCCTACTGGAACTCGAACCCAAATTGCTCAGTGCTGTAGTCAGAAACGTTACCACTGAGCAAACCTTATTGATAGAGTTCAGTCTACATCAAACTAAGGTCTAGACAGGTGATATTGGTTACTAACTAGTGTCCAGTCAGAGTATACATTACTATCCTACAGGAGACCAATCACGAGTCCCAAAGGTTCAGTGATAGCGTCTCTGAATACAGCGATGAGCGGAGTTGGTTCGAATCTCAGTAGAGAGATAAGTTCCTTGAAGAAAGCAAATACATCTTGTTGACGAGTGCCAACGAGAAAACAATCTAAATCGCAGACAGACTGTCTATTGATATCCTCCAACCATCGAACAACTGTGGTTTCTTGAAAAATTTATCCCATAGCCCTTCTATATTCACGAATAAAATTCATTGTTAACTCAATTTGTTCTCTTTCTTTTCTTTCTGTATAGCATATGACGTCTATGAACGAATTATTTCATATTTCGATATCTAATCGTAATTATAATGAGTTGAGGATACTTTTCGAATTATGAGCTTTGTATGTGTTGATTTCATTTACCTCATCAATATTTCACGTATTTCTCACCTGTTATCATGTTGACAGTTTTAAAAATTCGAGAAAAGTGTTGTTGTGTCCCCTCCTCTTTGAAAAACATATTTTTTTATTTATTTTTGAGAAAAACATTTTCACTCTTAGTTAACAAAATTATTGACAGTAATTTCAACGTTTTTGCTTCATATCATTTTATTCTTTTAGAAATAAAAACTTCTTGGTTGAAAAAAGCATTTGTGTTCTTCTGTTCAACGTAGAACTTTCCTCAGATGCATATAAGTTCAGATCACAAAAATTTAAAAAGTAGTACAACAAACAATAATAAATGCATACATTCTCACTATTTTAAATCGTCTTGAACTGTGTCATCAGCAATCGCCAACCTATGTTACTTAGCATCTGAAGTACCAAACCAGATAGTCTACGTCTCACCACAAATTGTTGTCTGAATTCCTAAGTCTCAGTCAATGTATTTGCGAATAGGCTATCGTCCACACCAGTTGTCATGTGAAAGTCAATCTCAGTAGTGACCTCCAGTTACTCTTTACTTGAACGGATGCATGAAATCACACAGCTACAAATCAAACACAGCTGTTAAGTAATTCAAATAATGACTTTTCCATCGATTGCTTCGTCAAAACGCCTCCTTCTGCAGATACTTCGAAGATGACTCCTCATATAATAAATTAAAGTCAGTCCGTAAATAATGATCGAGAGTGGAATTGAGGATGAGCGTTCCGTGCTTCTCGGAACTTGTCGTCCACATGTACCTGCATTCCCCCAATGAGTGATGGTGTTCCCATCGAGGCTCGAACGCAGTGCCCATTGTTTCAAACGCCGGAACGTTATCCACTAGACTACTGAATGTAGTAGTGGACTGCTGTTTCACCCTAGTTTGGGACTCTTCGTCAGTACTCACCCACCCACCGAGGTTCGAACCCAGAACCTTCCGGTGGTTACAAGGTGACTGGTAGACTATCAAGCCACTGGGAGCCGATCCAGTGGCCAGCAGTCAGTGCATGAATTGTAACTTCTGCGAATTGACGAAATAGGGCGATCACTTCGTAATCTCTTCTTCAATGAGTTACTGCCCCACTTTCAACCTGGGAAGCCGTGACCAGTAGTGTACAGCATGTTGAGTGTAGTGTACTGTTTGTTGTATACTGTTTTCAGATAGCTGGTCTGTCTGTTTTCGACATAGAACTTTGCACGGGTGTGCGACAGTTCGAGTCGGTGGTCTGCAGTATGTTGTCTAGGACGGTTATCCTGAATCCATGTATGTTCTTCTTGTTTTCCGCCTAAAATGTTCTCAGATTGGACAGTTCACAGGTCTGGTGAGGATTCTTGATAACTTCGCTATTGATGATGTCTTTTGTATCCGAGAGACCTGCATATAAAATCCCAGTGTGGTGCTTCGATATCTGCATCTTCAAGACTTAGTAGCGTGTTCCATATCCATGGTCCCTCTGACATTGACATTCGTCTGAGCTAGTACCAGAGACTCTCTGGGCTCTCTAGAGCCAAAGCCTTACTACTTGACTGGATCCCCACTTAACAGTTGTAAATGTCCCTCTGAAGGCACGGATGCTTCACATCATCATCATCATCATCATTCTGTCGTAGAAGTTGAGAATTTTTCTGGAGGACAACTGGTTATGTTTACCACCATTCTCGGTCTGTGAGAGATTTTTCCGAGAGTTCAACAAACTGAAGGTATCCCGTAACGGTAAGGGATTATGTAGAATCCTGTTGCATCGGACGACAACTTGAAGGATTGTATGATAATTAATGGTACTTTTTAGAATGTGTTGTTCATTTCGAATGGTTTTACAAACTTATCTGAATATAAAAGGCACTACTTTCCAGTGAATCATTATACTCGTTTTATTCCAGATGCGTTCACCTTATAATGTCTTCTATATTACCTTTCAATTTATGAAGTATGAAATGTTATTACTTATAACCATTGTAATTTCAGGTAGTTTGCAGCTGATGCGAATCTGTGAAATAGAATGATAGCATTTTATACTGCAAATTTGGTCTTTCTCTATCAAAATGAATCATTTGTGTTACTATGCTTCTTTTTGACTTTCTGCAGTATTTCAAGTTTATGTAATCGTGTCAAGTGTGAGTCGTAGTTGCTTATTTACTACCAAATGCCATCATTTTCTTTACTTTTTTTTTCTTTTTAGTTTCATCAAGAATTTAAAAGAAAATCTTGTAGGAATAAGAATACATCAACTGGAAATATTTCTGCTGGGGATGAAAATGAGGTATATTCCATGCATCCGTAAAAGAGTACACCTGTTCCATTATTTGGTATTGTCCAAACTCAACATGCATAAGGAATTAAATCTAAGTTGTTACATGACATAGAGGCTATTCGGTGTACAGCAGAAATGTTAACTTAGTACATCACATATGTCAACTTTATGTGATCATTCTTTTAAACAACTTAACAGGTGAATTGTTGGGTGGTGGGGATGAGCGTTCCGTGCTTCTCGGAACTTGTCGTCCACATGTACCTGCATTCCCCCAATGAGTGATGGTGTTCCCATCGAGGCTCGAACGCAGTGCCCATTGTTTCAAACGCCGGAACGTTATCCACTAGACTACTGAATGTAGTAGTGGACTGCTGTTTCACCCTAGTTTGGGACTCTTCGTCAGTACTCACCCACCCACCGAGGTTCGAACCCAGGACCTTCCGGTGGTTACAAGGTGACTGGTAGACTATCAAGCCACTGGGAGCCGATCCAGTGGCCAGCAGTCAGTGCATGAATTGTAACTTCTGCGAATTGACGAAATAGGGCGATCACTTCGTAATCTCTTCTTCAATGAGTTACTGCCCCACTTTCAACCTGGGAAGCCGTGACCAGTAGTGTACAGCATGTTGAGTGTAGTGTACTGTTTGTTGTATACTGTTTTCAGATAGCTGGTCTGTCTGTTTTCGACATAGAACTTTGCACGGGTGTGCGACAGTTCGAGTCGGTGGTCTGCAGTATGTTGTCTAGGACGGTTATCCTGAATCCATGTATGTTCTTCTTGTTTTCCGCCTAAAATGTTCTCAGATTGGACAGTTCACAGGTCTGGTGAGGATTCTTGATAACTTCGCTATTGATGATGTCTTTTGTATCCGAGAGACCTGCATATAAAATCCCAGTGTGGTGCTTCGATATCTGCATCTTCAAGACTTAGTAGCGTGTTCCATATCCATGGTCCCTCTGACATTGACATTCGTCTGAGCTAGTACCAGAGACTCTCTGGGCTCTCTAGAGCCAAAGCCTTACTACTTGACTGGATCCCCACTTAACAGTTGTAAATGTCCCTCTGAAGGCACGGATGCTTCACATCATCATCATCATCATCATCATTCTGTCGTAGAAGTTGAGAATTTTTCTGGAGGACAACTGGTTATGTTTACCACCATTCTCGGTCTGTGAGAGATTTTTCCGAGAGTTCAACAAACTGAAGGTATCCCGTAACGGTAAGGGATTATGTAGAATCCTGTTGCATCGGACGACAACTTGAAGGATTGTATGATAATTAATGGTACTTTTTAGAATGTGTTGTTCATTTCGAATGGTTTTACAAACTTATCTGAATATAAAAGGCACTACTTTCCAGTGAATCATTATACTCGTTTTATTCCAGATGCGTTCACCTTATAATGTCTTCTATATTACCTTTCAATTTATGAAGTATGAAATGTTATTACTTATAACCATTGTAATTTCAGGTAGTTTGCAGCTGATGCGAATCTGTGAAATAGAATGATAGCATTTTATACTGCAAATTTGGTCTTTCTCTATCAAAATGAATCATTTGTGTTACTATGCTTCTTTTTGACTTTCTGCAGTATTTCAAGTTTATGTAATCGTGTCAAGTGTGAGTCGTAGTTGCTTATTTACTACCAAATGCCATCATTTTCTTTACTTTTTTTTTCTTTTTAGTTTCATCAAGAATTTAAAAGAAAATCTTGTAGGAATAAGAATACATCAACTGGAAATATTTCTGCTGGGGATGAAAATGAGGTATATTCCATGCATCCGTAAAAGAGTACACCTGTTCCATTATTTGGTATTGTCCAAACTCAACATGCATAAGGAATTAAATCTAAGTTGTTACATGACATAGAGGCTATTCGGTGTACAGCAGAAATGTTAACTTAGTACATCACATATGTCAACTTTATGTGATCATTCTTTTAAACAACTTAACAGGTGAATTGTTGGCTGGTGGGGATGAGCGTTCCGTGCTTCTCGGAACTTGTCGTCCACATGTACCTGCATTCCCCCAATGAGTGATGGTGTTCCCATCGAGGCTCGAACGCAGTGCCCATTGTTTCAAACGCCGGAACGTTATCCACTAGACTACTGAATGTAGTAGTGGACTGCTGTTTCACCCTAGTTTGGGACTCTTCGTCAGTACTCACCCACCCACCGAGGTTCGAACCCAGGACCTTCCGGTGGTTACAAGGTGACTGGTAGACTATCAAGCCACTGGGAGCCGATCCAGTGGCCAGCAGTCAGTGCATGAATTGTAACTTCTGCGAATTGACGAAATAGGGCGATCACTTCGTAATCTCTTCTTCAATGAGTTACTGCCCCACTTTCAACCTGGGAAGCCGTGACCAGTAGTGTACAGCATGTTGAGTGTAGTGTACTGTTTGTTGTATACTGTTTTCAGATAGCTGGTCTGTCTGTTTTCGACATAGAACTTTGCACGGGTGTGCGACAGTTCGAGTCGGTGGTCTGCAGTATGTTGTCTAGGACGGTTATCCTGAATCCATGTATGTTCTTCTTGTTTTCCGCCTAAAATGTTCTCAGATTGGACAGTTCACAGGTCTGGTGAGGATTCTTGATAACTTCGCTATTGATGATGTCTTTTGTATCCGAGAGACCTGCATATAAAATCCCAGTGTGGTGCTTCGATATCTGCATCTTCAAGACTTAGTAGCGTGTTCCATATCCATGGTCCCTCTGACATTGACATTCGTCTGAGCTAGTACCAGAGACTCTCTGGGCTCTCTAGAGCCAAAGCCTTACTACTTGACTGGATCCCCACCTAACAGTTGGTAATTTTTTGTGAGAGTGGAAGGTTATACTAGAGTGACATTGTTTTCTCTGCCTCTTCCTATGCGCCATTGGTTTGTTGCCCTGATGCCTTTAAGGCTCCAACATAACTAGAGTTAGCTTCTCAATCATGCAGGTTGAGTAGAAGTCGTTTCGCTAGCTGGGGAGTTGAATACAAAAGTCGGGCGTCTGGACTCAGAGTTGGCCTTTCGATATCGGTTTTCTGTGGATGGACATCCTCAGGGTACCTTTTATCTCTTCTTGTTAATTCCACGTCCAGAAATGGAATCTTTGAATCGTTTTCTAATTCTATTGTGAATTTAATCGAAGGATGGGAATTATTTAATTCCTGTAAGATGTAGATGAAGTCCGAGTTATCGTAGCAGACTTTGAAGCTATCGTCAACGTATCTTTCGTACAGTAGTAATTTGTTTATTGTTGATTAGTTTACGAATCTAAACAGTGGTTTGATCAATAAAAATATACCTTGGCTTTCGTGTCTTGCCTTCTGCTGTTGCAGTAGTAATTCTTTTTTTCCTGTTACTCTTTCTACAATTTTTAAGCTTATAGCGAATTGTTTGCGAGGTTCACTCCAGGACCGATACAAAACCTTAACTAGGGTGCGCAAACGTATTCCACTCAAAGAAGTGAACATATCCCAAGAGCGTAATGTGAGTCTATTTATTGGTTGTGTCAAGTGCTTGTCAACATCATTTAATTGTATATAGCGATTGCGACGTTTTACTGTTTATTGCGTTTATTTTGTTGAATTATTAAAGTCAGATCCGGTGGTGTAACATTAATCTAGCCTTGGGGATAATTTCAGAATATTTACATCGTATATCTGTCAAGTTTACTAAGGTTGAAACGACTTTTCGATTTCCATACTGTTCCACTGTTTCCGGATCCTGGGCACTTGATTTTCATTCCTGCTGGTTCAACAGTTGGAAACAGTTAGCCCCTTTATTGTTATTGGAAGACAAAGTTTATCTGAAAAGTGTGATGTAATTGTGAAATATATTTTGGACAAAATGATCACGCTTACTTGTTTAATCAGTTGCTATGAGAAAAGCGGAATGTCAAATTAATAGATAAAGTGATGAATATGGGAGGATAATAATTAACCCTGTCCTTGGTAATATGATCGGGTGAAAATTACCACAGTTGGTTAAGTGTAATAAGTCAAAAAAAATGTACATAAGTAAGTATAAATAATATCAAATTGTTGAATTGAATTTTTGATTTTCCCGTCGATTGATTGGACCGAAGTGCTCGGTCTCAGGAAAATCAAAAATTCAATTCAATAATTAATATGACCCGTTGCACAAGAGGTGGCTCTCGTGGCCCAAGTGGTCTAGTGGATAACGCTTTGGCGTTCGAAACTATGGGTACTGGGTTCGAGCCTCGGTGGGAACATCATCACTCACTGAGAAATGCAGGTACATCCAGATGACGAGTCCCAAATAGGACGAAATGCGCATCCTGGACTCCACTGCTAGCCACCATCCACCAATTGAATATCAAATTGTATTTGATGATCGGACACATTTAAATTGTGATGTGATGTACTTACAAGTTAAGTGTTTTCGAAGTTGTCTATAACTATAAGCTGAGCTCCATGTTGAGTATTATGAATGGCAAAATGTAGTCTTTCTCTTCAAATCCTATTGTTTATTTCCCCATTTTAAGATTTATGTGGACATCTTTTTTTAACTAAATAGATTGTGAAATGCCTACCCTCTACACTGGTTCATTTATTCAAGTGATAAACCCTTAGAGTTGAATATTTCTTTATCAAAAGCTTAGCTCACACTAAAGTGTTTATCAGTACCCGATTGTTAACTTTAATCCTAGATGCACTTTCAAGTTTTATTTACTTTTATGTTTAGTGTAGCTGATTTTACTTTCGATTAACTCGTGCTGAATATGTATTTCTGTATATTCTCAGACAAATTGAAAAGGTTTACAGACTTGTGTTAAAACAGTTTTCTATAAAGCTGTGTGAGTTCTACATGTGCCTTCTCATTCTCTTTGCTTTTTTCATTGGTTTTTCAAGCGCATTCGGTAAGTCGTTGAGTTTAGTTGCCTTCAAGTCATTTAGATTTTGCCACTTTGGTGCTCATTTTTAGTTGACAGTTAATGTTTCTTCTGTTGAGTTTCAGTTAATTCTATTAATTGCTTACTTTGGTATAAGCAGGCGTACGTGTGTGCGCTACTGTATTGAATCCGATTCATTGCATGCACAGAGCTGGTTCACTTCATATCCAGCTAGGTTTTCTTTTTTCTCATGCAATAGTTCTAAATTTATTTCCCTTATTTTTTAAATACCCTGGATACAGAATTCTGTGTAATAAATCATCGAATAATAAACAGTCCATATTTAAGTGGAAAACTTAAGGAACTGGTTGAAGAATTATTCGGCATGTTTTCTTTTGCTTTCTCTTTCTGGCAGAATTACCGGTGTTCGTTGTTCAATGGTCAAACAAATGCGCTCAGGCTACTCATGAGGTTCTGGTTCAACTTCCAGCCGACTCACGCCTAAATTTTGCATAGCAGGTAGTAAGACCGAAAAAGATGTAAAGTTAAGTGTGAGTCTAGTAAACTCACACAGTGAAAACAACACCATTACCGAAGCTTAATAGCTTGCAGTTCTGTGTTCCACTATGAGCTCAAAGAAAGAAAAGAAATCGAAGCAAACCAAATTATACTGAGTCAAGGAATATAGTTTTTTTCTAAAACAGATAAACGCTTCAATATTTGCGAAGTATCATGTATGCATCGAGCTACCTAATGAAGTCTTCAGAAGGGAATTGTTGAGCGAAAAATACTCCCGTCAATTAGAGTGTAAACATTAGCTTCCTGTTGTTTGACGGTAATATTTTCCTAGCATAGAATCGCGCAACACTGTCTGTATACTTTGAAGATACACGCAAAAATCGAATTAATTCGACCTACTATTGTAGAGAAATGCGAAATCTTAGTAAACGAATCAGTCAAGCTGAAGTGATTTTTAGCTGTGTAGATGTGTATACTTGTTTCAGCGTATATCTTTCAAGGTTGTGGTGTCCAACTAAATTCTTTCTGACAACTAGACCATATGAGACATATCGATTACTGAAATTCTTAATCATTGTGATCATTTCGTATATTGTAGACGCTAAGAGGACTAGAAAATTCGAATGAGTCTTCCACTGAAGATGTTGCTAACATTGTTTTACTGAGAATGCTGAATAAAGAAGAACTAGAAATTTTTACATGCGTAAGTTTAACTTTTCATTTTATTTGTTTAATGTTTCTTATTCTCAGCTATGTGATTATGACAATCTGCGTTGTTATCAGATAAATAACCCATGTTTGTGTGAAAATATCAACAACAAAAATGACGATAAGTAATTAAATGAGATATGTATCTGCAATGTCTGTTTGTCCTTATGAGTTCGTGTTATTTCAATTTTGTTGATCTTGGTATAAATGATAGAAAAATTAATATGGAATATTATGCATAAAAGTGCAGATCAGTCGTAGGAATTTGAAGGTGAGAGGATTTTCAAATGGTGTTAAAAGTACTTGAAACGTGAGAGAGAAATGCATCAGTAGTAAAGAAAGCTAAGAAGGAGGAGAATTGAGACAGTTTTCGTCTCCATGCTGTATTGAACACAATTTTATTCATTTGTTGAATTCACAGGAAAATTGTATTCCCTTGCTTTAAATGTTACCTCTCTGTTCATATGATATTAACTTTGTTTGTCCTTCAACAAGAAGTACACACACCTGTTTCTGAATGTAGATCACCAGTAGTTAGTGATTTTATATCGTATCCTTTCTGTGAAACTTTTGTACCTATTAGTAGGACACTAGGCAGCAACTAGTGCATGCGTCTGTCTGTTTTCGACATAGAACTTTGCACAAATGTGCACCAGTTCAAGTCGCCACACTCCATGTAGCACTCGAAGCAAGAGAAGAAAGTACAAGAAAAGCATAATAGAGACAGTAAGCAGAGGTGTGAGAAAAAAGAGGAGTAATAACGAAGAAGAAAACAGTTTCATTGGAAATCATAAGTCACAAGGAGTGGATGCATCTGCGCCACTGAGAACGATTTTGAGCCATGTCACCAATTGTTTCCAACCATTGGTTTTTCCGTCCCGAAGACCCCAACCAGGAAGTCTACACCTTCCTACGTGGCTTAGACCAACTGTTGTGGATTTCATTGACTGATGCCAAGTTTTGTTTGACCGCCGCTAGCTTTTTTCCAACCTGAGCACAGCAGAGGAGGATTTACCTTTGTATACAGTGTACTGCATTCTGTTCGAGAAACAAGAAGGCAACCAGTTAGTGATCCAGGACTCAGCTTGTGTCATCGAGATCTTATTTAGCAAGAGACATCTAGGTATAGAGTCAAAAGCAGAAGTGAAGTCAAGAAGCGTGAAATGGACGTATTTGGCACCTTTATCTAATGATGAGACGATACTGTTGTGTGAGACGGCTGCAGCATCTAAAGTGCTCCTACCCTGTCTATATGCAAATTGTTTGGGGTTATCAAAATTTTTAAGGGAGGGTTCATGTTTAAGAAGTACTAGTTTTCCCATCAGCTTTAGAGACGGGGAAGTAATGGCGACGGGTCTGAATTTTACATTCTCACTATTTCCAGGTTTAGGGACAGGGACAATTATAATGTCTTTCAATGCAACAGTAACAACGTTTTTGCAAAAAGAAACGTTTAGGATGTTAATAATTGGAGAACATAAAGCATCTGCACATTGTTTTAGAACATAAGCAGGTACACTATCAGGGCCAAGGCTACGTGAGGGCTTGAGCGTTTTAAGACATTATAAAACATCGAGAGTGTTAAAGCCATGTTTTGGTTTGATTGTCACCGGCTCTTTTCCAACCTGATCTCTCCTATGTCAGCTAAGATTGTCGATTGTCGAGGGAGGCGATTCCTAGGTATGCGTCACACATGTCCTAACCACCTCAATCGATGTAACTTCACAGTCTCGTCTATTGATTTCCCCTGCTTACCTAGCACTCGACAGAGGCCTAACCTCCGTATTGCTCATCTTATTATGCCACTTCACACGGGGGAGATAGAACTCAGGCACCTATGATCAAAGACAGCTAGCTAGCTAGCTAGCCTTTTCATGTCCTCCACTCTCAATGGCCAGATCTCACAGCCATGAATGAGGACAGAGCGGTCTGATGAGGAGTACATACGCCCTTTGGTCGACAGCCAGCTGTATATCACGTCTACTAAGCCAGAGATGGCGTAAACTGGCAAATGCGAAACGAGCCCCCTGTATCCGTGCTGAGATTTCGTCAGAGATCAACCCGCTGGCACTGGCTGATGGTACTTCCCGAATAAGTGAAGTTGTCAACGTGCTCTACCACATCACTTCCCATTTTTAACCTCGGAGTCGCTGTAGTTCAGTCCTGTAACATCATCTTGCATTTGGCGGGAGCGAATCGCATGCCAATCATTTGTAGATTGCAGCTCAAGGTGTTCAGGAGACTCTGAATTTTTTCAGCGTCCTCGCCTAGTAGGACCTTATCGTCTGCATATTCTAAGTCAACGAGATTATTCCCTAGTAGCAAGTCAATCCCTGAATTGCTGAAGTCACTTAGGGTTAAGTCCATTAGTACATCTATGATGAAGTTGAATAGAAATGGGGATATTGGACATCCGTGACGGACACCACTAGTCGTCATCAGTTCACATGACAACTCTCCGTAAGCCCTCACCTGGCTGTATGAGTACGAGTAGAGTGCCTTAATCAGTGCAACGTATTTTCTCGTCATTCCCTTTACAGCCAAGCATCTCCAGAGAAACTCTCGGTAGACAGAGTCGAATGCCACCCTTAGGTCAAGAAATATAATGACTTTTGGACGCCGGCAGGAATTCCTATGTTCTAGAATCTGTCGGAGGGTGAAGATATGATCAATACACCCTCTTCCTGGTCTAAAGCCTGCCTGGCTCTCTCGTGTTTGTGCCTCCCGAGCACCACTTAGTCTACGCATGATTATTGAGCCTAAGACTTTAGTTACTATATTAGTCAAGCTAATCCCTCTGTGATTATCACAGAAAGACTTGTCTCCCTTCTTGTATATCGGACTTGCACCAACCCGACGTGACTTCCTCTGATTCCCCAACGCTTCCTGGTACTGCAGATAACTCAGACAGTAAATTGTCTCCACCATCCTTAAACATCTCTTGAGTCTTTCCATCAGGTCCTGCTGCTTTGCCTCGTTTCAGATTGGTGAGAGCTTTAGTAACCTCAGTTAGGGATGGAGGACCTGTGTCTACATCCCATTCAGGGAGGTGTTAGATGTGTTTTTTTATTTACAGCTTGATTCCACACTGTAGTTTTGGTACAAGTATGGAATTTTCAGCATGGATATCGGTAGCCCAAATTTTCGCAGGCCGACCATAGATATCAGGTGTGCGTCGGCGGAGGCTCGAACCTCGGACCATGTGCATGGTCGGCGAGAGTCATAACCACTGTGCCACCGACGCACGGGATGAGCGTGGCTGTAGGCCAATCAAACTGCTCTTCATAGTGCTCTTTCCAGCGTTCCAGTCGTCTATCCTAAGAGCTAATTATGGTGGCATTTTTCTCAGAGATTGTTTCACTTATGACTTGCCTTCTCCCACCCGTTTCCCTGATGAGTCGAAAGAGTTACCTAGTGTTGCTTATCGCCGATGCTTTTTCCATCTCTTTCGCCTTTGTCACCCACCACTGTTCACGGTCCTTCCGGAGACTTTTCGTAAGTTTTCTTTTGTGCAGCTTTCGCTCCTCATTGAATTCGGAGCTCGCCGGAATAAGTCTTCTAGCATCTATCAGTTCGGATGAGGCGGTAGAAATCCAATGGTTTTTACTCGCCTTTGGATTTACCTTCTTCACAGCTTTTACAGCTGTATCTATGGCTGCCTGAATATTCTTCCAAGCTTCTTCAGGGTGAGCACAGCTGTCGAACTCAGATATGTGTTTAGCTAGTTCATCCTCAAATAGGGATTTAGTTTCCTGATCGAGCTGGGGACGTGATGGGCTTATCGCCAGCTGTTTCCTACGTCGGTTTAGTCGTAGGCACACACGAGCGCGGACCAGTGGGTGATCGGTATCTACACACGTGTTCCAGAAGGAGCAACAATCTCCTACCGACCCACGCCAACGATAGCTTATTACTATGTGGTCTGTTTGTGTCCAGCGTTGGTTTGATGAAGGGGGTCTCCAAGTCAAACAGTGTCTCTCCGTGTGTTTGAAGTTAGTGCTTACAAGAAACAAATGATTATCAGAACAGAACTGTAGGAGACGGTCACCGTTGTCGGTTCGCTGGCACGGGACGCCATAGCTGCCACCGACATCTTTCTCAGATTGACTCAATTTCCCTACTTGAGCATTAAAGTCACCAGCTAGAACAACTATATCGGAAGGTTTAGCCTTTCGCAGCAAACTAGACAGCTTTTGGCAGAATTCATCCTTCACTTCATCCGAACTGCAGTCAGTGGGGGCGTAGGCGGAGATTACGAAAAGGCATCGGCGAATAGTGCAGTTGGTCTAAGCCATGTAGGAAGATGTAGACTTCCAGGCTGGGGTCCTCGGGACGGTAAAAATCTATGGTTGGAAACAATTGGTGACATGGCTCAAAATCGTTCTCAGTGGCGCAGATGCATCCACTCCCTGTGACTTATGATCTTCAATGAAACTGTTTTGTATTTCTTTATTACTCCTTTGTCTCACACCTCTGCTCACTGTTTCTATTATGCTTTTCTTGTACTTTCTTCTCTTGCTTCGCGTGCTACACGGAATGTGGCGACTTGAACTTCCGCACATTTGTGCAAAGTTCTATGTCGAAAACAGACAGACAGACAGAATAGTGCAGTCCTTTCTTCTTTTTTACTGACCTGTTCAGACGGACAGCACACATTCGGCTATCTCCCGGGATCCAGTCAGATGATGTCTCTTTTTCTCAAAGCTATCCCTACACCAGCTAATCCTCGTGAACTAGCTGTGGCATCTCCTGACACCGTCAAGGTGAATTTTATAAATTGAACCTCTTGGCCAGGTGGGGTTAGGTGAGTAACCACACTTAGGTCTTGTATACGTGTTTCTGAAGCACAACATACATTAATGGCTCGGGACGCCAGAGTCTTGGCTAGTGATGCTTGTTGTCCTATTTGGCAGTGTCCTAACATTAAATGCTCCTATATGAAATTGGTGGCGTGGCTTTAGGAGACTTTCGGTGGTGGTATTTTGGCTTCCGTCGTTTTTAGTGGACACAGAGTGAAGAGGAAGTGAAGAGCTATCAAGTAGAGGAGTTGCATCAGTGGAAGGAAGGCAAAATGATAGAGATGAAGAAAAAGATAAGTGAGTATTAGAGAGGTTTCGTGTGCATGTCGGATTGTGAGGGCGATTGTTACTTCCCGGCTGCCCACACCGTGGAAGTTGACTGCGTGACCGCAGAGCCCAAGGGACAACTGCTTGAGGCCGGTCACACGCGGCCTGTTTTTCTTTGTTCTTTATTGTTTTGTGTGTCTCAGTAGCATATTTATCACTCCTGCCCTGTGACACGGCAGCAGGAAGCGCGGTCGTTGTTAATCCGGGCCACGGTCGATCCGGCATGATATTTTGTGATTTTGTATTTATCATAATGTTGGATTGGGTAGCTGCTTTTTGTTTAACCGCTATCCAAACAACCTGCCTGGCATGGTAGAACCTCAAGAGACATAAGTCTCAGCCAGTATAGCTTGATTAGGTCATTGGGGTGTTCAAGCCCGACCACCACGTCAAGGTAGCAGCTTTCGGTCGGGGTGCATGCGTCTAATTATTCTTTTGGTACCAACTGAATTTTGTCAGTCAAGTTTGTAATGTGGACATTATGGCTCACCGTCATGGTGCACTTTGAATTGTTGTTGGATGGTTAGACACAATCAACAGGAAGTCTTTGACTTGGGTTTCATGCTTGTTGGCAAGACATAGGGAATCTTTGAGTAAGTCATTTCCCTACTGGAACTCGAACCCAAATTGCTCAGTGCTGTAGTCAGAAACGTTACCACTGAGCAAACCTTATTGATAGAGTTCAGTCTACATCAAACTAAGGTCTAGACAGGTGATATTGGTTACTAACTAGTGTCCAGTCAGAGTATACATTACTATCCTACAGGAGACCAATCACGAGTCCCAAAGGTTCAGTGATAGCGTCTCTGAATACAGCGATGAGCGGAGTTGGTTCGAATCTCAGTAGAGAGATAAGTTCCTTGAAGAAAGCAAATACATCTTGTTGACGAGTGCCAACGAGAAAACAATCTAAATCGCAGACAGACTGTCTATTGATATCCTCCAACCATCGAACAACTGTGGTTTCTTGAAAAATTTATCCCATAGCCCTTCTATATTCACGAATAAAATTCATTGTTAACTCAATTTGTTCTCTTTCTTTTCTTTCTGTATAGCATATGACGTCTATGAACGAATTATTTCATATTTCGATATCTAATCGTAATTATAATGAGTTGAGGATACTTTTCGAATTATGAGCTTTGTATGTGTTGATTTCATTTACCTCATCAATATTTCACGTATTTCTCACCTGTTATCATGTTGACAGTTTTAAAAATTCGAGAAAAGTGTTGTTGTGTCCCCTCCTCTTTGAAAAACATATTTTTTTATTTATTTTTGAGAAAAACATTTTCACTCTTAGTTAACAAAATTATTGACAGTAATTTCAACGTTTTTGCTTCATATCATTTTATTCTTTTAGAAATAAAAACTTCTTGGTTGAAAAAAGCATTTGTGTTCTTCTGTTCAACGTAGAACTTTCCTCAGATGCATATAAGTTCAGATCACAAAAATTTAAAAAGTAGTACAACAAACAATAATAAATGCATACATTCTCACTATTTTAAATCGTCTTGAACTGTGTCATCAGCAATCGCCAACCTATGTTACTTAGCATCTGAAGTACCAAACCAGATAGTCTACGTCTCACCACAAATTGTTGTCTGAATTCCTAAGTCTCAGTCAATGTATTTGCGAATAGGCTATCGTCCACACCAGTTGTCATGTGAAAGTCAATCTCAGTAGTGACCTCCAGTTACTCTTTACTTGAACGGATGCATGAAATCACACAGCTACAAATCAAACACAGCTGTTAAGTAATTCAAATAATGACTTTTCCATCGATTGCTTCGTCAAAACGCCTCCTTCTGCAGATACTTCGAAGATGACTCCTCATATAATAAATTAAAGTCAGTCCGTAAATAATGATCGAGAGTGGAATTGAGGATGAGCGTTCCGTGCTTCTCGGAACTTGTCGTCCACATGTACCTGCATTCCCCCAATGAGTGATGGTGTTCCCATCGAGGCTCGAACGCAGTGCCCATTGTTTCAAACGCCGGAACGTTATCCACTAGACTACTGAATGTAGTAGTGGACTGCTGTTTCACCCTAGTTTGGGACTCTTCGTCAGTACTCACCCACCCACCGAGGTTCGAACCCAGGACCTTCCGGTGGTTACAAGGTGACTGGTAGACTATCAAGCCACTGGGAGCCGATCCAGTGGCCAGCAGTCAGTGCATGAATTGTAACTTCTGCGAATTGACGAAATAGGGCGATCACTTCGTAATCTCTTCTTCAATGAGTTACTGCCCCACTTTCAACCTGGGAAGCCGTGACCAGTAGTGTACAGCATGTTGAGTGTAGTGTACTGTTTGTTGTATACTGTTTTCAGATAGCTGGTCTGTCTGTTTTCGACATAGAACTTTGCACGGGTGTGCGACAGTTCGAGTCGGTGGTCTGCAGTATGTTGTCTAGGACGGTTATCCTGAATCCATGTATGTTCTTCTTGTTTTCCGCCTAAAATGTTCTCAGATTGGACAGTTCACAGGTCTGGTGAGGATTCTTGATAACTTCGCTATTGATGATGTCTTTTGTATCCGAGAGACCTGCATATAAAATCCCAGTGTGGTGCTTCGATATCTGCATCTTCAAGACTTAGTAGCGTGTTCCATATCCATGGTCCCTCTGACATTGACATTCGTCTGAGCTAGTACCAGAGACTCTCTGGGCTCTCTAGAGCCAAAGCCTTACTACTTGACTGGATCCCCACTTAACAGTTGTAAATGTCCCTCTGAAGGCACGGATGCTTCACATCATCATCATCATCATCATTCTGTCGTAGAAGTTGAGAATTTTTCTGGAGGACAACTGGTTATGTTTACCACCATTCTCGGTCTGTGAGAGATTTTTCCGAGAGTTCAACAAACTGAAGGTATCCCGTAACGGTAAGGGATTATGTAGAATCCTGTTGCATCGGACGACAACTTGAAGGATTGTATGATAATTAATGGTACTTTTTAGAATGTGTTGTTCATTTCGAATGGTTTTACAAACTTATCTGAATATAAAAGGCACTACTTTCCAGTGAATCATTATACTCGTTTTATTCCAGATGCGTTCACCTTATAATGTCTTCTATATTACCTTTCAATTTATGAAGTATGAAATGTTATTACTTATAACCATTGTAATTTCAGGTAGTTTGCAGCTGATGCGAATCTGTGAAATAGAATGATAGCATTTTATACTGCAAATTTGGTCTTTCTCTATCAAAATGAATCATTTGTGTTACTATGCTTCTTTTTGACTTTCTGCAGTATTTCAAGTTTATGTAATCGTGTCAAGTGTGAGTCGTAGTTGCTTATTTACTACCAAATGCCATCATTTTCTTTACTTTTTTTTTCTTTTTAGTTTCATCAAGAATTTAAAAGAAAATCTTGTAGGAATAAGAATACATCAACTGGAAATATTTCTGCTGGGGATGAAAATGAGGTATATTCCATGCATCCGTAAAAGAGTACACCTGTTCCATTATTTGGTATTGTCCAAACTCAACATGCATAAGGAATTAAATCTAAGTTGTTACATGACATAGAGGCTATTCGGTGTACAGCAGAAATGTTAACTTAGTACATCACATATGTCAACTTTATGTGATCATTCTTTTAAACAACTTAACAGGTGAATTGTTGGGTGGTGGGGATGAGCGTTCCGTGCTTCTCGGAACTTGTCGTCCACATGTACCTGCATTCCCCCAATGAGTGATGGTGTTCCCATCGAGGCTCGAACGCAGTGCCCATTGTTTCAAACGCCGGAACGTTATCCACTAGACTACTGAATGTAGTAGTGGACTGCTGTTTCACCCTAGTTTGGGACTCTTCGTCAGTACTCACCCACCCACCGAGGTTCGAACCCAGGACCTTCCGGTGGTTACAAGGTGACTGGTAGACTATCAAGCCACTGGGAGCCGATCCAGTGGCCAGCAGTCAGTGCATGAATTGTAACTTCTGCGAATTGACGAAATAGGGCGATCACTTCGTAATCTCTTCTTCAATGAGTTACTGCCCCACTTTCAACCTGGGAAGCCGTGACCAGTAGTGTACAGCATGTTGAGTGTAGTGTACTGTTTGTTGTATACTGTTTTCAGATAGCTGGTCTGTCTGTTTTCGACATAGAACTTTGCACGGGTGTGCGACAGTTCGAGTCGGTGGTCTGCAGTATGTTGTCTAGGACGGTTATCCTGAATCCATGTATGTTCTTCTTGTTTTCCGCCTAAAATGTTCTCAGATTGGACAGTTCACAGGTCTGGTGAGGATTCTTGATAACTTCGCTATTGATGATGTCTTTTGTATCCGAGAGACCTGCATATAAAATCCCAGTGTGGTGCTTCGATATCTGCATCTTCAAGACTTAGTAGCGTGTTCCATATCCATGGTCCCTCTGACATTGACATTCGTCTGAGCTAGTACCAGAGACTCTCTGGGCTCTCTAGAGCCAAAGCCTTACTACTTGACTGGATCCCCACTTAACAGTTGTAAATGTCCCTCTGAAGGCACGGATGCTTCACATCATCATCATCATCATCATCATTCTGTCGTAGAAGTTGAGAATTTTTCTGGAGGACAACTGGTTATGTTTACCACCATTCTCGGTCTGTGAGAGATTTTTCCGAGAGTTCAACAAACTGAAGGTATCCCGTAACGGTAAGGGATTATGTAGAATCCTGTTGCATCGGACGACAACTTGAAGGATTGTATGATAATTAATGGTACTTTTTAGAATGTGTTGTTCATTTCGAATGGTTTTACAAACTTATCTGAATATAAAAGGCACTACTTTCCAGTGAATCATTATACTCGTTTTATTCCAGATGCGTTCACCTTATAATGTCTTCTATATTACCTTTCAATTTATGAAGTATGAAATGTTATTACTTATAACCATTGTAATTTCAGGTAGTTTGCAGCTGATGCGAATCTGTGAAATAGAATGATAGCATTTTATACTGCAAATTTGGTCTTTCTCTATCAAAATGAATCATTTGTGTTACTATGCTTCTTTTTGACTTTCTGCAGTATTTCAAGTTTATGTAATCGTGTCAAGTGTGAGTCGTAGTTGCTTATTTACTACCAAATGCCATCATTTTCTTTACTTTTTTTTTCTTTTTAGTTTCATCAAGAATTTAAAAGAAAATCTTGTAGGAATAAGAATACATCAACTGGAAATATTTCTGCTGGGGATGAAAATGAGGTATATTCCATGCATCCGTAAAAGAGTACACCTGTTCCATTATTTGGTATTGTCCAAACTCAACATGCATAAGGAATTAAATCTAAGTTGTTACATGACATAGAGGCTATTCGGTGTACAGCAGAAATGTTAACTTAGTACATCACATATGTCAACTTTATGTGATCATTCTTTTAAACAACTTAACAGGTGAATTGTTGGCTGGTGGGGATGAGCGTTCCGTGCTTCTCGGAACTTGTCGTCCACATGTACCTGCATTCCCCCAATGAGTGATGGTGTTCCCATCGAGGCTCGAACGCAGTGCCCATTGTTTCAAACGCCGGAACGTTATCCACTAGACTACTGAATGTAGTAGTGGACTGCTGTTTCACCCTAGTTTGGGACTCTTCGTCAGTACTCACCCACCCACCGAGGTTCGAACCCAGGACCTTCCGGTGGTTACAAGGTGACTGGTAGACTATCAAGCCACTGGGAGCCGATCCAGTGGCCAGCAGTCAGTGCATGAATTGTAACTTCTGCGAATTGACGAAATAGGGCGATCACTTCGTAATCTCTTCTTCAATGAGTTACTGCCCCACTTTCAACCTGGGAAGCCGTGACCAGTAGTGTACAGCATGTTGAGTGTAGTGTACTGTTTGTTGTATACTGTTTTCAGATAGCTGGTCTGTCTGTTTTCGACATAGAACTTTGCACGGGTGTGCGACAGTTCGAGTCGGTGGTCTGCAGTATGTTGTCTAGGACGGTTATCCTGAATCCATGTATGTTCTTCTTGTTTTCCGCCTAAAATGTTCTCAGATTGGACAGTTCACAGGTCTGGTGAGGATTCTTGATAACTTCGCTATTGATGATGTCTTTTGTATCCGAGAGACCTGCATATAAAATCCCAGTGTGGTGCTTCGATATCTGCATCTTCAAGACTTAGTAGCGTGTTCCATATCCATGGTCCCTCTGACATTGACATTCGTCTGAGCTAGTACCAGAGACTCTCTGGGCTCTCTAGAGCCAAAGCCTTACTACTTGACTGGATCCCCACCTAACAGTTGGTAATTTTTTGTGAGAGTGGAAGGTTATACTAGAGTGACATTGTTTTCTCTGCCTCTTCCTATGCGCCATTGGTTTGTTGCCCTGATGCCTTTAAGGCTCCAACATAACTAGAGTTAGCTTCTCAATCATGCAGGTTGAGTAGAAGTCGTTTCGCTAGCTGGGGAGTTGAATACAAAAGTCGGGCGTCTGGACTCAGAGTTGGCCTTTCGATATCGGTTTTCTGTGGATGGACATCCTCAGGGTACCTTTTATCTCTTCTTGTTAATTCCACGTCCAGAAATGGAATCTTTGAATCGTTTTCTAATTCTATTGTGAATTTAATCGAAGGATGGGAATTATTTAATTCCTGTAAGATGTAGATGAAGTCCGAGTTATCGTAGCAGACTTTGAAGCTATCGTCAACGTATCTTTCGTACAGTAGTAATTTGTTTATTGTTGATTAGTTTACGAATCTAAACAGTGGTTTGATCAATAAAAATATACCTTGGCTTTCGTGTCTTGCCTTCTGCTGTTGCAGTAGTAATTCTTTTTTTCCTGTTACTCTTTCTACAATTTTTAAGCTTATAGCGAATTGTTTGCGAGGTTCACTCCAGGACCGATACAAAACCTTAACTAGGGTGCGCAAACGTATTCCACTCAAAGAAGTGAACATATCCCAAGAGCGTAATGTGAGTCTATTTATTGGTTGTGTCAAGTGCTTGTCAACATCATTTAATTGTATATAGCGATTGCGACGTTTTACTGTTTATTGCGTTTATTTTGTTGAATTATTAAAGTCAGATCCGGTGGTGTAACATTAATCTAGCCTTGGGGATAATTTCAGAATATTTACATCGTATATCTGTCAAGTTTACTAAGGTTGAAACGACTTTTCGATTTCCATACTGTTCCACTGTTTCCGGATCCTGGGCACTTGATTTTCATTCCTGCTGGTTCAACAGTTGGAAACAGTTAGCCCCTTTATTGTTATTGGAAGACAAAGTTTATCTGAAAAGTGTGATGTAATTGTGAAATATATTTTGGACAAAATGATCACGCTTACTTGTTTAATCAGTTGCTATGAGAAAAGCGGAATGTCAAATTAATAGATAAAGTGATGAATATGGGAGGATAATAATTAACCCTGTCCTTGGTAATATGATCGGGTGAAAATTACCACAGTTGGTTAAGTGTAATAAGTCAAAAAAAATGTACATAAGTAAGTATAAATAATATCAAATTGTTGAATTGAATTTTTGATTTTCCCGTCGATTGATTGGACCGAAGTGCTCGGTCTCAGGAAAATCAAAAATTCAATTCAATAATTAATATGACCCGTTGCACAAGAGGTGGCTCTCGTGGCCCAAGTGGTCTAGTGGATAACGCTTTGGCGTTCGAAACTATGGGTACTGGGTTCGAGCCTCGGTGGGAACATCATCACTCACTGAGAAATGCAGGTACATCCAGATGACGAGTCCCAAATAGGACGAAATGCGCATCCTGGACTCCACTGCTAGCCACCATCCACCAATTGAATATCAAATTGTATTTGATGATCGGACACATTTAAATTGTGATGTGATGTACTTACAAGTTAAGTGTTTTCGAAGTTGTCTATAACTATAAGCTGAGCTCCATGTTGAGTATTATGAATGGCAAAATGTAGTCTTTCTCTTCAAATCCTATTGTTTATTTCCCCATTTTAAGATTTATGTGGACATCTTTTTTTAACTAAATAGATTGTGAAATGCCTACCCTCTACACTGGTTCATTTATTCAAGTGATAAACCCTTAGAGTTGAATATTTCTTTATCAAAAGCTTAGCTCACACTAAAGTGTTTATCAGTACCCGATTGTTAACTTTAATCCTAGATGCACTTTCAAGTTTTATTTACTTTTATGTTTAGTGTAGCTGATTTTACTTTCGATTAACTCGTGCTGAATATGTATTTCTGTATATTCTCAGACAAATTGAAAAGGTTTACAGACTTGTGTTAAAACAGTTTTCTATAAAGCTGTGTGAGTTCTACATGTGCCTTCTCATTCTCTTTGCTTTTTTCATTGGTTTTTCAAGCGCATTCGGTAAGTCGTTGAGTTTAGTTGCCTTCAAGTCATTTAGATTTTGCCACTTTGGTGCTCATTTTTAGTTGACAGTTAATGTTTCTTCTGTTGAGTTTCAGTTAATTCTATTAATTGCTTACTTTGGTATAAGCAGGCGTACGTGTGTGCGCTACTGTATTGAATCCGATTCATTGCATGCACAGAGCTGGTTCACTTCATATCCAGCTAGGTTTTCTTTTTTCTCATGCAATAGTTCTAAATTTATTTCCCTTATTTTTTAAATACCCTGGATACAGAATTCTGTGTAATAAATCATCGAATAATAAACAGTCCATATTTAAGTGGAAAACTTAAGGAACTGGTTGAAGAATTATTCGGCATGTTTTCTTTTGCTTTCTCTTTCTGGCAGAATTACCGGTGTTCGTTGTTCAATGGTCAAACAAATGCGCTCAGGCTACTCATGAGGTTCTGGTTCAACTTCCAGCCGACTCACGCCTAAATTTTGCATAGCAGGTAGTAAGACCGAAAAAGATGTAAAGTTAAGTGTGAGTCTAGTAAACTCACACAGTGAAAACAACACCATTACCGAAGCTTAATAGCTTGCAGTTCTGTGTTCCACTATGAGCTCAAAGAAAGAAAAGAAATCGAAGCAAACCAAATTATACTGAGTCAAGGAATATAGTTTTTTTCTAAAACAGATAAACGCTTCAATATTTGCGAAGTATCATGTATGCATCGAGCTACCTAATGAAGTCTTCAGAAGGGAATTGTTGAGCGAAAAATACTCCCGTCAATTAGAGTGTAAACATTAGCTTCCTGTTGTTTGACGGTAATATTTTCCTAGCATAGAATCGCGCAACACTGTCTGTATACTTTGAAGATACACGCAAAAATCGAATTAATTCGACCTACTATTGTAGAGAAATGCGAAATCTTAGTAAACGAATCAGTCAAGCTGAAGTGATTTTTAGCTGTGTAGATGTGTATACTTGTTTCAGCGTATATCTTTCAAGGTTGTGGTGTCCAACTAAATTCTTTCTGACAACTAGACCATATGAGACATATCGATTACTGAAATTCTTAATCATTGTGATCATTTCGTATATTGTAGACGCTAAGAGGACTAGAAAATTCGAATGAGTCTTCCACTGAAGATGTTGCTAACATTGTTTTACTGAGAATGCTGAATAAAGAAGAACTAGAAATTTTTACATGCGTAAGTTTAACTTTTCATTTTATTTGTTTAATGTTTCTTATTCTCAGCTATGTGATTATGACAATCTGCGTTGTTATCAGATAAATAACCCATGTTTGTGTGAAAATATCAACAACAAAAATGACGATAAGTAATTAAATGAGATATGTATCTGCAATGTCTGTTTGTCCTTATGAGTTCGTGTTATTTCAATTTTGTTGATCTTGGTATAAATGATAGAAAAATTAATATGGAATATTATGCATAAAAGTGCAGATCAGTCGTAGGAATTTGAAGGTGAGAGGATTTTCAAATGGTGTTAAAAGTACTTGAAACGTGAGAGAGAAATGCATCAGTAGTAAAGAAAGCTAAGAAGGAGGAGAATTGAGACAGTTTTCGTCTCCATGCTGTATTGAACACAATTTTATTCATTTGTTGAATTCACAGGAAAATTGTATTCCCTTGCTTTAAATGTTACCTCTCTGTTCATATGATATTAACTTTGTTTGTCCTTCAACAAGAAGTACACACACCTGTTTCTGAATGTAGATCACCAGTAGTTAGTGATTTTATATCGTATCCTTTCTGTGAAACTTTTGTACCTATTAGTAGGACACTAGGCAGCAACTAGTGCATGCGTCTGTCTGTTTTCGACATAGAACTTTGCACAAATGTGCACCAGTTCAAGTCGCCACACTCCATGTAGCACTCGAAGCAAGAGAAGAAAGTACAAGAAAAGCATAATAGAGACAGTAAGCAGAGGTGTGAGAAAAAAGAGGAGTAATAACGAAGAAGAAAACAGTTTCATTGGAAATCATAAGTCACAAGGAGTGGATGCATCTGCGCCACTGAGAACGATTTTGAGCCATGTCACCAATTGTTTCCAACCATTGGTTTTTCCGTCCCGAAGACCCCAACCAGGAAGTCTACACCTTCCTACGTGGCTTAGACCAACTGTTGTGGATTTCATTGACTGATGCCAAGTTTTGTTTGACCGCCGCTAGCTTTTTTCCAACCTGAGCACAGCAGAGGAGGATTTACCTTTGTATACAGTGTACTGCATTCTGTTCGAGAAACAAGAAGGCAACCAGTTAGTGATCCAGGACTCAGCTTGTGTCATCGAGATCTTATTTAGCAAGAGACATCTAGGTATAGAGTCAAAAGCAGAAGTGAAGTCAAGAAGCGTGAAATGGACGTATTTGGCACCTTTATCTAATGATGAGACGATACTGTTGTGTGAGACGGCTGCAGCATCTAAAGTGCTCCTACCCTGTCTATATGCAAATTGTTTGGGGTTATCAAAATTTTTAAGGGAGGGTTCATGTTTAAGAAGTACTAGTTTTCCCATCAGCTTTAGAGACGGGGAAGTAATGGCGACGGGTCTGAATTTTACATTCTCACTATTTCCAGGTTTAGGGACAGGGACAATTATAATGTCTTTCAATGCAACAGTAACAACGTTTTTGCAAAAAGAAACGTTTAGGATGTTAATAATTGGAGAACATAAAGCATCTGCACATTGTTTTAGAACATAAGCAGGTACACTATCAGGGCCAAGGCTACGTGAGGGCTTGAGCGTTTTAAGACATTATAAAACATCGAGAGTGTTAAAGCCATGTTTTGGTTTGATTGTCACCGGCTCTTTTCCAACCTGATCTCTCCTATGTCAGCTAAGATTGTCGATTGTCGAGGGAGGCGATTCCTAGGTATGCGTCACACATGTCCTAACCACCTCAATCGATGTAACTTCACAGTCTCGTCTATTGATTTCCCCTGCTTACCTAGCACTCGACAGAGGCCTAACCTCCGTATTGCTCATCTTATTATGCCACTTCACACGGGGGAGATAGAACTCAGGCACCTATGATCAAAGACAGCTAGCTAGCTAGCTAGCCTTTTCATGTCCTCCACTCTCAATGGCCAGATCTCACAGCCATGAATGAGGACAGAGCGGTCTGATGAGGAGTACATACGCCCTTTGGTCGACAGCCAGCTGTATATCACGTCTACTAAGCCAGAGATGGCGTAAACTGGCAAATGCGAAACGAGCCCCCTGTATCCGTGCTGAGATTTCGTCAGTGATCAACCCGCTGGCACTGGCTGATGGTACTTCCCGAATAAGTGAAGTTGTCAACGTGCTCTACCACATCACTTCCCATTTTTAACCTCGGAGTCGCTGTAGTTCAGTCCTGTAACATCATCTTGCATTTGGCGGGAGCGAATCGCATGCCAATCATTTGTAGATTGCAGCTCAAGGTGTTCAGGAGACTCTGAATTTTTTCAGCGTCCTCGCCTAGTAGGACCTTATCGTCTGCATATTCTAAGTCAACGAGATTATTCCCTAGTAGCAAGTCAATCCCTGAATTGCTGAAGTCACTTAGGGTTAAGTCCATTAGTACATCTATGATGAAGTTGAATAGAAATGGGGATATTGGACATCCGTGACGGACACCACTAGTCGTCATCAGTTCACATGACAACTCTCCGTAAGCCCTCACCTGGCTGTATGAGTACGAGTAGAGTGCCTTAATCAGTGCAACGTATTTTCTCGTCATTCCCTTTACAGCCAAGCATCTCCAGAGAAACTCTCGGTAGACAGAGTCGAATGCCACCCTTAGGTCAAGAAATATAATGACTTTTGGACGCCGGCAGGAATTCCTATGTTCTAGAATCTGTCGGAGGGTGAAGATATGATCAATACACCCTCTTCCTGGTCTAAAGCCTGCCTGGCTCTCTCGTGTTTGTGCCTCCCGAGCACCACTTAGTCTACGCATGATTATTGAGCCTAAGACTTTAGTTACTATATTAGTCAAGCTAATCCCTCTGTGATTATCACAGAAAGACTTGTCTCCCTTCTTGTATATCGGACTTGCACCAACCCGACGTGACTTCCTCTGATTCCCAGACGCTTCCTGGTACTGCAGATAACTCAGACAGTAAATTGTCTCCACCATCCTTAAACATCTCTTGAGTCATTCCATCAGGTCCTGCTGCTTTGCCTCGTTTCAGATTGGTGAGAGCTTTAGTAACCTCAGTTAGGGATGGAGGACCTGTGTCTACATCCCATTCAGGGAGGTGTTAGATGTGTTTTTTTATTTACAGCTTGATTCCACACTGTAGTTTTGGTACAAGTATGGAATTTTCAGCATGGATATCGGTAGCCCAAATTTTCGCAGGCCGACCATAGATATCAGGTGTGCGTCGGCGGAGGCTCGAACCTCGGACCATGTGCATGGTCGGCGAGAGTCATAACCACTGTGCCACCGACGCACGGGATGAGCGTGGCTGTAGGCCAATCAAACTGCTCTTCATAGTGCTCTTTCCAGCGTTCCAGTCGTCTATCCTAAGAGCTAATTATGGTGGCATTTTTCTCAGAGATTGTTTCACTTATGACTTGCCTTCTCCCACCCGTTTCCCTGATGAGTCGAAAGAGTTACCTAGTGTTGCTTATCGCCGATGCTTTTTCCATCTCTTTCGCCTTTGTCACCCACCACTGTTCACGGTCCTTCCGGAGACTTTTCGTAAGTTTTCTTTTGTGCAGCTTTCGCTCCTCATTGAATTCGGAGCTCGCCGGAATAAGTCTTCTAGCATCTATCAGTTCGGATGAGGCGGTAGAAATCCAATGGTTTTTACTCGCCTTTGGATTTACCTTCTTCACAGCTTTTACAGCTGTATCTATGGCTGCCTGAATATTCTTCCAAGCTTCTTCAGGGTGAGCACAGCTGTCGAACTCAGATATGTGTTTAGCTAGTTCATCCTCAAATAGGGATTTAGTTTCCTGATCGAGCTGGGGACGTGATGGGCTTATCGCCAGCTGTTTCCTACGTCGGTTTAGTCGTAGGCACACACGAGCGCGGACCAGTGGGTGATCGGTATCTACACACGTGTTCCAGAAGGAGCAACAATCTCCTACCGACCCACGCCAACGATAGCTTATTACTATGTGGTCTGTTTGTGTCCAGCGTTGGTTTGATGAAGGGGGTCTCCAAGTCAAACAGTGTCTCTCCGTGTGTTTGAAGTTAGTGCTTACAAGAAACAAATGATTATCAGAACAGAACTGTAGGAGACGGTCACCGTTGTCGGTTCGCTGGCACGGGACGCCATAGCTGCCACCGACATCTTTCTCAGATTGACTCAATTTCCCTACTTGAGCATTAAAGTCACCAGCTAGAACAACTATATCGGAAGGTTTAGCCTTTCGCAGCAAACTAGACAGCTTTTGGCAGAATTCATCCTTCACTTCATCCGAACTGCAGTCAGTGGGGGCGTAGGCGGAGATTACGAAAAGGCATCGGCGAATAGTGCAGTTGGTCTAAGCCATGTAGGAAGATGTAGACTTCCAGGCTGGGGTCCTCGGGACGGTAAAAATCTATGGTTGGAAACAATTGGTGACATGGCTCAAAATCGTTCTCAGTGGCGCAGATGCATCCACTCCCTGTGACTTATGATCTTCAATGAAACTGTTTTGTATTTCTTTATTACTCCTTTGTCTCACACCTCTGCTCACTGTTTCTATTATGCTTTTCTTGTACTTTCTTCTCTTGCTTCGCGTGCTACACGGAATGTGGCGACTTGAACTTCCGCACATTTGTGCAAAGTTCTATGTCGAAAACAGACAGACAGACAGAATAGTGCAGTCCTTTCTTCTTTTTTACTGACCTGTTCAGACGGACAGCACACATTCGGCTATCTCCCGGGATCCAGTCAGATGATGTCTCTTTTTCTCAAAGCTATCCCTACACCAGCTAATCCTCGTGAACTAGCTGTGGCATCTCCTGACACCGTCAAGGTGAATTTTATAAATTGAACCTCTTGGCCAGGTGGGGTTAGGTGAGTAACCACACTTAGGTCTTGTATACGTGTTTCTGAAGCACAACATACATTAATGGCTCGGGACGCCAGAGTCTTGGCTAGTGATGCTTGTTGTCCTATTTGGCAGTGTCCTAACATTAAATGCTCCTATATGAAATTGGTGGCGTGGCTTTAGGAGACTTTCGGTGGTGGTATTTTGGCTTCCGTCGTTTTTAGTGGACACAGAGTGAAGAGGAAGTGAAGAGCTATCAAGTAGAGGAGTTGCATCAGTGGAAGGAAGGCAAAATGATAGAGATGAAGAAAAAGATAAGTGAGTATTAGAGAGGTTTCGTGTGCATGTCGGATTGTGAGGGCGATTGTTACTTCCCGGCTGCCCACACCGTGGAAGTTGACTGCGTGACCGCAGAGCCCAAGGGACAACTGCTTGAGGCCGGTCACACGCGGCCTGTTTTTCTTTGTTCTTTATTGTTTTGTGTGTCTCAGTAGCATATTTATCACTCCTGCCCTGTGACACGGCAGCAGGAAGCGCGGTCGTTGTTAATCCGGGCCACGGTCGATCCGGCATGATATTTTGTGATTTTGTATTTATCATAATGTTGGATTGGGTAGCTGCTTTTTGTTTAACCGCTATCCAAACAACCTGCCTGGCATGGTAGAACCTCAAGAGACATAAGTCTCAGCCAGTATAGCTTGATTAGGTCATTGGGGTGTTCAAGCCCGACCACCACGTCAAGGTAGCAGCTTTCGGTCGGGGTGCATGCGTCTAATTATTCTTTTGGTACCAACTGAATTTTGTCAGTCAAGTTTGTAATGTGGACATTATGGCTCACCGTCATGGTGCACTTTGAAT